TTTCATTTCTATAGCAAAATTAGCAGACACTTCCAATTAGTCCATGACAATGTAATGATTAAAAAAGTACCAAAATGTCCTGCTTCATAATGCACTACTGGAATAGTCACATCTTAAATTTAGGATGTCATGATGCAAAGATCTTCATGCAACTCAGCACACTATATAATCTATATTGCAACTCTGCAGGGCTATTGCATTGAACTGTAGTTTGCAAGATGCAAACAGCCGGAGTCTGTGCCAGTCATGTAAACATTTTGAGAGAGTCAAAGCAAATGCAACTTCTATAAAAAGAACTTTATTATTCTGAACTACCATATAATGTTAAATGTTTAAAGAGAGATCTAGCAGTAGAGTAAAACATGCTTTGTACAATTGGACACAGATTCACTTAGTGATCAACTGCATGCTTGGTTTCTTTGCTAGAGGTTATTAACACTTGGGTGGCAATCAGCCCTGGAATGAGTTACAGTAATTATACATATATACTTTCCATTCAGTAGTTTCCAAAACCACCTCTTTTGGTGGCACCACCTGGTTTCTTTACTGTATGGACAGCAACATTGGGGCTGCCATTAGCAGCAGCACCACAAAGCAATTATAACCCTGTAGGAACTGCATTTCTATTCTTCAATCTGACTGCCCCCACCCTCTGGAACTCCATCCCACAGTCCCTTCGTCTCACTTCCTCCCTTGCATCCTTCAAGGTCTCAAGACCCTTCTCTTAGACCGTGCCTTTGGTTTCCCTCCCACCTCTCTGCCTTCCCTCACCCCTACACCACCCCTCCCCCATGCTCGGGCCCCGACACCTGACTGTTCAGTGCTTTGGGATGTCCTCCCGACATGAAAGGCGCTCTATAAATGTAATTTTGTTGTTGTTGTTCAGTCAATATTTTAATTCATCATAACAGCATGCCATTATTTCAGTTTGGTTCAAAATACTGTAGAATGAAAAGCTTATTAAAAGGATCAGCATAGATTACCCTAGAGAATTAATCAAGCAATTCTAAATGTAACTACTCCAACTGTTTTTGGAGATTCAAACCATATTACCTATCTTGGTTTTGCTGCAACCAACATTTTTGCAATATACACTATTCTAGATAATAATAATATTATTTCCATTCATTATAGTGTACTTCATGACTTCCCAAAGTGCTTCACAGAATTTTACTGTGAAGGTCAGTGACTGTCAGTCTGATTTGTGGGCAAACATAGCAGCCAAGTTGCAATAGTACATTGATAAGATACAATTTTATATTCATTCTAACTGTCCCCATCTACACAAACTGATCCCCATCTACGTAAACGACAAATTTCCCAATACACTTAAGGATCACGGGCATTGTTCTTTGTTTATCAAAGAATATTAATTGACCAATCCCTAATGTTTATAAATATGGCATTATAGAAGGATATTCCAAGATTACAAGAGTGCTTTTGGCAAGTCTGAACACTTGCTAAAAAAAAACTTTAAGACATTCAAATCCTACAATTTAACTTCTGCTGAAATATTAATATGAACCTGTTTTAAAGGTCGATTTATTTCTGGCTTATCAGTCCTTTGCAATTTTAATATTTAATACACAGAGGACATCGACCAGAGATACATAAATCAAATATAAACCATACACTTTCCTGGTCTCATATTTTAAACAGATAGTTAAGTAGAAGCAATAATGTTTTGCTCAACTTGCATGATTCATGATGGAAAAAAATATCAAATTGAATGCTTCCACTCTTGAAATTTATGACAAACTGAATGACAATTACTAACCTATTCTGAACAACTCTTCACACCAACTTAAAAATTCAAATGTGAAACTAATACTTTGTGCTGTCCATATCAAATGTACTACAGATCACTTCAAACAGGCAGCAGAGAGTATTTTTGGTTCATCAATACATGTGCTCTATAAATATATTGCAGTGCAACAGTATTGAATTATAAACATATTAATCAGCCAGAATTTCCTCACCAATATATGACAAGCAGCTTCAATACCCATTAACTCACTTTGCCCTGGAACTAATCCAGTTGAGATCAGCAAGGTGCAATTCATTTCTGACAAGTCTCTGGAGAAGATGCCACCGCCAATCATGTCAATCACAAGAGCACAATTACATTCAATTGCCAGTGGAAAATCAATTGAAAAGACAAACTAGTAGTTCAGTTTACAAAATCTTAGCACAAAACTAAGAAAATGCTTAGTAGCAAAATTAAAGTCTCCGCAATTCAGGAAAAATAAACAGGTCCGGCATTTGGGAATCTCTAGTTATTGAGCTGCGAGTGCAGTACCATGAATATGTCTGTAGCCAACAACTCTAAGACAGGCACAAAGAGATGAGTTGGAAATGCTTTCTGACTGGAGTTCAAAGTATTTCAAGCTGCAGTCCTGAAATATTTATTGGGAGAGAATATGCATACTATCTGAAACCAGATCTATATAAAATTACATTCTGTAACAACTGGAATTCCCATAGTTTTTAAAGGATAGTATCTCTAAAAGCTAAATATCAATTTGTCAGCTGTCCATTTAGGGTCTTGGGTCAGAAAATTGGATATTTCAACCATGGGAATAGACATACAGACATACAGCTTATGCCGTCTAAAAATACTATCACCAGCCAGACTCCTGTGATCTTAATTTGATTGTGTGGCATCATGAGTGGCAAAGTGCTCCAGTACCTATAATCAAAACCTTCATGGACGCTCACATTACCATGGAAGGAAGGCATCAGTACCCAACAGTCATATTGGGATGTGAGGGTTACAGCTGCATCCATCTTAACACCTTTACCCTGAACTCATCCCTACATATTGCCTGAAGCTCAACATTGCATTTGAATCATCTGGTCCGCTGGTTGTGTGAAGGTTACAGAGGCTAGATATCATCTCCACAACATGGAATGCAGCTCAATTGGTGCAGTCTTGGCGAACAATTCCTGTCCATGCTTGTCTAATGACCTGTGAATGTTAAGTACTTCAATGCTGAACTCAACCAAGATGTGTTGGCACCAAAAGATCCAACAATCTGCAGGCCAGAACAGTTTTAGTTGCATTTTTTTTTGTGCTGAGTTTGGATCAGACTTTACTTCAAAAATGAAAATCACAAGGTCAAAAACTAATTTTGTGTGATTTAATTACCCACTCCATGACCATAGAGAGAATTTGAGCCATTTTTCAATCAACAGAAAGCATAAAAATAGTGAAGTCCAACTGTTTCAGATGTGGGATAGAGGTATTATTCAGTGTTAGAAAGAAAAATAATCAAGGACTCAGTCCAGAACAATGTTTTGTTTTTGCTGAGGTTCCTTAATGAAAATTAATTTTGACACAAAAGCTCACTACCTTATGCACTGAAACAAGCAAGACAATCAATTCACTTTACAGTATATTATTTGAAGCGTTTTCAGACGTCTCGAAGGCATGATAAGACTCTATATCAAATGCAAGGATTATTATTTTTATAGGACACTTAAAAGTAAACAACGTTAAACTGAATAACACTGGGAATAATTCTTACTAATGCAATTGATCAATAAAGAGTAGTGGCTAAAAAGAGGAAGCAGCAAGTCAAAATACTTTCACTACTGGTAACTGGGGTCGAATCCAGCTCATACAAATGGTTGTCAATGACCTACAAATAAGGATTTGAGCACCAGAGTTTGTGCAGGCAAAGAGCAGAAAACCACAATAAAGTTATCTCAGATAATTCAAAAGGAAACTCTGGTGCAGTAATAACTAACTGATATAAGAAAGGAACACCTGTGTTAAAATGAAATAAGAGTAACCTGGGAATATAGAGGCAGCAAAAAAAANGTGCAAGAATTATCAAGTACCCAGTGCTACGAGTAGAAATTTGAGGAGGCATGCACAAAGAAAATCTTGCAGCCTGCTGGCTATAATCCAGTTAAATATGGATGAATACACATTTCTAATCTCTTATTTAGAGTTTGGCTTTCCACAATCTGTCCTTAATCTCCACCTCAAGATTTTTTCTATTAACTTACCCCACCCTCAAAGTTGTTCGTGTCATTGGGAGAAAATATAATATGCATAAATTCCTCTCCACCACCAAAATAGAAATTTCACTATACACCCAGAAGTGTCAACATTTTAAAAAATGTCACCAGCGGATTTTACATGACAATTTTTGAGGGTGTACGGTAATATTCCAGTCCTTTAGTTTTTCCTTCTTCAACTATCGATTAGTTCAATAGGTTTAAAGATTTCACACAATGTATCCATCATATAATTGGATCCTCTATGTAAAATGTATTTCATCGAGTGGAAATCTGGCTTTTTTCAGTCAGGAGTTATATGTGTTCTGAAAACAAACTGGTTGGTCATGTTGACAGAGTGCAGCAACACTCCGTTAAATAAACCAATGGAATTTTAAGGACAACATTATTGTAGCCTTCATAGAAGAAAAAAATTCAGGACTGCCTTTAGCTGGTAGTACTGTAAAGTGAACGTAGGAAGGAGCACAGAAGAACATACTTCCCAGAAACAAATGTTTATGAATGGAAGAGTTAACCAGTTTAAAAAAATAATTTAAGCAGATACAATACAAGGAAATACTGGTTTATGATTTAGTGTTGCTCCAAATATATAGGCAAACTCTACAGGAATATCTACAGTAGGCCTGCAAAATACAGTCGCTACATTTTGCAATAAAATCTTGTAAAGTGCTTTGAAATGTCCTCCCGAGATGAAAGAAGTTATGTTCAAATGCAAGGATTGCTTTTTCTCATCATCTGCAGTACAAAATATCGTAGATTTCACACACTATCTTTGAAGTTCAACAGAAATCTACAAGGTAAAGATTGTCAATATTATGACATGAATGTCATAATATTTTACGTATTTAACTGGAATGTTGTTAAGGTGCTCTCAACCAATCATTCTCCTTCTTGGGAAGCAGAGGCATCATACGGTTTGTTTAGAAATGATTCATTCACGTTATTCTAGAGATTACAATTTCATGAACACGCACCTTTTTGAACACCACTGTATTCCAGATTCAATTTGCAGGAAGCAAGGCTGAAAGAAAGAGATCAAGAGTACAAAATCACAGAATCTACAAATTAATGAAGTTTACCTCTGCTGCTGTTGTCGCTAAAAACTCTCCCCTCCCAACACAACCCATTCGTTAACATCTTCACAAAGACAGGAAAACAAAAGAGACTATTTGAAACTTGGTATTTTTCTTGATCCACTAACATAAATTCAGGAATATATATATTAAATATATATAGAGAGAGAGAGAGATCCACAATTTGGCTTGAGCAATAAGCCAAAACCTACACTAAGTGGGCATTAATTTTGCTTTAGCAATTATTTCATCTACAATACTGGTCTGCTCAAACCATTGTATAATTAAAACAACATTAGTTCTTCTTCCACCCTGTGTGGGTTTCATTTTATAGGCATCAAGTCTAAAAACTGAGTATTCGGCAAACCCACCACCTACAGTTTGACCCTCATTTCATGGATAGTTTATCAACAGAACAAAAAAAAAGCTTTTTCACCACCTTTTTGCACAGTATTGTTTTTCAGGTGTTTCTTTTTCTATTTCTATTCTTATCTGTGAACTTCAGTTCTTGTTTTGAATCCCATCTGAGATGCCAAAACAGTGTATCCTAACGTGAAAGATACTATGTAAATGCAATCTGTTATTGTTGTTAAATACAAATGATAACCTGGATTGAATGTGTTTTTAAACAAAATGAACAGAATTTTTTTTAAAAAAAGATTATATCTAAGTAGCAAAATATAAATTTATAATTCTTTCAGCACAAATTGTTCAGTATGAAAGAGTTGGGTATCATGAGAATTATTTCCATTTATTATTATAAATAATAATAACAATCCTTATTTGATGTAGCACCTTTCATATCAGGAGGATGTCCCAAAGTGCTTCACATGATAAACTGTAAAGTGCAGCAGCTGTGTGTTTTGGTGGCCAACACAGCAACCTATTTGTCCACAGACAGCTATGAAGTAAATGACCAATTTTATTTGTGGGGTTGCTTGCCAGGACACCAAGAGAAACTCTCTCCTCTTTTTTGAATTGTGCCATGCGATCTTTAACGTCCACTTCAACAGGCAGATGGGACCTCAGTTTAATGTCTCATCCAAATGACTGCACCTCCAACAAAGGAGCACACCTCCCTGCACTACATTGCAGTGCCAATTTAGACTATATGACTTCCAAGTCCCAAAGTGTGGCTTGAACCCACAACAATCTGACCGAGAGGCAAGTGTGCTACTAACTGAGCCAGAACCTTTAGTAAAATAGCCATATTTATAAGCAGTAAACACAAAATGCAGAGTCTGTAATACATTAATAATCTAATGGAGGCGGCCTTAACTACAAATAGAGTATACGCCTTTCCAATAAAAACAACTCATTGGAGACCTATTAACTATTTTAAAACTAAACTGTTGGAAATGCCAAATTATTAAAATCAGAGATGTTTGAGCAACACAAGCATATTTTCTCTTCTGTTTGCTACATTTCCCCAAACATAACTCATTACAGATGTTTGGCTTGTTCAGTTACTATACTATGAGGCAAAGTCTCATATGACTTACACTGCAAAAGGTTTTCTTTATCATAAGACTGTAGTTGGGATTAGCTGCTGATTCACACCATGGAAATTAGGACGATGTTCACAGTAGATGAGCAGGGTGGGGATTTTGTTATTCAAAGCATTCTGTGAGCCCAGTTTCCAAAGCCCCACTGTAAATGCATATTTGTTTGGCTCAAAATCCACAGCTGGTTCAGATTATAAACTCCTCACATTAATGATGGGAACTTACTTCCCCAATGTCAATTTAACAAGAGAGCAATCATGTCAAAAATCATACTTTCAATATTTTTCTCCCTCCCCTGCATCATTTGTCTACCATATTTGATCATACTTTTCAGTTCTAAAAATGTTTTTTTTCCCCATATATGCTGTCTTAACAACCTTGAGCGACCTAAATGTGCTATATTGGGAATATCATAATAAACCAGATTCAAAGTGGGTGGGAAAAGATTGAGGAACTACTGACCACATATTTTCCCCCAGAGCATGCACCATTGTCAATTCGCCACCAGCTGAGAGTGAGGAATCAGGATTTTCCATCCAGGATTTGTGCAGAGCGTATGGTAGCTCCACAAGTTCCAAATGCAGAGCAGAAAATCAAAAGTTCAAAATTCTACCTAGCTCTAGCCCGCGTCCAGCATCTTAAACGGTAAGATTACGCAGAACAGTGAAAAATTCTAAATTCAACCTTACGTATTTAAGAAATGCAGAAAATTAGTTTCCCGCTTCAGACCAGATGGAAGAACTTTCCATAATCTTCCATTTAAGATAAAAATGGTCTTATGTGCTAAGACTAGATGGAATTTCTGGCCTCAACCATTTCCAAATGGAGCTAGGAAAGGCGTGGTGGCAGATTTGTCGACCTGCCACGATTTGTAGGGCTTCTTACCCATATGTGAATGCCTGGACTCCCAACCCAAACATCTCAATCTCCCCTTCCCTAAATGCATCTTCCTCCACACAGAGCCCTAATAATAATCCCTCCAAAACCAAAAACAATAATAAATTGGTCATTTTCAATCCACAACTGTTTGTGGGACACTGCTGTGCGCAATTGGCTGCCGCGTTCGCCCACAAATATACAGTCAATTCACTTTACAGTATATTCTGTGAAGCGCTTTGGGACGTCGAGAAGACGTGAAAAGGGCTATATCAAATGCAAGAATTATTATTATTATTATTATCCATATGCCTCCACCTCCCCTTCCCTCATTCAAACACCAGCCACTCCCTCCCCCTCCACAAACACCACCCTCTCTCCTCTCCCCCACCCTCTCCCCTCTCCAAACACCACCCTCTCTCCTCTCCCCCACCCTCCCCTCCTCCCCCACCCTCTCCCCTACCCTCCCCCCCCTTCTCCAACCACCATCCTCTCCCCCTTCTTCCCCAATACACCGCGAGCCAATTGACCACTGCGGTCAAGTGACTGCAAAGAAAGCCAGTGTTTGCGGCATTAAGATTGTTATCATTGCTGCCGGGGGCCACAGAGGCTTTTTTGTTAAATGTATATGAAGAGAGAGAGAGAGAGAGAAGTCGGTGCAATTTATCCCGAAACATCAGCAACCAGTCAGTCAGGTCAGGTGAGACTGGGTGTCTTTCAGCTCAGCACAGGTGGAGGAGAGGGAGGGAGGCATTTTCTTTTGAGCAGCCAACATCACAAGCACAGGGTGGGCAACTAACTACACACTGCCCCGGAGGGAAGGTGACATGGTCTGTATGGTGAACCCGCTGACTGATGGTCCGCCACTTCATTGACAGATCGATTTTACGCCCTATTCCTGAGACCCGGCGACCTCAGAAGAAGCGAGAGCCTTGTCGCTGACATTACTCACCCCGACCCCCTAACTGGGTGGGTGGGCGGGTGGGGTGGGGGGGGGAAACACATGCCACATGTGTGGAGCTTCTCATCCATCCATGAATGTCTCTACTCCCACCCCAACCTCCTGGACCTCACCTTCTCTTACCCACATGCCTCCTTCTCCCCTTCCCCCGCTACCCTCCCCCACTGCCCTCATCCAAACACCTCCCCCCTCCCCAGGAATCTCTTATTCTGAACCACATTGTTCTTTGCACTAAGACACCCACCATCCACCCACCCACCCATCCACCCACCCATCACTGTGTTAGCATTGGGTCCCCACAGTTGACACTGTAACTGGAGGCTGTGGCTGGAAGGTCCCACGTTTTCATGTCAGAAGGAAAAAAAAAGGGGGTCAAATTGTCTTTATTACCAAGAAAAAAAAACACATTCACGTATGTTGGTGGCCCTTGAGGGTTTCTACACTACTGGATGTATTCCCAGATTTACAAAAAAAATGACATTAGTTGCAGCTCGCAAGGTAAAGCTGGGAGCAAGGATGCAAGTGAATCTTTTTTCTTCAACCCCCCCCACACCCCCCCCCCCAAAAAAGATCTGGGGTACAGTATCACTTTAAGACAAGAAACAAAATGGCATCGGTTAAGCATCTGCTCTGTAGTTGGTGGTGTGATAAAACCCCTTCACAGCTACATTCTCAAATGGTTTACAGCGGCCAGTGGGCAGGAGAAAGAGCTCCCATCGAATACAAAATACACACTTGGTTTCACTTACCCATATCAATGACTTAATGCCAGTTACATTCCTATTGTACTTGTACACATGCAAATCAACTGTGGGCTGTGTTGGACCGAGTTGCACAACCAGAAAGCTGAGACACCAGGTTAACATGTACCCCCTGAAATGCAACCCATTGCGAACCCTCCCTAAAAACCGCCAGTGGCTGGAAGGAAGGAAGGAAGGAAGGAAGGAAGCCCCCGTTTAACCAGAAGCCACATTGGCTTTGCTTCGTGTTGGAATGCCTTCAGTGACCGACAATGATACCGGGAACATTTAGACTGGACATAAAAACACACACACACACACACACACCAGCGATCGGTAATGTGAAATGTACTCATTTCCCCGCACTCCGCGTGGTCACTCCGAGAGAGAGAGAGAGAGAGACGGTGGGGTGGGGGAGAGATTCATTCGGTCTCATTAAAAAAAACACCAGTCAGTGTGTTATAAATTCAAGCTGAATGGAGCCTTCAGAACACCCCGATCTTTTAAGCCGATCGGTTTGAAGCTGCTCAAGTACACACACAAAAAAAAGCCCTGGCAAATGATTTCCATGTTATATTATACAACGACTGCTATCTCCCCACCACGAATGCGTCACGAAGGCACGAAAGATGCTCCCCTCCGATTCATCTTCCAACGCACAGTGTACCTCTGATCCCTGAGCTCCAGCAGCAGTTTGGAACAGTGGGGTAACACGTCTCATCATCATCATCATCATCATCATCATGACAACAAGAATAAAAAAAACAAAAGTCCCACGTTTGAAAAGTTCACACCGACAATTTCTTAGTTAAAAACCAGAGTCACACACACACACACACACACGAGAGAGAGAGCCCCTCCCCAGCTAGAATATTGACCGTAAAAGAGAGAGAGAGAAAAAAAACACGATTTATCTTCTCAAAGAAATTCTGATGCATTATTCGCCCGACCAAGCCACGAAGCGATTAAAATACATACAAGTTGAAGGCGACAATAAAGACGAGGAATTGGTGTCTTGTTTGGGTGAGTCAGTCTTGGTTCTTTTTTTTTTTGCAGCAGCAGAGGCAGAGGCAGCAGCAGAGGCAGCAGCAGCCGCCCGGCGGAGATGCAGTCCCACCCGCTTGTCCAGGCTCCTGGTACTCACTGTCTGATCAGATTGGTTTGGCATTTCGGGACGAGCACGTTTTCTTTCCACATGGTCTTCCGACGTAACGCAATCAAACGGCTAAAATCCCCGCTGTCGCGGAAAGCCTTTTGCGTACAGCAGCGACCAGTGATTCCTGCACTTTTCAGAGGTGGAGGTGGTGGAGGAGGAGGAGGAGGAGGAGGAGGGGGAAAAAAAATCAAAATGTTTCTACGGGAAGAGAAAATATGGCGGCTGCAAATCTCTTTTACCCTATCTATGCTCGTGATAGCCTTATAGATAACCATTTAAATACAACGTGGGAGGGAGGGGGAGAGGGGGGGGGGGGGGGACACGTACATCATATGCCATCATCTCCAAACCATCGCAACCCCAACACAGCCACACTTTGGGGTGGTGGTCTTGGTGTAGTTAAATGGTTGGGGAGAAACATAGGGAGTACACACACATACACATACACACATACACAGGGGTCAACATTTTACAGCCTTTGCCAACACATGGGATTTACTACAACAACAATCCCCCTCCCCCCCCCAAAAAAAAAAACACTCACTCGTTTAACGGTGAAGGTATTTTTTTTGTTGCCTTGAGGTTTTTACAAAATAACACCCATCAATATCTTCAAGAGTCCCGAAATAAAAACAACTCCCAACACAAAACACCATCTGAATCTTTTGCCAAATCAGTGGAGTGGGGGGGAGTGGGGGGGGGGGGGTGGGGGTACCAGAGAAACTCACGCGTGCGAATGGGAATTGATACCCCGATAGAGCGCGCGCGCTCAAAAGGAAAGGTACCTGTGGAATAATTGCCTTAAGCGATCATTGCATAGCTGATAGGATTAAACAGTGGAGAAAAATAACACCTCCTCGGCTCCCCCCCCAAAGCCAAAACAAAAGCTTTCTGGAAATACTATGGCCGGAAAGGCGTCATCATTCCGGGACTGCACACTTGCATTGGTGAAAGGTCAGTCTTTAAAACCGAACCGAACCAGAGGAGAGGAGTGGACAACGTGCGGCGTGTCCACTCTCTGGTTCCACGTTGTCCGAGTTTGTCAAACGTGGCGTGAAATGGGCGCGGCGCACACACACACTCACTCACACACACACACACAACCCCCCCACACACACACAAGTGATGCTTTCGTTCTGCGTGTGTCCTGAGGGGTGTTTGCTTTTGCGTTCTACACACACTCACCACCACACACACCACCACACACTGACCACCACACACACACACAAACTGACCACCACACACACACGCACTGACCACCACACACACACCACCACACACACACACACCACCACTCACTCACACACACACACCACCACTCACTCACCCACACTCTCACCACCACACACACACTCACACAGTAGTTTGAATTGTGTGTAACTTATCCTAAAGAATTGGGACTGCACGTTATTTGCTTCGTGCTGCCGGTGAAGTTACTCACTGAATACAATTGTTTTCCCTTTTTTAAAAAAAATATATTTATCCAGTTTTATTGTCCATGTGCTTTCTTATTTGGACGAGATTTATTAAACCTCTTGGGAGCCTGGATGAAAATTAGGAAGACTCAACTAAAAGAATCTTAAAATTGTAAGCGCTGTTTATTTGAGAAGGTATTCGTTTGCAATGGGCTGTGGTGTGTGGCATTGTGTATGATTCTAAATATGGAATAGATGTATTTTTCACCCAGAGGTAAGGTTGTAGATTTGGAAATCCAATCTGCACGAGCAGCGCTCTTAAGATAACAAATAAGATAACAAACATAAAATAAACAAACTGCTCCAAATGTTGCCAAAAATGAGAGGCAGGGGAATTATGTTGATGAAAATGTGAAAAAGATTCTTTGGAGTTAAAATTCAATATTGATGAAAATAAGCTTCATATTTTCAAACCACTTGCATGTCACCAAAATAAACAATACTTGTCCTTATTTTAGGTCACTATTTTTGTGCAAAATAAAATCCCTTAATAAGTATTTCCCTTCATGTTCTTACCTCTTTTTACTTCTGCTTGTCCCCTTTGCTCAGCAAACTCACGCCTCCTGCATGTTCCTCACCTTCTACCCCAGCATCCTTGGCCAAGCTTTCAGTCGCTGTGCCCATACTGTCTGAACTCCCCTAAATCCCTTCACCTCACTCCTCTGTATCTTTCCTAAAAACCTAGCTCTTTGACCATGCTTACACCCACCCTCTCCTTTCCGTTGCTTGTTATCCGGCATCGTATCTGTATAAAGGCTCTAAATAAATCTTCTATGAAGCTTACAAATAATAGGTCATTTGTTCTATTACAGGAACATTGTACCCTGAGTCTGTAGGGCCATTGGCTGTGACAAACAGTGGACTGTGGAATAAAAGGAGTTTATTTTACACAGATGCATGATAATTCCATGATCCAATTAAGAATTACAAATTATCAGAGGACAAAATCTTACCTTGTGTCTACTTCATGAAAGTAAAAGTGAAAAACTGCTGATCCTATACACATTAGATATCATTTTCAGAGTCACCATTGGCCATCACACTTTCTGATGAGTTTTATTTGAATTTTGAGACCCTACCATATCCAACAATTATGGTGCATTTCAATTATGCTTTCTGTCAAACAAATTCCTTCCCTTCCTCCAATTGTTCATCTTGCGAGCATACATTTTAGATTGTGCTATGGGTTTGAATAATCATTTGAAGGTACAGTCATTCATTTGGAAAGTCATTTTTTCCATTATCCACATGCCACCTTCTGGCCCTTATCAGAACAACAAGTGTGTCCACAATAAAAGACTTTGAAATCGCATTGACTTCATTAATTAGAAGTCAAATGTTATTTATCGTCTGAAAGGATTAAGACTTACTGGACTAAATTGCTTTTTTTTATTGTTCCATGCTTTCTGTTACATAATATAAAAACACTTGCAATTGAATATGGCTTCCAATCACATCATCAAGATGTCTCAAAACACAGAATGTTATTGTGATTTTCAGTGACTGCCTATTTGTAGGCGAACACAGCAGCCGATTTGTGTACAGCAATGTTCCACACACATTGCTGAAGTGAGTAACCAATGGGGAATTGTTGACCAGGACAAGGTATGTTTATGTTTAGATAACCTACAGAACTATAGCAATGTACAACACAATAGGAAGCCATTGTATTAGTCAGAACAGATATACGATCCTCGTCAGTTTGTCTTTGTCTTCTTTTTTGTCTTCCTTGTCCTGCCTCTCCCTCTCAAATTGTCCCTAAAAACCTCCCCCTCCCAACGTGCCCCAGTTCTGACGAAGGGTCATGGACCTGAAACGTTGACTCACTTTTGTTTCTCCATAGATGCTGCCTGACCTGCTGAGCGTTCCCATTGACTTCTGTTTTTGTATTGGTCTTCATGCTTGCTTCTTCAATCAAGTCATTTTTATGCCAATTCTTTGCTCTTTCCCCATGTCCTCTGACCCCCTTCCACTATATGTGCTGATCTAATTCCCTTTTAAAGCCTCAGTTGACTCTTCTGCAGCATCCCATGAAATTCATTCCATACCTTGATAACTTTCTGAAAGAATTTCCCCCCTAAATTCTTTGGCCCTTAGTTACATCCCGAATCGATGCCCTTCACATCATCTACAGTGGAAATAGTTTCTCACAATTTATCTTCTCAAATCCTTTCTTTCAGCCAATTCTCAATGTGTGCCCTCCTATCGGTGACTTACTAGGATTGGAGAAAATAGCAAAAACAAATGGAGGAAACCCCATTTTTTTTTAAAAAAAGGCATCGAATCCATGGAAACACTGGGAACATTACAAACGCTACCGACAGTAATGCAACACGTACTCAGTAGGTGGCAGTGCGTCGTTCAATATACCACATCTGGAAGTTCAACAGTTAAAGCCATCAGGATTAGAAATTGCCAATCACTGTTTTAATCATTTGTTTTTTGGTGCACGAAGCCTTCAAGTCAGAGACGGTTCTTTTCCTCGGCGCCCTTTCTCTTTTCTGTTGGACTTTCAGCAATTACAGGATGTGATATCGCATGCATCGGTTTGCAGGGGGAACGGCTCAGGTTATGAACAGCAAAGCAGCACTTCTGTAACCCCCGCGTCCACGCATCGGTCCCGCCACACAGTGGAGCATTTGCTGCCCTGATGCAACTGGCTGGAAAGGGTTGAATGTCTCCAATTCGGTTGGATGACCCATGAATCACTGTACCCAAAGGCGGAATGATTGGCTGAGTAGGTTCCTGAGACTCACCGGTTGAGTGCATAAGAGTGCAGTGTTGAGCTCCAGGAGCTCTGTGCGTGGCTGTACTGAGCGATAGGGAGTTCGGTGTCGTGTTCGGTCAATCCACTCAGTCCAGTCCAGTCCAGTCCAGTGCTGTCTTGAAAGGTAGGTTTACATGTCCAAACTTTTGGCCCGTGCAAGTTGCAGCAGTTTCGCATTTTTAAAAAAAGATACTATAATATATATATATACACACACACACACACACTGTATTTCGTTATAAATGGTAGAAACTCACCATGATTGTGATCCAGGGACTGTTTCTGCTCAACTGCCAAACAGACCCAGTGGTGTCGTCCCATGAAACTCAAATGAAAATCAAACAAACCTTCTGTTGAGTTCTGTTGAATAACATTTCGAAATAACCTGAATCCCACCCCTCACCAGCCCCTACCCCCTCCCCCCCTGCCCCCCACCCACCCACCCACCATCACCCCAAACATTAACAGATTTAATATTCACATTCATCTCATCAAAAAAAAACACTAACATGTGGTACGTGTGTGTGTGTGTGTGTGTGTGTGTTAACTCTGTTACATGTATCACACTCTACAGCTGATTGATTATTGCTCCGTGGAAGTGATTGATTATTGCTCCGTGGAAGTGATTGATTATTGCTCCGTGGAAGTGATTGATTGTTGCTCCGTGGAAGTGATTGATTATTGCCGGAGACCGGTGACAGCGATGTTCAGTTTGGATCGCAGCCCATCGGAGAGGCTGAACGAAACCTTTTACTCCAAAGTCCTGACTCCTGACCGCATCCCCGAATTCTTCATCCCACCCCGACTCGCCTCGCACCGAGCGGTGGTCCCCGACGCCGGCGGATCGGCTCCGGGTGTTGGACGGTCCCCTCCCGGCGGCCGGAGCGGACCGGGACTCACCGTCCAGGTGGAGAACGTGGACTCGGGATGCGGTTACAGCGACGAGGAGAGCACCGACGCGGACCCCCTGTCCCGGGCCGCCCTCTCGCTGACCCACCTGCGCAAAGCTCAAACCTCCTACGGGTTTTGCGCGCTGTTGGAGAGCCCCCACACGAGGCGCAAGGAATCGCTCTTCCACGGCCACCCGGTGAACCCGAGCGCCTCCCCCGTCCTCTGGAGAGGGCGAGCGAACACCTACAGCACGGGGGTCGCGACGGCCGCCCCCCTCCGGGCCAACTCCTGGGCGGTCAGAGTTTCGTCCCCCGAGATCAGGGCCCGATTCGGCTCCGGACACCCGGGGCTCCAGAGGAAGAGCGCCTCGGACAGTGACACCGCTTCGTCGACCGAGTCCTCCCCGTTCGGCTCCCCGCGCCTGACCAGGTCCCCGCCCGGGTCGTCCCTCTTCAAGGCGCTCGGGCAGGAAAGGCTGTTCGGGAGGACCTTCAGAAACGGAGGCAGAGCCGCTCCAGTCGGGAGCGACTCCCCTCCGCCCACCGACGAGGGGAGTTCCGCCGACACCAGTCCCGACATCACACGCCGAAGGGCTTCGGAGGAGGTGTCGGGCTTCCCGTCCGGTCCGGCGCCCAACCTCCTCCTGGCGCCCCCGAGCGCTTTCCACCTGGACCTCGGCTGCTGCAGAGAGACCCGCGCGACCGAAAACTCGGTGCCTTTGGGCCAAAGCGGTGTCTTGAGATTGTCCGCAGAGTACTGCCGAGAGAACCGAAGGGTACAAGTCCGACTCATCAGCGTCGAGGGGCTGTACGCGGCGTCCATTGAGCCCCAACACATCCACTGCTGCGTAACCCTCTGCCTGTCGCCGGGGAAGGTCCAAAAGCAACGGAGCGCGGCCGTTCGCAAAAGCAGAAACCCCATCTTCAACGAAGACTTCTTCTTCGACGGGGTCTCCGGCGACCAACTCTTCGATCGATTCTTGAAAGTGAAAGCCATCAACAAGATGTCCAGCGTGAAACGGGACCATGTGCTCGGAGTGTGCGAGCTCCGCTTGGGGACGCTTCTCGCCCTGTAAAGTGGTTTGGCCCCTGGAAATGATTCGACTCGATGTTTAACTTTTGTAACTTGTTTTTTTTAATAAAACGCCTCTGAGCGGACCGGGTGCAATCCCTCTCGTCATTTCCATTGGCGGAGTCCCGTGGGGCTCACTCAGCGCGTTAGAGCGCTCGCTTTGCCGGCGTGGGGCCCCGAGTTCAATTCCAGGCAGAGGGCGAAGCCTTGGGCAAGTTTCCTTACTCCACACACAGCCCTAATAATAATAATAATAATAATAATCCCTCCAAAAAAAAGCCAAACCAATAAGAAATTGGTCATTTTCAATCCGCGGCTGTTCGCGGGACACTGCTGTGCGCAATTGGCTGCCGCGTTCGCTCACAAATACGCGGTCAATTCACTTTACAGTGTGTTCTGTGAAGCGCTTTGGGACGTCCTCCCGACGTGAAAAGCGCTATGTCAAACGCAAGGATTATTATTATTATTATTATTATTATTTATAGGACGTAAACACCAATAGAAATATACAAGGATAACAATGCTGTCTTAAAATTCAAACCGTGTTTTGCTCTCGCTGTCACACAGTACTTTACTTCTCCAACTTATTTTCCGTTTGGTTCTATGCAGAGTAGAAGTGTGGGTGGTAGGGCTTAGACTGGGAAACTTTACAGCATTCATATAAGACTGGAAATCATAGACCACTTAGTTTAACATCTGTTCTAGGAAACTGCTTGAAACTTTAAAGGGGATGCTGTCGAAGATCATCCGAAGAGTACAAATGTTTAAAGTGATCGATATGGATTTGGAGTCCTACTGCAGATTATTATTTATGAATCTTTTTCAACTCTTGGGGAAGAACTAAGTTAGCGGATGAGAGCACATTGGAATGCTTTTAGATTTTCAGAAACCAATCAATAAACTTCCTTGTATGTAACTTTCAAAGCAAGTTAAAGTTCATAGGGTTAACGATAATTAACTAATGAAACAGAAAACAACCTTACTAATAAAAAATCTACCTTTAGAGGGACATTAAAGTTTTAGACAAGGTTTGGAGAAGAGGGATGATTTTGAGACTCGGGGCTGTGAATTTTGAGAGAGCCTTTTGGAACAAATAAGTGGGGGGAGCATGATCAAGGACTTTAAAATATACAAATAGAAACATGGAAATCTACAGCACAGATATAAGTAAAATAATTAACATAGACTGTGAGAGCAGAACTCCAGGGTATTGGTATAAAATTAAAAGATCCGAATCAAAACTAAAGATTCGAAGATTCTTCCTGTCACAAAGCAGTGGAAGCAGTTGGTATTGTGTAGATTGAAGCACCTGTTGGAGAACATTATTGGAAGATATAGGAATGGGATGCAGTCTGAGATCAGCGAGTATTCCACAGTACACCATGATGTCTACACTGCTCGTGACAGGGATTGCTATCTTTGGAAGGACGGAAGTCTCGGTTTGAACAGTGGAAATATTTGGATGGATGAATATTTAGTTTTTGCTTGATTAGTTTTGGGGTTCAGGCATATTTGCAGGTGAGCACTTAACATCCGCTTAACAAGTCAAATAAATACATGCTTATCAACCACAGTGGAGTAGAGATCCTAGTGGTGACAGCATATTCTGTGATAATTTGTACAATTCTGATTTGTTAGGTTGAGCCTCATGAAAAGAACACACATGAAAACTTAGTGTAGAGAGAAACTTCCCGAGTCCAGCTCAGTTCAGCTCTGGACAGTACATCGAGCCCCAGTCATAGCAGTAAAGCAGCTCCTGACTATTATCAGCCAAGCTAATAAATTCTTGCACCTTATTGCATACTGCTTTTTAATGTCTGAAATTAAGATAACTATAAATGTCGTCACTTTTTAAAAAAACCTAAAGGCACTAACTTACCAGAGTTACTGGAGTCCTGTAGCTCAGTGGTTAGAGCACTCGCTTTGCAAGTGAGAGACCTGAGTTCAATTCCAGGCAGAGGGCGAAACCTTGGGCAAGTTTCCTTACTCCACACAGAGCCTAATCCCTCCAAAACCAAAAACAATAATAAATTGGTCATTTTCAATCTACGACTGTTTGTGGGACATTGCTGTGCGGAATTGGCTGCCGCGTTCGCCCACAAATATACATTCAATTCACTTTACAGTGTTTTCTGTGAAGCGCTTTGGGACGTCCTCCCGACGTGAAAAGCGCTATATGAAATGCAAGGATTATTATTATTATTATATATCAGAGATGAATAACCTTGAAAAAGTGGTACTGTTTACACCAGAGCAAAGGGAGGAATCTGAAAGAGATTTCTGAATTTATGAATAGTTTTATTAGGGTAAATAGAGAAAGGCCATTTCCATAGATTAGTGAGTTTAGAGAGCATAAACAGATGAGGAAAAATTTTTTTTTTAAACACAGACAACCTATATAGACTACCTTACCAGAAATAGCTGTTGTGAAGCTAAGTTCATCTGAAAAATTAAACACATTGGATAAATATATGAGAAAAGTAATATTGATGGCAAAAGGAAAGAGGAGGAGAATGGAAGAGGAGATAGCTCCAGCTTGTACTGACCCAGAGACGATTAGTTGAAATGGCCTATTTTAGGCTTTAAACTTTTCATGATTTATCATCAGAACTCAGTATCAGGACTACATCAGTATAGTAAGATAGGACGCATTATGTTAAGCTAAGAGAAAAGAGAAACTGGAGCAAGAAATATTAATGGTCACAAAGACATTTTTACATAACACTTTGCTTACTTGACCCACAATCAGTTTTTGCACAAGTTAAAATTTTAAGTTGTGTGTTGGGGAAATTTCTTTGAAAATCAACAGTCCAATACATTTTGATAATTTATTGCAAGTGGCAATCAGTTGAGTCTACCGGACCAGGTTAAGTCTGCTATTTCCATTAAACACAAATAATCTATTTCCAATAAATAGAAGGAAACTGTGACCATTGTGCAGGTGGAAGTCTGGTTGCCACATCATGTAACGGACACGATCAGCTTCATGTTTGTAAACAAAGGGGAAAACGTTTACAAACAGCTTGCAACAACGTTTGTTTCAAATAAACAGTCCTTGCATTTGACACAGCGCCTTTTACGTCTGCTGGACTCCTCGCCGCGCTTCACGGAATGGACCGTCAAGTGAATTGGCTGTATATTTGTGGGCGAAACGCGGCAGCCAATCGCGCACAGCAGCAGTGCGTGTCCCGCCAACAGTTCAAGAAGGGGCTTACGTTCGGCTCGAGGCATCTTTTGCCAAGTGGGTGGCAGCCAGACGAAAAACTGGGGAAAATGTAAAGCGACGCTCGTATTTTTCGTCGCACGTGAAAACAAATCGCATGTCATGCCTTAGTGTGTGTGTTGTGTGTGTGTGTGTTGTGCAACCTCTGTCACGCTCCAACCACTACCACCACCAGCACCAGAATCACACTTCGAATCGTTCCGCGAACGTTTGCGCAACGTGAAGGAAGTGGCTTTCGTGCAGCAGCAGAATTACGTGGGTGGGTGGGGGAGGTGTGTGTGTGTGTGTGTGGGTGAGGGTGTGTGTGTGGGGGTGTGTGTGTGGGTGGGGGTGTGTGTGTCTGTGTGTGTGGGGGTGTGTGTGTGGGTGGGGGTGTGTGTGTGTGTGTGTGGGGGGTGTGTGGGTGAGGGTGTGTGTGTGTGTGGGTGAGGGTGTGTGTGTGTGTGTGTGTGGGTGAGGGGGTGTGGGTGGGGGTGTGTGTGTGTGGGTGGGGGTGTGTGTGGGTGAGGGTGTGTGTGTGTGTGTGTGTGTGTGGGGGTGTGTGTGTGGGTGGGGGTGTGTGTGTGTGTGTGTGGGGGTGTGTGGGTGAGGGTGTGTGTGTGTGTGGGTGAGGGGGTGTGGGTGTGTGTGGGTGGGGGTGTGTGTGTGTGTGTGTCTGTTCAGCCACAAGTCTCCCCAACAGACATTGAGGCAATTTGAGAGCCACTGAAAGAGAAGTTTCGCGCAAGCGCGGCTCCTGTTTGTTTGACCTGAGTCACGCAGCAGCAGCGCTGGGGATCGCGAGTGAGTGACTGAGTGAGTGAGTGACTGAGTGAGTGAGTGACTGAGTGAGTGAGAGAGAGACAACACAGCACAACATGGTGTTTGAGTCGGTGGTCGCTGATCTGCTGAACAGGTTTTTGGGGGATTACGTGGAGAACCTGGACAAGTCCCAGCTCAAGCTGGGAATATGGGGAGGTAAGAGCAACGCGCTTTATTGTTGGACAGACGGACACTGAAGGCCGGAGCGAGTTGTTCACTGGTGTCTGTGTGTGTGTGTCTGTGTGTGTGTGTATCTCTGTGTCTGTCTGTCTCTGTGTATGTGTGTGTACTTGTGTGTGTGTGTGTGTCTGTCTGTCTGTGTGTGTCTGTCTCTGTATGTGTGTCTGTCTCTCTGTGTGTGTCTGTGTGTGTCTGTGCGTGTCCTGTCTCTGTGTGTCTGTGTGTGTCTGTCTCTGTATGTGTGTCTGTCTCTCTGTGTGTGTCTGTGTGTGTCTGTGCGTGTCTGTCTCTGTCTGTGTGTCTGTCTCTGTGTGTGTATCTCTGTGTGTGTCTGTCTCTGTATCTCTGTGTGTGTCTGTCTCTGTATGTGTGTGTGTGTCTGTCTGTGTGTGTGTGTGTATCTCTGTGTGTGTCTGTCTCTGTATGTGTGTGTCTGTGTGTCTGGGTGTGTGTCTCTGTGTGTGTGTCTGTGTGTGTGTGTGTGTGAATCTGTGTCGGTGGGATTGAGATTGAACCTTTCCTTCCGGATGTGAGTGCCTGAGACTGTCAGAGGGGGAATAACCCCGGATATATTGAGTTGATAAATTATTAACCTCTTCTTTTTCAGTCCCACATTCCCACCGAGCAAAGCAGCCCTGTGGTGCACTGCTGGAGTTAGACAGGATCACTGGGCCCAGAATTTCAGGAACTAACATACACAAAATGCTATTTTTAAAATATATATATATCAAAAATAAAACGTTAAGCCCTCCCCCCCCCCCCCACCCTCCTCCTTCCCTCCCTCCCCTTCCCCCTCCCCCTTTTGGCTCATTTACATGTTCTGAAGCACATTTTTTACAATTTTTTTTATTACGGATGCTAAATATGTCGTAAAATTGTGGGTGGCTTGGACTGCGACGTACAAGTCGCTAATGTTGAAATCAGACTCCGCCATCTTCCCGTCCCCCCACCCCCCCCCCTCCAACAAAAAAATAAATGAGTCAATTCTCAGACCCAATCTGTTTAGAGTGCGTGGGAATATAAAGCTGAATGAGGTCTTTTTGGTGCATTTGTCATCTCCCGCTTGGATTACTCCCAACTCACACCTCGCCGGTCTCCCCGACTCCACCATTCGCAAGATCCAGCTCATTCAAAACTCCGCCGCCCGCACACTAACCCGGACCAAACTCCGTACCCTCATCTCACCAGTTCTGGCCCAGGCTCCACTGGCTCCCCATCACCGAACGGATCGACTTCAAGATCTTCACTCTCGTGTTCAAATCCCTTCACTCCCTGGCACCTCCCTACCTCTCCGAACCCCCTGACTCCCCAATCCACCACCCGGCACCTCCACTCGACTGGCCCCGGCCTCCTGCTCGTCCCTCGCACCCTCTGCCCTACCCTCTGGAGGTCGCGCTTTCAACCACTGCGCTCCAAAACTCTGGAACATTCTCCCTCAATCCCACCCCTCTCTCCGCTCTTTCAGGACCTGCCTGAAAATTTTCCTGTTCGACCATGCTTGCGGCCTCCTCCCCCCTCCCCCTGGCTCGGAGCAAGTTGTTTTTGGTGGTGGTGTTTTGGTGACATAATATGAAGCTGATTTGTGTATTTCTACATAGCTTGTGGTTTTCATGTGTGGTTGAAATGTTGCCAAGAGCTAATTTCACACATTTTAAATTTATAGAAGTAGTTGCACCATTGACGAGAATAACAGGCATGAGATAATACATGCATAATGAAAGGCTAACCAAATTTGGGCCTTTTTTTATTGGAGCAGAGGAGATTAAGATGGGTTGCGATAAAAGGTACCATTGGTGTAAATTAAGAAAACAACTGTTTGCTTTGGTTGTGAAATTGGTGATGGGAGGAGGGGATTTAGACCAAGGATTGTTTGAAGAATTCATTCCCGATTTCTGGATTTGAGCTCATAATCTAGGCTTAAATTCCAGTTCAGTCTTTACGGAGAGCTTCATTGTTGGAGCTGCTATCACTCAGGTGAGACATTGAATACTGCTGTATTCAACAGTAAATGTAAAAGAGCCCACAGCACTATTTGAAAGCGCTATTCTCCTGGTTAATGGTTATCATGAGGAATCCTTTGCCATCGAGAAAGTATTTTATCATAATAACAATAATAATTCTTGCATTTGATACAGCGCCTTATCACGCTTTGAGATGTCTCAAAGCGCTTCGCAGAATATACTGCAAAGTGAATTGACTGTATTTTTGTGGGCAAAACGCGGCAGCCAATTGCGCACAGCAGTATGCCACAAACTGTGGTGGATTGAGTGACCAAATTTTTCTTAGTATATTATTTTTTAAAGGGATTATTATCGCCTAAAATTCAGGTTCCTACTTACTGCTAGATGAACAGAAGCAGGTGGAGTAAGGAAACTTGCTCAACGTTTCACACTGCCCAGCTTAGCCATGTTTTCATCCTCAATTTGTAGTGGGAGAGTACTTTGAACATGAAATATACCCTCGAGACTTAATTTCCCCTTTTTGAACAAATAATGATGTGAGAGGAAGAGACCCCTCCAAGATGGTGTTTGAGCACAGGGAGAATATTTTACAGAGGGTTGTTAGGATGTGGAATGCTTTAAAAAAACAGTAGTTGAAGTGGAATCCATAGCAATTTTAAAAGGAAAAAAAAAGTGTTGGGAAAAGACAGTGGAATGGGATTAAATAGTTAGCTCTCACAAAGAGAAGCCATAGACACAATGGCTTTTTGTTGTGCTGAAATATTATGATTCATATCGAAGATACACACAATTGCACTTGATAATTGAAAGAAAAAATAACTTTTTTTTAGTTTTATATCTAAATATGATAAGCCATGTGAAATGATTTGCTTTTTTATTTTTTTACAATGGTTTACAATGCATTGTTTAAGGTACCTTAATTTTCCACATTGCTATAATACTGAATGTTACCCTGTTCTAGGAAATGTGGTCCTTGACAACTTGCAAATCAAAGAAAATGCACTTGTAAGTATCATAAATGTGCCGTATACTGTTTATACTAAAATGTCTGACCAATATTCTTTCGCTAATTGAAAATTTTAAAAATGACAAATTTGCCCGCAAAACAGACTTTGAGACGTCCTCCCGACATAAAAGTGCACTACCAAATTATATATTATTATTGTAAAATAAAAAGGGATTATTAAAAAACTTTGTAGAAGAAATGATGGTAGATCGTGTCCATTGGAGCAACTCCTCCATTTAGATTTACCTCCAAATACAGGATCACTGCACTTATCAGTAATTGATATGAAGCACTCTGAGATGGATCAAAGTGATAAAGTGGTATTATCAAATGCACAGATTATTATTTATTATTCAGCATACTTACGTAATGGGCCAACTGCTCAATTCTACCTCCACTGATGAATATTAATGCCTGGAAGAATTAGTTTGCCCCTGCATCAGAATTGGGCCTGTCTAATTGTGACACCAATTGTTGACCAGTTAAGACACTGCCAGATACATCAGTTAAAACTCAGAATGCTGCTGTACTTTTCTTGCCTGTATGTGAAGGCAGCGAATGCTGATGCATATTTGTATTGCTTGCGGGTTTGAGCATCTGACAAAGAAAACCTTCCAATCTGGGATGTAAATGTACCCTGGGAAATTAGATGCAAGGTATTTTTGAAAGAAAAGTACAAAAACATTGCTATTGTCCACTCTTGATACCTCAACAAATGTGTTAATTGTTTCTGTGTAGGTAAGAATGCTTCATATTGCATATTGAATGGGACTGGTTGTTGCCTTTCAAAAGTACACCTGGGTAAAAGTATGTCAATAGAACTATTAGGTTTCCCTTTTCACATCCCAGGAGTTTCCAGAGTTCTGCCGATAATATGTAAAGCCTTCGCACTTCAATTTGTAAGGGTGAACTTCCTCCTCTACCTTAAAAATTCTGAAGCGGTTTTCCTTCGGATGGTTGGCTCTCCTGTGTAACAACAACAAAATGACATTTGTATGTCGCTTTTCATGTCGGGAGGATGTCCCAAGGCGCTGGACAGTCAAGAGTTTCGGACCCGAGTTGGGGGTTGGGATTGCGGCGGTGGGGGGGGGAGCGGAAGCAGGTGATCGAAAGCATGGTCGAAGAGGAGGGTCTTGAACTGGGTCTTGAAGGTGGAGGGGGCGAGGTCGAGGGAATGCGGGATGCAGTTCCAGAGGATGGGGGTAGAGCGGCAGAAGATCCGCCCGCCATTAGTGGGGCGACCGAGGCGGGGGACGTGAAGCAAGCTGGAGCTCACTGAGTGGAGGGAGCGATCGGGTTGGTAGGGGGTTAGGAGGTCGCAGAGGTAGGGTGTAGCAAGACCGTAGAGGGCTTTGAAGGTGAGGACCAGGATCCCGAACTGTATCCTGTGTGATGGGAAGCCAGTGGAGTTGGGCTAGGATGGGGCTGCAGAGTTCTGGATGATTTGCAGCCTGTGGAGGGTGGAGTTGGGCAGTGAGTTTGCATAGTCGAGCCTTGATGTAATGAAAGTGTGTATGAGGGTTTTGGCGGCCTGTGGTGTGAGGCAGCGGTGGAGCCGGGCGATGTTGCGGAGGTGAGGGAAGGCAGAGGTGGTCATGGCACAAATGTGGGGAAGAAAGGATAGTTGAGGGTCAAATAAGATGCCAAGGTTCCGGACTGGCTTAGCAAGGTGGAGTGTGCATCCATGGATGGTGATGCTGTCAGCGCCTGCGGTGTGGCGGCGCTGACGGGACCCAATCAGGGAGGGCCTCGGTCTTGTTGACGTTCAACTGAAGAAAATTAGCACTCATCCAGGACTTGATGTCCGCCAGACATTCTGTCAGAGCAGCAGTGGTCCTGGAGTCAAGGGTGGATGCAGAGAGTTGGGTTTCATCCGCATACATGTGGAAGTTGACCTCTAAAGAGGAGGGGATAGAGCCCTGAGGAACACCACACGAGACGGTGCGGGGGCTAGAGGAGAAACCGTTTGTGGAGATGAAGTGGAGGCAGTGCGAGAGGTATGATCTGAACCAGTCAAGGACAGAACCGTGAAGGTTGAGGTGAGAGGAGAGGCGGTGGATGAGAATAGTGGTGGTCAACGGTATCGAAGGCAGCAGAGAGGTCAAGGAGGACGAGGAGGCAGAGGGAGTCCTAGTCGCAGATAGACAGAATATCATTTGTCACTTTGACCAAGGCTGTTTCTGTACTGTGGGCAGCACGGAACCCTGATTAGAGGGGTTCATGAAGGGGGTGGCAGAAGAGGAAATAGCGAAGCTGGGAAGTAACAACTCGTTCCAGGACCTTGGAGAGGAAAGGGCGGTCGGACATGAAGCGGTAGCTTGTGAGTAGAGATAGGTCCAGGGAGGTTTTTTTTTAAGGATAAGAGTGATAAAGGCCCTTTTTAATAGGGTGGGAACAGTACTAGTGGACAGGAAGCGGTTTATGATGTCTGAGTAGAGTGGCAAGGAGGTGGAGCTGGGAGGTAAGGCGAGGGGTAGGGATGGGGTCGAGGGAGCAGCTGTTCGATCTCATGCGGGTTATTGTGGTGGTGAGTGAGAGAGGAGTGGGAGACAAGTTTGAAGGTGTGGAGGGAGGGGATGGGGATGGTGTAGCAGACGGAAGGGCAGAGGCAGATGAACGAATCCCCTCGACTTTGGATTCGAGCTCGTGAGAAATGGAGAAAATAATAAGCTTATTTGCTATCTAAAAGGACAAGCTGCTTCCTTGTTCACATGCCTACAGCTGCAAAAAGGTACAGTACATCACAATATATAGCATACTTTTCCAAGTCATCGGGGAATGCAGACTAGGTTCTGTAAAATGCTTTTAATTGACAGATTCAGGTGTTGCCTGTCTCATTTATAGATAGAAGTAAGAGGGAAGTGTGCATTGCACTGATAGCAGTACTGAGTCAATTGTCCTGAGAGATGGTTCATTAACCTTCACTGTGTTGAAGAAAGACAATAGGGACAAACTTTTACCTATAAATGCAGCGCATCGGGAGTGTGAAAAACAGCCACCATGAAGATTGAGAGAGAAGAAAATGTCATATTATAAATGCAAACCCTTATTGGGATGCCTATGCCAGATACAGGATGCTTAGTTCAAATACACTATGAACCATTGATATAAAACAAGAACGTCGCTCACTACTGTGTGGACTGCTGTTTGGAATATATCAAGTACACCTGATGGTTGGCTAATAGCTGTTATCTATCTGATGATTGAGGTGGTACAAGGTGTTATGGTTGTTCCTGATATCATTGCGCTTGATCTCAAGCAGCTACAGAAGTGCTGGAGTGCCCGACAATATCACCTGTGAAATTCTGAGTCTGGAAGGAATTTGGATGGATGCACTTAATGAACCAGGTGGATTAATTTTGCTGAAATAGTTGCTCCTATTAATTTCTTTTCAGTAGCATAATTCAAGCATTGTGTAAATGGTTCTGAGGAATGCAGTATTAACCTGTGTTTTGGTGTTCTGTTTTTATACACTCGATTGTCTTAAGTGTGTTCAGTGTAAAGATTGTAATGTTTCTGCTTATTCTTTGTTGTTACATTACCTGTAAATTACAGGATTTATTTTTCCTCTCTTCCTTGTCCCTAAAACAGAATGATCTAAACGCTCCTTTCAAAGTTAAGGCTGGCCAGATCGGTAAGTTTATCAATCATTGCTTTGCAAATGTTGTGATCCTGATTTACTGTCAACCTCTTTTAGCTAGGTAGTGGAGACCCTTGAGCTTAAACCTCCTTCAAAGCTTCAGATAGAAAGAATCTAATCATTCTCTGGATACAAGTGCAAAATACTATGCCTGCTCTCATTAAACCTGTAATAAATGCATCCTTAATAAGCACAGTCTTGCATTTAAAATGTGGAACTGAGCTGGCTAAGTTTAATGATAGTCTTCTCAATGCAAACGTGCATTAAAATGGGACATTTTAAAAAAAAATTTGAATGTAAGATTAATAAAACCTTTTCAAAATGAACATTTTAATGTATCAAAATCCGAGGACCAAAGTTCCACCTAGCCTTAGCCTGAGAAACTCTTTGTTCTTAAACATTTAAGATTGCACAGAATTAGGGAAAATTTAGATGCCAATCCTTTTTTAGAACTGTGGAAAACATGCTTCTAAATTTAAGATTGAGTCTTCACAATACTGGATCATCGAAAGTTTTAAAACAAATAGCCTCAACAGGATAAGATTAGATGACTGACATTGAATGAGAATACGTATTCTTTTGAATTTATCTTCATCTTAATTTTATCTTGCTAACACTTCTTTCTCATTTGTCTTTCACTCTTTGTATTTTTCTAAAATTAATTTACTATTTGCATATCCATACTTAAGAGTAATTGCAAGCTGAATACTACCGAGTTTAGCTCACTTATGATAGGCTCCAGTTAATTCAGTTAATGGAGCACCTTTTCTGTAGGATGAAAGTCTCATAGTGCTGAATATATGATATGGAGAATTAAGAATATTGACCAAAAAGCAAGATAGTTCCAGAGGACAAGAGCTTAGTGCTTCAGAAAAGCTAACAAAATGCAGTGTTCCCATTTGCAATGCAGTGAGTGGACAGGATGTAATATTTGACTATTAAATGTACCCTCTGCCTTGTTTATTTGGTGTGGTTCAGACAACTTGATAGGTAATGGAAATTGCCATGCAATCAGAGTAAAAACACTTCAAATGCTGTCATGTCAACAAGATTACCGAGATATATAGTTGATAAATTGTTGGAAAAAAATCTCAGTGGCCAGTTTTGATCATACCATCTTACTTTCAGGACTTGACTTGTGGTGGGAGGGAGGAGGCAATTTTTTTGAGGGAAGCAAAGATTATTTTTGGATGTTAAAGATTGTCAAATTGGTGATATGGAAACATTACATACATATGTAGGAAGTGTGTCTTCTGCCCAATCCTCGCCATCATTGATGGCTGAGCTTTCAGCTTCTATGCCCCTAACCTCTGGAACTCCCTCCAACTTGCTCTCTTTCACTCTTCAAGGCTTACCTTAAAACCTACCTCTTCAATCGCACCTGTGGTCTCCTCCCCTTCATTCATTCACTTTCCTGTCATCCATCTGCTATCTCTCATCACAGTTAAGTGCTCTGAGACATCCCACTGAAGGTACTATATAAATGCAAGCTGTTGTTCATAACTCTGTTCCTATATCCTTTTATATCATTCTTGAACTGTTTATTTGGATATTTTATAATCTGTAATAACAATAAAAGATTCACACAGGGAGTGAGATTCCAGTGCATATTGGAGCTAGTATTTAACGAGCAGCGCTAAGGTAAGTTACAATGAACTGCTGTGTATGTGTATGTGTAATAATATTTTCGCTACATTAGAAACACAAAGTGGGTTTACAAATCTGTTATTACTAAGGTAAGTAAAACTAGACAATATTAACGAGGTAGAAGAGTGAGAGTAAACCAAGAATGTTGATGATTGGGGAGATGATTAAAGCATTGGAAATAGGAGGCTCTTTTATGCAACATAAAAAGTCATGGGGCTTTCTCCTGGCAAAAGGATGCACATAAAACCACTGTTTTCTTGCCGTTAACCTGTGTGATGTAGAGGGTGCAGTAATCAAGAGCGAAAGGAAAGGAAAACAAGTAGCTTATTTTCTGAAGTTGAAACGTTTTAAAATTGAAGTTTAAAATTTTGATTTGCCATAACAATTATGCATATGATTTTGCAAGGCAAGAAAGTCACATTGGGTGCAAATTGGCCTGGGAGGTAATAAATCAGGGATTGTGTGCATCTGAACCAAGATTTGCCGTGTGAGAGATCAAGTTGGTTCTTAAGATATTCACTATGCGGCCTAGTTTTCCAAAAGATTAATTTCAGCGTATCTCATGTTTTTTCATAAGCAAGCGAGCAGTGGCTTTTGCATCTTTAACCAACTGAATGAGGTCATGGCATTACATTCAGAGAACAGATGGTTTCTGTTGTGTTTTGAAACTATTGACTTTAAACTGCCCACATGAACATTTAGTTGAATAAGCAAATCTTTGTGACGAAGCTCTATATAAGTCTAATTCAGTGCAAAGAGGCAGGAAATACATTTCAGAAGAGAAATACACTGCGTCATTGCCACATAACTTCTGCTACCTAACTGTTTAATCAACATCAAGGTATTTTAAAAGGTAATTTCAAAGCATATTTACTGATGTTTGCATTAGTTTTTATTTGGGCAGCAAATGTCCTCCCATGTCCTGAACGATCCTTTCAGTTGCTTTGGTCTTGTTTACTCTATTCCACAACGGTTTGTTCCAGGAAATTCTTAAGTAAAGAAGTAACATTAATTAAGATCGTGTTCAAAATAGAAATTGCCAAGATGTAACTAGTGCTGTGTTTAGGGTATGAATGTCATGGCTAACTAAATCACTTCAACACAGAGCACACCATGTACAGCATAATGTATGAAGTCAGGCCAAGCTTGCACTTCCTGTTTAGTACTCCTACGTCACTAGTTCCAGTGTTGCTGTTTATTTGTGTTGTGTGGTATTATGCAATAAGAAATCCTTCCCCCAAAAAAGAACACACATAATCAAAATTAGTTCTGTTCTGGTCCTGCTTCTCTTCCTCTCTTTACCCCCACCCACCCCCCTGAGGTGAAGTGCCTGGTGACTGACAGCTCCCCACAATTAAGTGGGTGACATTGATTTAGCTGAGAAGGGGAGTCTATCCTTCGTCCCAATGCTGCACCAACACATAGCTCCAATCTCATTCCTTGTTTTTTGATTAGAATTGCACAGAAATACTTTTACAACCAAACCTGAGGAAAATGCTGCAAATCTCAATTCTGTACTAAAGTATTTTGTTTTGTACATTCATTTACTTTTGTGTTTCCTGTTGTATTTATCTTTATAGATAAGCTTACTTTGAAGATCCCATGGAAAAATTTGTACAGTGAAGCAGTGGTAGCAACATTGGATGGCTTGTATGTGTTGGTTGTTCCAGAAGGAAGTAAGTGATTTTATGATCAAATGTTATTTAAAAATTTGTTATAAAATTAAAATATGACAAGTATTCTTCAGACTCTTAACTTTACAAAAAAAACTTGTCCATTCAAGCTTCTTTATTTTGAACATGCATTTGAAGATGGTTGTCTGACTTAGCTACCCATCAAATTACAACTTTTCTTTCAAACCTGATAGTAAATTTTAACCCTTGCTCACAATAGCCACCCAAAATATTGATGAACTACCTCAGCTTAATGTCTGGGAGTGATTTTATTTCTTTGATTTTTTAATTTTCCATCTAAAAAAAGAAAATCACAAATGTGTACAAATATTTAAGTACAAATATAACTTCTGTTGGCAAATGAAAAATCCCTACAACTCGCAGAATCTTCTGTCTGAACACCTCACCTTCCCCACTGTTTATAATAATAGTCCTTGCATTTGATATAGCCCATCATTATGTCGCCGAGATTTCTCATAGAGTTTCACAGGATACACTGTGGAGTACAATAGGGTATTGGTTAGAGCACTCGCCTCACAAGCAACAACAAGATTCAACAACAAGATTCCATTTATAGAGCGCCTTTCACGTCGGGAGGAAGTGGATTCAGTTCCCGGGCAGGCGAAACGTTAGACAAGTTTCCTTACTCTACAAGCCTCTGTTTACCTAGCAAGAATTAGGAATCCGATTGTTGGTCGATTGGCGGATCGCTTTTCTGGGGGCTAATAATCTCTACAAAAAAATCAATTAAAAAAAAATAATAATTTGGTCATTCAATGCACGACTGTCTGAAGGACTGTTTGCTGTGTGCAATTGGCTGCCGTGTTTTGCCAGGACACATTTCGAATAATGGCATGGGATCTTTAATGTCCATCTGAACAGGCAGACGGGACCTCGGTTTAATGTCTCATCTGAAGGATGGCAACTCCCAACAACGTTTTGAGACGTCCCAACGATGTGATAAATCACGAAGGATTATTATTTTAGGAGGAAAGCCATTTGTAGCATTGTAGCTTGTGTCTGTTTTGTGTGTGTGTGTGTAAGCACCAGGTTAATTTTTTAATCTCACATTATTTCACAAATGAAAAGTGGAAAGTAATTGTAAGACTCTGATCAAATGTTTGTGGTTCAAATGACATCTTAAGTTGAGGGAACAAAGAGCAGTTTATGAACGTCATCCAAAAACCAAGATTAAATTGCAGCCTTGAATCGACTCCCTGTTATTTGTTGATAATGTATGTTGCACAGTTCAGTTCATGTCCTTATATTTTATTATGAAAGCTGTGTGAGGTACGAATGCTTGAATTTGTGTTGGCAATCAGGAACTATATATTTGAAATCGTGTTGCTGTTACTTTAGTTATATTAAATATTAATATAATAAATGGAGACTTCTGTGATGCGAAGTATCACCTCTGCTCTGAGCATGACCTTGGTTTGAATTGGACTCATCCTGACCAAATACACTTTATACATCGTTCTGCCGAATATGTCACTGAAAATCCTTTCTCACTCAGAGCAATGAATAGCGCTATTCACAAGGTGTTGTCTGACAATTCTTCAATTTGTTATTCTTTTGCTTACCTGAATAGAACACTGCTGTTGTAAGCAGACTTGGGCTTTTTTTTTTGTTTGGTTCACAATGATATTTTTGGGACACACTTCCAGGTTCAGCACACTGAACGGTTTGGTGAAGGAAATACAAGAATGTTGCTCACTTGCATCAGCTGATTTTTGCAAGTAGCCTTTTAAAATAAAATCTGCTTTCTTACCCCTATCTTTACAAGTGATGGTATGGGGGTATGAATTTTCTGGGTAAGCCCTATTAATGCAAGTATTTATCGACCAGAATATTTTAGAGAGAATAGTCCATCTGGGTTTTCCCTCTTCGTCCTTTCTCCCTTTAACTGTCTTTGTGCTTTGAATGGGAGAAAACTATTGGGGTAATTGAATTGATTGAGTTTTTGTTTTGACCTTATCTGGATAGTTGTGGTTGGAGCACAAGAAAAATTAGGTTCCTTACCAGAAGAGATGGGAGTCATTCAAGCAAATACTCTAGTACAGTGGATTTACTGTAATATCTGAATGGCTCTTGTCATTAAGGACTAATAACATTGTTCTTAAACCTAGATGTGAATTTGTAGACATAAAATCCAAGACTTAATATCTCATTTTAAATGTAATCAATCTTCTCAAGACTTTAGAAGCACTTTGCTTGCCAAATTAAAAACGAAATTATATTATAAAATTGTTAATAACAAAGCCATGCTCATTTTCAGTTTTAAGATTTATGATTGGGATTTATCTGGCATTTTAGTACTTAAAGTAATAACATTTTGTACAAAATTGATTTCAAAATTGCAGCATGCTCTTTTTGGAAAGGTCCTGATATTTCTCATTGGTATAATTCAGCGAGGGGGTGAGGAAGTTTCGAAAAGTAGTTACTGTATGTTCCTTCGAATTTTAGACCACTGTTCTTATCGAGTATGAATCATTTAGTATCATTGTTCAAGGACGATATATTTTTATTTGTGAGGCTGAAACTTTAATTTAATTCCCCTTTTGCCCTTTTATAATTCATTTCTGCTACCCATTATTCACGGTGGAGAAGACACACAGATGAATTAATTTAAGAAAAGGCTTGATATTGCAATTGGAAGACGGTAGGCTTGATATTCTGGAAAGATGAGATCAAATGGCTGAAGGGTCTTCTTATTCTGAATTAGTTTGTGTTCTGTTCCAAGGATTTTCAATTTATCAAACTGGCTCCCAGGTGGTATACAGCAGCAAGCCAGGGATGGAGCTATTCCTCTCATTCCCTTTCCTTTATCTTGTGAAGTGTCTGTCTGCACACCTAACGATGGCTTGGCTGAGATTGACAAACTGCAGATTGTACCTTTCTTCTCCATGCTGAAGCAAACTATTGCTGTAACATGTTACTTCAAAACAGTGATTGGTTTATTGTCCCAGCATCAAGTACATTCTCTAGGGGTAAAGTGAACCATAGATGCTGTTAATCCTGTGCATGGCCAATGTGGAAAGAGAGGAGGAATCGATTGCTTTTGAGGTCGGAGCAGAGAGGGAAAGAGCAGGAGGCGCATTTGGGCCAAAAAACATTGAAGGCTGATTCTGGATTATTAAATGGTAAAGGTTTGGGGGTGATCTTTGTACTCCACATGTTTTTTTTTACCAGATCCAGCAATCAACAATGGAAGGCTCTATTTTTTAAAATCTTATCATATTCCAGATGGCTGGTAAACAGCTTTGAAAAAAATAATGAATAGAAAGCTTGAGACCTTGCCAAATAAGTTGTTCAGTACAAGCTTTTTTTTAAACAAAAAGTCCTCTTATTTATTGAGCATGACTGCATCCGTTTTGCCTGGTTTTATTTCGAGCCTTTCACTTTTCAGAATTTTATCATCCTAGAAGAAATAATACAATAAAATTTACATTTATGATTTGCCTTTCAAGTCAAAGTGCTTATAAATAGAAATCCATAATGCAAAAGATGTCTTCAACGTGTTGGGGATAATGAGCAAAAATGGCAAATTATTCATTTAAAATTTGTATTGAAGCTGATAAGATTTCAGGAGATAATGATTGTTGCAAATAGATGGATTGCGTGCTGCCAGGTCGATGGGTTTGGATTTGGCTAAATGTTATGGATTAATTTATTGCATTCAAGAAATTTCACAATGCCTTATCTGTTTTGGGGCAACTGTTTAAACTCCAATGAAGATTATCATTGAGTAATTTCCTCAAAAAAATAATTTTTGTTTCTTTTTCTTTAAGGTATCCAGTATGATGCAGAAAAGGAAGAGAAACAGTTCCAGGAAAATAAGCAGAAAGAGCTATTGAGAATTGAAGATGCCTTGCAAAAAGCAGCAGAAAAAGGTACTTGATCGAAGCGTCGTGTCTCGTCCAGTGTGGTGTGCTGAATATTTTTATGATTTGCACAACAGAAAAGCTGATTGCTGTAGTGTGTTCTGAGAAAAATATTTTCATTAACAATTCAACAACATCAGTAGTCCTCTGATACGGTTCTAGAGTAACACATTATCAACATGATTAAACAAGTGATCAACAACTAGAAATATGTCGTAAGGACATTTATTGACTTCTGTGATGATTTGATCTTTGGTTTTACTGGAAGAAATGGTGCTTTTTTGTCTACCTAGTTTGCAATCACACTGAGCCATAAATATCCCAGGGTCAGTGGTATATTTGGATATATTTTTGCAAATTTCTTGTTTTAAAGGAGTTGGTTGTATTGTTTTAATATCAAATTCATATTCTACTTTAATCGTTCTGTGCGTTTTATATCCTTTATTCAATTACAATAATATGCATCCTGTACAGTTTCATTCTGAATTAAAGAATTGCCACACAACTAACTGTTCAAACCATCACGTGCACACATTGTCAAACACTTGCTATAATTTTTTTTTAACAGATCATATTTTGCAAGACTGCATTAGCAGCTTGTTTCTTTTAAGCCAGTTGGTAAAAAGAACTGGAATGTAACAGAGCAGCAGGAGTATGCTCTTTATTTTGGTATTAATCGAGTTATAGGAATCAATGTTAGTTTATAACCTTGAGAGATTTAAACTGTATACATTCATAAAGTAATTTGCTATTAGGTAGTTCTCTACGTAGTATAAATTTGATTTTATCTTTTGATTGCCTGCTAATTAAGAATACCATTTTCTTTACAAGTTAATGCCCCAAATGTCTCATTTAGATCTAATCTGAGTAACATCATTTTAACTTGGGTTTGTAGAATTGAATCTATTAATTCTTTGTCAGTTGTCTAATGTAAGGCTTTTAAAACTAAAGAGCACAGGTAATAAACAATAATCAATGTGGATTTAAAAGCCTTACAAATGTAGAAGAATGGTTTGAGGAAGTAAGTAAGCAGGAAGGCTGCTCAGGGGATACGAGATCCTTCAAATTTTTGAAGGCATTTGATAAGGCATTTCATTGTTGGAATTAAAAGTGGTTCAGCAATATGAAACAGAAGGTGCTGAACACACTGTTATAAATTATGTGGAGAATATATTTAATGTTATGAAATATGCTGGGTCAATTAAGTAAAGGGTGAAATGTAACCTTGTGATAGATGGATTTTATTGAAGATATATGTAAGGATACACAAATTGAATGAATAAACTAAATATGTATTCAGTGCATGGAGTAATATAGAGAATGGAAAAGGTTTGGGTGGATTATTAATGATTCACATCTGTGCAAAATGGTTGTCAGCAAAGCTGGTGAAGTCAAATTAGCCTTTTAAGAGCTTTTGACGAAGTCGGAAGAAGTTATTTTAACTTGTATGTGGACTCACAAATATATAACATCGGAAAGTCTTATCTTGCTGATCCCAAAGTAAAATGACCTCTTACATTCCTCAATCAATGTATGTACACTATCCGTATATGGAGTCCTGTAGCTCAGTGGTTAGAGCACTCGCTTTGCAAGTGAGAGACACAAGTTCAATTCCAGGCACAGGGTGAAACCTTGGGCAAGTTTCCTTACTCCACACGCCTAATAATAATCCCTCCAAAAAAACCAAAAACAATAATAAATTGGTCATTTTCAATCCGCGGCTGTTTGTGGGACACTGCTGTGCGCAATTGGCTGCCGCGTTCGCCCACAAATATACGGTCAATTCACTTCACAGTGTGTTCTGTGAAGCGCTTTTGGACGTCCTCCCGACATGAAAAGCGCTATATCAAATGCAAGGATTATTATTATTATTATATCACTCAGGTGACTGTTCTTCAGGTGTGAGGTTGGACAGTGAGTGGTTATGAGTTGTTTGACTATGGGATTATTGTTTGACTGTCATAATTCAGTTATCTTCGTGTATTGTTAGTTCAGGTATGATCATTTGGTAGCGATCAGTGGTGTGATATCAACTGTTGTTTTCTAGCTCTTTAGCTAAGGGAGAACAATTGTTACAACTACATCCCTAGTTGAAATCAACAAGGTACAGAACAAGGCGTGACATTGGGAGTTTTGTGTTGCACGGCTTTACTGCATGTTGCCACTGAGCTACCACTTTTAAAAATCATATACTTCAAAATTAGTTAAAATGTCCAGAATTTTTTCCAAAAAGGCAGAAAGATAGTCTACAAAAAAAACCTTTGAAGACCCAGTTTAAATATGGCTGTGATCACTGTCTGTTGTGCATAACGTTACTTGCATCTATTAATGCTGCGTGCTGGGATGAAGGTACCTCTTCAGGAGAATTTTTGTTTGCCCTGGAAAGCTATGTTTATAAAGACATCAAGCCTGGTAGGTACAATTCGAATTAAAGTATTTTTTCCTCCAGTATGAAAACTGGAGAAAGCTGTTAAATTACCTTTTTTATTGTTTGTACAAGTGTGTTTTTTAAAAAAAAAATAAAGAAATGGAAACCCGAAGTGCCTTCCTGTGGCAAAGAGAGCTTCGCTTGTGTAATGAAAAATTAGACTTTGAAAGAGTTTATTTAGAGTGCTTTTTTAGTTTATACTTGCTTTAGTCAGCCAATGTCCACTCAAGAGCAGGAAAGATCACAATATGTGTTTGAAGTATGTTGACATTTTAACAGGCGCAAAAATATTTTCCTGTGCAACAATTGGAAGATTTTTTTTGTATTTTTTTGTCTTTGCTGTTTTTTAAACCAAGGATCAACTTAGCTTTGCTCTCCAAAAGTTTCTCCCATTATTAGACGCGTTTATGCTGCCTTTTAACTGCACTTGCAGGGTTTTATTTCCAGAGAAATGATTTTCCAAACTCTTTTACTTTATTGTGCTCTCGATTTTTCCACCAAGTCACCTGTTCTCTCCTAGCAACCAACATGCATGCCAGATACTATTCTGACTGTGTGCAGTCAGATACGCTATTTAAGAATGTGCCCCTTTTTTAAAACAAAATAATAATTCTAAGTTGAATTGGGAGCAATTGACATTTTTAATAACGGGGTTGTTCTTTTGTAACATTAGATTTTATATAGGATGACCAAAAAGTCGTGTTGCCCTTACAATGTCCAATCAGTCTTAAAGAAATGATGATTTTTTTAAAAAAAGTTAATGGGGTAGGTATCATGACTTTTTAGTCTCCCTGTATTTGGTTTAATTGAGGTTATTTTTTGTATAGCCTCCAGTATTTTATTAGGTTATTTGGATCATGTAATGTGAGATTATTGCAAATGTTGAACATTCATGCCAGGTGGCATTAATGAGTGAACTCTGTTGCACAACTGAATTCTTGTTAAACAGTGGATTCTAGTGACGTCTACCCGGGTAATATAACTGAAAATAAATAATCCGTGCGTATTAAGTATTTTAAATTAGGTATTCAGGATAGGCATTGGCAACAGGATAGGTAAAACCCTTGGATTTCTAACCACAACATGACAGCAAATTGATGTTTTTAAAGCCCTCTTCTATTTCACAGAATAAAATTGTCAAATCAACCAGAATCTGCAGAGAATGCAGGTAAAACCCTCATGACCTCATTTCAGAACCATCTATTTGGGGTGTAGATGACATTTGTACCAAGATCAGGAAGCCATAATGAGAGAACAAGTGAGGAGTACACCGTGGGATGTGCTGTGCGTTGGGGTATTGCTGGAAGTCAACCAGGCAAAATCACTTGCCTTTGAGAGCACTCTCTGGCAATCTTTCTGCAACTTGTCCAGCTAGGACCACCCTGTTAGGGCTTTAGCTTGCAGAGTTAATAGGACATGAATGGAAAGAATCACTGGTCTGCCCCTCAAAGTTCTGCTGCTCCAAATCTAGTTGATGAATCAGGCTGGATAGTCATCAGCAGTGTCTTGGAATACTGTGGACCTGTCTGGCTCAGAATCCAGACTAATGTCCAGCGTTCCGATGGCAAGCTCATAACATACCTGCTGAGTCCGAAGGAGACCCTGCTTACTTTCCTGAAGGACAGCATCTCCAACAATGCAATATTGTATGTGAAATGTTAGCTGAGACTACGAGTTCTAAGTCTCAACCTGGGGTCTGAACCTGCAGCCTTATGAGGTGAGAGTGCTGTTCAATGAGCCAGGCTGATGTCTGATTTGGAATAATGTTTCTTAGATAAAATGGATTTCTTTAATCCTTTAAATAAACCTTCCTTTTTGGTTTCTTTAAGAAATGCAGATATGAAAGAGAATGGTTAGTGAATATATCAAAAATCCATTGGTTCAGTGCGTTCCACAGCATTTGAGAAGAAAAGTGAATAGATGACTCATTTCAAAGTCTTACAGCTTTGGTCCGAAGGCAAGATCAGCATCACAGTTGTGCAGCGGTTTCAATGTAGTTTGATAAAAGTGGTTAAATTGACCTGCAGTCTTTGATCATGCAGACATCAGGAAATATTTGTTTACACAAATGGTAATCAACAGCTGGGATGGGATATCAGGAACAGTAATTGTGGGCTGGGATATTGGAATTTGTCTGCTGAGAAGGCATTTGAAGGTTGGTATACTGGAAGAATTTAGATCTGATGAGTTAAATGAGTTATTCATCCAATTCTCTTACATGAAAGAATGGTACTGCAGTGTTTTTGTGGCCATTGTATCAACCTTTTAAACAAACACTGCTACAATATATTAATGCTGGTGTACTACCACAACATTCAGTGTTTATGTTATTAAGCACACAAAATAAGCGATTACTTTGTTTGAATATAAATATGTTTTGTGCTGGTTAGCAGACTTTCTTTCTAATACTGCATTTTCTAACTCTTACTAATATCTTTTATCTTTTTCTCACTTTTGCTTGCTTGCATTGCTAAGGAATTAAACATAAAAAGTCTAAAAAACATTTTAAGAAATTAAAAGCACAAGCACGTTTGAAAGGTATGTATTAAAATTATGTTTCATTTATTATGTATCTGCGTTATAAGCATTTTTTTTCTCTTTGATTTTCATGTGATACCGTTCCAAAAACGTAGTGTCACCCATTCCAAAAATGTAGTGTCACCCATTCCTGGGTGATTTTTGACTACTTTGTTAATGATTGCATTGACTGTTGGAAAAATGGTTAATTTTATATTTGTTCTGATACTGAAGTACAGCATAAAGTAGAATGGGACTCCTTTTATGACTCCTTTTATAATTTTCTTTTTGGTCAGGAACAAAATAACGCTATAGTCAAGTGATCCCGTGTTACGTAAAGCACGATGGACATTAAATAAGAGGTAGATGCTTTATTCTGAGCTGGATCAGCACTTGGAGCTCTTTGTCATTGAGGTTCATTGAAGAGAAAAGTAAATTGGATAAATACTGAGCTTTCCTTGGAAACGTGTTATTGACGTATTAAAAATGATGTTATAAGGAGCTGATTTTTAAAAAAAATAAGTATTCAACAAAATAGCAAACCCTAAAATATGCTTTAATATAGAGGAGATGTCTCGGAGGAGACCTTACAGAGTTGTATAAAATTATAAATGGGATTGAAAAATTAAACCCACAATACACCAAGAACGTAGAACAAGTGGACACTGTTTTAGAGTTGCAAAAGGCAATTTTAGGGCTAACACCAGGATGTTTTTCTTTATTAACGACTGGAAAAGGTTGCTAGGAACTTTTTTTAAAAAAAAAGCTTGATTCTGTGATGGGAAAATCAAAGAATGGGTATTCTGGAATGATGAATTGGATAGGTACGTGAAATGGAAATATTTGTAGAGCAAAACACAAAATACTGCAGATGCTTATTCATCCAATCTTGTAATCATAGAATCTTACAGCGCATAAGGAGGCCATTTGACCCCTCGTGCCTATGCTGGCTCTTTGAAAGCTATCCAATTCGTCCCACTCTCCCGCTCTTACCTCATAGCCCTACAAATCGCAAGGGACCCTACAGCCTTCTGGCTTCAATATCGATTTCAGCCACTTCAGACCATAACAGCTCAGCGTCCTCCCTCCTCCTCTTTCTGTTACCAGAAGAGTAATCTTCTGTTATCATTACAATCATAACCCCAGACACTCTTTGTCTCTCTCTGATGTGTTGCCTGTTCTGCACTTTTAACATCTCTTCTCCCCAGTTTTGTTTCAACCCACCCCTCCTTTCTGTTTTACACCACTATTACCTCTTTAACCCATCAACTAACACATTCTCTCCTTTGTCTTATTTTTTGTCTTCCTTGTCCTGCCTCCCCCTCTTAACTTGTCCCTAAAAACCTCTCCCTCCCAACATGCCCCAGTTCTGACGAAGGGTCTTGGATCTGAAACGTTGACTCACTTTCCTTTCTCCATTGATGCTGCCTGACCTGCTGAGATTTCCCGGCTCTCTCTGTTTTTGTTTCAGATTTTCAGCATCTGTCGTATTTTGTGTTTTGCCCTAAAAATCTTTTCATTTCACGTACCTATCCAATTCCCTTTTGAAAGCTTCTATCGAATCTGCTTTCCACGACTGATTGTTGAATGAGATCTTATGAATGATTGTTTTGTTCCCAACGCAATTCATTTATGTTATTCAGAGTTTCACAAATTATTTGTCATGGCAATGGTGACTCCCAAGAAGCACTATTTTCAAATTCCGTTTACACTCACTAGTGTCAAAGTTGGAATGATTATTTGTCCATTTTGCCGCAGCTTCTAAGGTTACTTTATACTCTGAGTATGTTCCAGCTATTTCTATTTCATGCCCTCCTTTAATAAATGGATTAGTACTAGAACATCATATTGAGAAATTCACCTTAAATTATTCTGATGGGCACAAACCAAGTTGATTCACCTGGGTTTCTCAGTTTTATTATTTTTTAAAAAAAGCCTGAGTGAAATCTGTAGATTCTTCTTTCATTTAAAACAATTGTGACACTTGTTTAAATAGCAGGTAAGGCCAATGAACTTTGTGTATGGATTGCCTGATCCAGTGCCTCTTTGCTGGATTTGATAGAATTGTTGCAAGATTTAGCCTTTTGCATTGCCCAACATTTTCATATATTTCAACAGGTCTCTTTGGCAAAAATGCTCTACTTCCTCATTTTTCACTTTATAAAAAAAATGAGTATTGCATCCAAGTTCATATGATCTGAGGATTTAATGTTTCAAACCTTATTATTAAATCATCAATATTTGTGGCCTGGTTTGCAATTTCATTATTTAAACCATGTTTCAGTGCTGTTGTTGATTTGATTGAGTTCACTGTTGCACCTCCCGAAACAGATACCTGCTTGAAACTGAGACGATAATTAGATTCAGGGAGGCCGCATGATTTCTGCTGTGTGTACTGATAAAGCAATAACATCACAAAGGTCGTGAGTAGTGACTTCATTACATTTGAACCTTGATGGTTCCTCTAGGCTTCTTTGCATTTAGCATGTACAATGTGTATGCTATAAGATGGGACCCTAAAAGCAGCAGCACACTGTATGCATACACAAGTTCTTGAAGTTGAAGGTGTTTACTGTTGTTTTTTTCATTAATCTTTCAGATAAACCCAAAGAAGAAAAAAAGGATAGCTTTGTGGAAAAGCTTGCAACTCAAGTCATTAAAAACCTACAAATTAAAATAACAAGCATTCATGTGAGATATGAAGATGATGTAAGTAATTGATAGCTATTTACCTGAAAGGTCTTCTTATGATTGCAACTTTTATGTCAATTCTAATTTAGATGTAAAACATGCAAAACGAGATTGGTTTATTATCAGCACAGGTTTCATTATGTGACTAGAAAATCCGTTCTAGTAGATAGTTTAAGTTTGTGGCTGAACTGTTTTTTTTATCTTTCAGATTACAGATCCCACAAGACCCATCTCTTTGGGTGTCACACTACGGGAACTTAGTTTGCAGGTAAGAAACAAAAATCAATTTTTTTTTTCAATTTTAATAATGTTTATTTCAGTTGAAGTGATTCTGTATGCATTGGTAACTTTGATGATGTAATTATTTAACTTTTTAAATGATCTCGGGCCAAAGAATCAGAAAGAGGCTATTCATCCCATTGAGCCCATTCTGACAGCAATGGTCCCATCTGCCTGTTCAGGTGGAAGTTAATGACTGCACAATTCAAAAAGAGAAGGGAGTTTCTCATGGTGTCCTGGCTAACAATCCTTAAATACAATTGGTAGTTCACCTCATGGCTGTTTGTGGGATATTGCTATGTGCAAAATTGTCTGCTTCGTTCGCCCACAAAAATGGGGAATCAACTGGCTTTTAAGTGTATTTCCGTGTATTTTGTGGCATTTTGTAATTGAATCTTTGGATGGTGTAATTAGGACTATGTTGTCCCTCCTTCTGGAACTCAATCCCAGAGTCCCTGTGCCTCACCCCTTCCCTCGCCTCCTTCAAGGTCCATCTCAAGACCTTCCTCTTTCTCTGTCATCTTCCCAACTCTACCTGCACCTCCAGCCCTCACCCCACTCGAATCCAATCCCTTCTCGGGTGCAAACCCTCAACTGTCCAGCACCTTGGGACATCCTCCAGGTGTGAAAGGTGCTATATAAATGCAATTTGTTGTTGTATTGAATATCATGTGTATAGTTACATTTTAAGTTTCAGATTGTATTTTCAAGACTTGATAACACTTGACATTTTTGGAGAATGTTATACAAAGTTTGCAAAAAAAATAGTACTTGTATGTGGAATAGATGGCTGACGTCAGCAGGTGAGCAGATTGCGCTGCTTTCAGTTCAGTGGTACATGAAAAGGAAGGAATTATTAAACCTTCCCAATTAGAGCGCTCGATATCTGAATGCTGAACCATTTCAACAAGGTAATCTGTTTGTTCCTACTTGGAGCCTCTTTATTAATCAGTAACCAGAATGGTCCAGATGGCAGGTAGAAAATGATTGCAGTAAGGAAGACTGGGAATTTATGTACAATCGAGCCATTAAGCGAGCAGCAGCAAATTGAGTGTCTTAAATATTTGGAAGAACAAACTGTTCCTGAAGTGTCTTTTAATGAACTTGTAAAGCTCTTAATTTTATGCAATTACAATTAAGACTACGCTATGTGATCTGAAGTCCTTTCCTCTCCTCTGTTGAGGCTAAAAAAATAAATTAAGGGGAAATGAAAGCTGGATACTTTTTCTAGGTTGATTAAAATACTCAAATATGTGTTATCTGACGGTTCAAATGGAGCACCTGCAACCTTGTGTGAAATGGAATTCTGGGAGTCAGAAGGTCCCAGGTCCAATGTGGGCTCTGAATGAGGACGCTAATATTGACCCCAGTGACCCTGAGTGAGAATGACAAAAAATAAGACTGTGTTGCTTTACCTTATTCTATTGAGATGCCTCTTCTGATGAGTGAGAATATGGGTGTTGAGTAAGAACAACAAAATTACATTAATAGAGCGCCTTTCCGTCGGGAGGACGTCCCAAGGTGCTGGAAGGACAGGATCACACAAGGCTGTAATGTCCATAACCTACCTGCAATAACAATTTGTTGGTCTCAGACATAAACGTAGAAATTTAGGCACTGAATGGTGGCCAATGCTTGAGAAACCATAGTACAGCATGATTCTGTTGTCTCAGAAGAGAAGTGAATAAAGTTGATGGTGGAAGGGGTTGAGGAGAGGGAGGAGTTTTCTTAGATGGATTTTCAGACATTGCAATACGTGGGTCTGTTAAACAGACAGTGTAAAATGTAATAAACATGATCTGGTTTTTATTTTTTTGGAGAAGTCTGTTGTCTGAAATAGACTTCATTTTTGGGGGGGAACTAGAACCTTTACTAGTTGTTTTCCCTCTTAGTCATCTAATTAGCATTTAATTCATCCGGCAGATTAAATCAAATTCAACTTTATAAACTGGATCAATAGTTTTTGTATTGTCTATGTGTAAATTTATAATACAATACAGTACTGTTCCTTACCTCTAATAATAATAATACTTGTATTTGATAAAAAGGGCCTTATTATGTCTTCGAGACATCTCAAAGTGCTTCACAGAATTGACTGTATATTTTTGAGCGAGACGTGACACTTTGTTACTTGAAAATCTTATCTAACTTCTAAATGGATCTGAAAAAATTATTAATAATTGAAAACTTTTTTCCAGACTGCAGATGAAAATTGGAAACCATGTATACTGAATGATGCTGCAAAAATAATCAACAAGGTATTTATTTACCATGTTCAATTAATTTTTTAAATATCTCTCGTAATATGAAATCGATAGCATACGAACAGATGTTTAGCTATTTCGCAAAGAGTTATGTTGTGGTACAAACTATTCAGGCCATGGATCTTTGTCATCTGTCTGTCCAGCTTTACTGTTATTTGGTTGATGCATTATGAAATTAGAAATTGATCTCAAAATTTCCTCTTATTGTAGTATTTTTTAAATGACTAGAAATTTTCATCTCGCAAGATAATACAGTAGAGAGCAGATTATCTCCACTAATAAGAGGGTCTGACCCTGTTATGGATGAGGAAACAGTGTGGATAATTGGTCATGGCTTGACTAACCAAGAAATTCTTACATCAGGAGTAGTACAATTTAGTACCATACACTGTCAGCCCTTTTCTCTCTCTCTGCCATTCTCTCTTTGACATTCTCTCACTTTAGTTCTCTCTCTCTAGGCCTCTTTCTTTTTCTCTTTCTCATGAGTGTTTCTCTCGTTTTTGCTCTCTCTCTCTCTCTCTCTCTCTCTCTTTCTTTCTCTCTCTTTCCCTGCCTAGGGTTTTGTGGGGAAATGAGGCGTCACCGGAAAAATCAAATGCACAATCGTTGCAAACATTTTAATTATCTGTTACTGAATGACATTTCTTTCTGTATACATTTGAAGTGAAGGGCATTTGAACTCATTCATTGAGGGTTTACGATTTTGCTTGATAAATGGATTGTTGGAACAAAATGATGTATTCTAGCTTCTTGATAGTACTGCTGAATGTTGTCCCTTCCTTAATGGAAGCATAACAGCATTTGTTTCTTCTTCAGCTTGTTCGCCTGGATTGTCTTTGTGCCTATTGGAACGTGAACAGTTCACTGCTTTATCAAAGCTCAAGAGAACAGATTTTGGTATGTACTTTCACTGTTTTCTCACCAAGAGTGGAGAGATGCCACCAGCTGGTGGGATACGTGCAATTACAGCCTGTACACACATTGTTTGGGTGAACACTCTCCAATGAACTGCGTCGCTCGTGTCTTTGTCGGTCTGTCAATTTAGTTTAGAACCTATACTTTTTTTTAAAATACTAATTAGTTCAGTCTTTGATTGAGTGTCACAAAATCTGTTACGAGGACATGTATATGATTTACTTTGTTCATGATCTCGTCGTATCTTGAAACACTGGTGTTTTTCCGACTGCTTTTCAGTTTATTTTGTCATTGTGTATCCTCTGAATACTCTTGTGACGGAATTGTAATATATTGACAGAATTATATTATATTAAGAGAATTGTGACAGAATTATTTCTCCCACCTGGTTCATTATAATGGCACTACTTGATCTGTTGTGAAAACTAACTACTTAATTATGACCATGGATCATGATCCTCTTCCATAACCGAGCCCCAATCTCTACAGGCTGGTCAGATTTATTCCCCTATTTGTTTCTATTAAGCTTGTTCCAACATATTTTGGACTATAGAATACCTGTATAAGAATTATTGATGTTGAGGATAATATGTAATTTTACAATTTCAGGGTAAACGTATTCTATTTCTATTTTGACAACAGCTCTGGGATTCTTATAAAATATTCCTTTTGTTGCTTTCCAATTGAACCACATAACACATAGTCTTTATCTTAACAGAGACAGCTGACAGAAGGAATAGCTTCAAGTGCTCATGAACCCAAAGATTATCAGTACAGTAAGTGTCAATGCTGAACCTAGATTCATCAGCGTTATTTATATAATATATAATAATAATTGTCTCCTATTACTTGAAAAAAGAGACAATTTCTTCAACAAACAAGATAATGGAAGCTTTTTAATGAATTGTTGCAGCACTTGTGTTTTGATCTTGAGGTAGTTACCCATCCTTAAAAACAATAAACAATGGTCACTATAGAAAAATTGTGCTTTTACTCAGTTCAGTCAATTGAACGTTTTGAGGAGCAATTTCTAACTTTTCCATTAAAGTGTCTTAAATTTATGCTGCTCAAACCCATTAAATGTTTTGCTTATAGTACAACCTATATTGTACCGAAGAATGTATATTCAAAGAATCTGAAAAATACCTTTTAATTTTGAATCAAAACTACAACTATAGAACAACAGTTCTAATTGTAATTAGTAACACCAAAGCTAAAAATACTTGAACTTGCCGAAACAAAGCTAACATCAGGCTTATAAAAGTTTTCACACAGTAAAACTATTTGATATTTTAATCGAATTGTGCCTGTTCAAAAACCTTTATTAAAACAGGAAATATTCAAAAGCCAATGTTTGCTGTCTGTATGCATTTTAAGTTGTTTGGTGAAACTATTTGTTTTTTGTTCCTCAAGTTTTTAGACCTATGTCAGCATCTGCTAAACTGTGTATTAACACTTCCTCTGATGTTGAACTGAATTCACCCAAAATGAAATTGGACATGGAGGTGCAGAGCATTGACATAGAGATGACTAAGAAGCAGGTAGTGTGATTTACCTGCTGCTTGATAGTTGCACCAATAGTGTGATCGTATCTGTGCTTCACCCAGTGCCTCTCCACAAGATTCATAAGTGGTGTTTCAGAGACAGGGAATTTAGTGAATGACTTTGAGCCTGTGACTCTGAATCAACATATTTGGACTTCAGCATGCTTCATTGGAGGGATGGAGAAATCGAAAAAGATTTATACTATTTATCCAGCATTTGTTGCTCAATACTTCTTAATTGACCCCTTTTCTGTTACAATTTTACTGAATGCACATTTTTGAGGATCACGATGGTACTCCCTCAATCCCTCCGCCTTAGTTAGCCTGAAAACCTTCCTCTTCGACCGTGCTTACGGCCCCCTCCCACCCCCCCCCCCACCCCCGGGCTCGGGTCAGGCTCCACCACTGTTACGTGTTCTGAGATGCTACCCTGGGTTGACGCCACAAGATAAGTGCTTGTTGTTGTGGCGTTGTACGAATTACGTTGCCATTTTCCTACGCACTATCTGGCGATGAACATATGCATTCACAATTTGAATATGACCGAAAGATTATAGGTGTGGGCAAGCTGGGACCAGTGAACCTTTTTAGAACTTATTTCGGATTGTTTAGGTCTAAAATATTGACTGTGTGTATGACTGTTTCAAATGACTAACTCTCACGTGGGCTGATGATTATTTCTTTTCAGTATCTTAGCATGATGGATCTTCTGGAATCTGTGGATTACATGGTTAGAAACATCCCTTACAGAAAATACAAACCAAATGTCCCAGTTCATAAAAATTTCAATAAATGGTAAGAATTGACCACATTTTAACCATCGTATGTAATTTTCCTTTTCATTTTCAGAGCCTCTTTTCTTCTTTGTTTCCACTTTTTTCCTATCCTCAATCCTTTGTTTTTTGAATGCAACTTTGTTGTGTCACCACCGTGGCCATTCTTCACAGGTAAAGACACAGTGAATGGAAATGGGTACCTGTGGGGTTATTGCCGCCTCACACAATCCTGCCCACACCGTGCAATCTTCCATTGGGTTCCTAACAATTAGGAATATCCTTGCTATTTTATCCTTGCTATTTGTTTCAGTCACTTTTGGCTTTGAACAATCGGTCAATAAAAAAAAATGAGTGTGTCCCAGATGAAATTATTTTTATTTATTTTAAAATAATTTAATTGATTTTCTTTATATTTGAGGCAGATTTCTGTTCAGCCTTAGGGGCACATGAATTTGGTGTGTTCAATATTTTCTTTATTTTTATATTGACCACCTCCATCCCAACAACAATAATAATAATAAATAACAAAGCAATTCACTTCATCTACAACCTTGGAAGAGCACCTCCCATTGTACCAGCACGATGCTTCCATTTTTCACACGATTCTTACAGGCCTGTGATGTTTTATCTTTTGTTACAAGATAGTAATACGCTGTATTAATAAAGTAACCATCCTTATAACAGGTGGCAGTATGCAATCACCGGAATTCTGGAAGTTCATATCAGGAGAAAAAGTCAAATGTGGTCATGGAAAACTATCAAGAGTCACAGACAAAATCTGAAAGCCTACAAGCTATCTTACAAGAACAAGTTGATGCAGACCAAGCCTTCTGATGAATTACTGAAACAACTTCAGGTAAAAGGAATCCTAACAAAATGCCCCCTACTAAATATTTGCAATTGTTAAAGCATATGATCTCGTATAAATATTTCCGTACTCTTTTATGCACCAAGTAGTTAACTAATGATGTAAGTGGGAAGTTGTTTTGCTGTCTGCAACAGGTTGAGAAGAAATGTAGATTACTGTGCATGCACAGGATAATGGGCTGGTTGATTGCATAATTGCTGGAGGTGCTGTTTTCCAGAATCAACATTAAATCAGTGTCCCGTCTGCTTGTTTCCACATTGGTTAAAGGTTCCATGACGTAATTTGAAAGGATTAATGGTCATTCATCTCGTAGCTGTTTATGGGAACTTGTTGGTGCAAATGGTGCTGTTTGCTTACAAAGCAATTCACTGCTTTGATATTCATTACTTCTGAGGTCTTTTGTAATGTTCTGACATCAGGTGCTATAAAATTGCAAGTTTTTTTTTAAGTCAGTTCCAAAGTTGATTAGATAGGACAGTTTCATTTTGCAAACATTTTGTAACATATGTTAAAATAAACCATCAATTTGTCAGATTAAGCTTTTCAGTATTGATTGATTTTTGTTTGTTTTGTTTATTTTTTTAGACTCTGGAGAAATTACTGGATGTCTTTAATATCACCCTAGCAAGACAACAGGCCCATGTTGAGGTAACTGATTATTTTACTGTATGTAGTGTGTGCTCAATGGTCTAATGAAATACGAATGGCTTCTTTTTTGCTTTCAGGTAATTAGATCCGGACATAGGATGTTGGGAAAGAAGGGAGCAGAGAAACAGAGTGGAGGATGGTTCAGTGGGCTGTGGGGGAGAAAAGATTCAAAGAAGAAGGGTGAAGAGGAAGTAAAATCTGTACCAGAAAGTTAGTAAAACGTTGTCTTCAGTTTCATTTTGATGTTTGCTGCAGGTAGCTCGAGCTTGAGTTGCTTCTGTGGCCATCAGGTGTCAGCCTGGCTCAATTGGTAGCTCTCTTGCCTCCTAGGTCAGAGGTTTGTGATTCAAACCCCAGGTCGGAACTTGGAACTCCTACTCTACAGGAGCGTATTGCTCTTACAGAAGTGCCATCCTTCAGATGAGATGTTAATCCTGTCTGCCAGTTCAGATGGACTTTAACGATCCCATGTAGCGGTTTAGTGAAATATAAATTGCTTCTACTTGAAAAGGGAAGGCAGTTTCTCCCAGTGCCCTGATCACCAATCCCCCAGATTAAAAAGTCATTCATTTCATGATTGATTGCAAGATTTTGCTATATGCATATTGGCTGCTTCATTTGCATGCAAATGAACAGTCACTACAATTTAGCAGTTCTATAGACAACAGCGCAGGGTGACCTTAAAGTCCTTGGCTTATAAGATCTGTGAAGGGAGGTATTTGTTGAAACATCATTATACTGAGCAGTTGAATTTTCTAATAAATACATTGTGGGTGTACATGATTATACTGTAGTTTAAAGTAATTCTTTTCAATAAACTCTTTTGTGCTTACGCCTTGCACATGGACAATATATTCAAGTAATGAATGGAAGAGTACAAAGTCCACTCCAGCTTTTCTATAGGTTTGGGATCAGAGCTTATCTCTTATTTTAGTATTTTATGACTTTTTTTCCAGAATGAAAATTGTTAAAAAGTTAAAGTCAAATACGTTTTCAGCGTGCTTTTGTGTGGCTCAGAGTTTCTTTAACTTTTTGATGTTTCCAGGTATCAATGACCTAATGACTCCGGAAGAAAAGGCTAAGTTGTACACAGCTATCGGATACAGTGAGAGCTACCACAACTTGACACTACCAAAACAGGTCTGTTTTGCTCTTGAATAGATGCGTTTTGCTCATAACATATACAGTCACTTAACTTTATAGTATATTCTGTGAAGCGCTTTGACACATCTCGAAGACGTGATCAGGCACTATACCAAATGCAAGGACTATTATTATTATTATATGTCAAATGCAAGGATTGGTATTATTATTAATAGTTAAATATGAATTTTATTGACCAGGTGAATTCTGTTTAACAAGTGCATCTTTGATTTTAAATATTAAAAGAACAAAGACACCAAAGAATGCTGTGTATTTTATTTCTTTCTTACGACTTGTGGGGTCCTATGGCTTTGTCGCATGGTAAGAAATAGGGCTCCCCTTGCAGTTGAGCTGAATTCATTTTTGTCATGATGTTGGTTTCATGTTAAAATTGGTGTCTTTCAGTATATCGCAAATGTGCTGATGTTCAAGTTGGTCACGACCTCCATCACCATCCGAGAGGAACCAAATGTTCCAGAGATTCTTAAAGTACAGACGATTGGCTTGAGCATGTGTGTTTCCCAGCGCCCTGGAGCACAAGCGCTAAAGTAAGAATTTGCTATTGGGGAGAAATGAGCAAAACTCCGGTTAAAAGTAAGATGTACAGTTAGCATAACGTTCCTTTTTAGTTTTTTAGCTCGAACATGGAGAAAGGTAAAGAGACCTTTACCAAGGATAGAGTTTCTACTCGTATACTTTATTTACCCCCGAGGCTCTGGAACTGTATCCCCCTGTGCCTTCGCCTTGCTTCCTCCCTCTCCTCCTTCAAGGCCGGTCTCAAAACCTTTCTCTTGACCGAGCCTTCAGCTCCCCTCTCGACTCTCTTCCCCCTTCTCGCTCCCTCCCATCCCTCCCCTCACCCTGACCATTTCCCCCCTCCTCGCTCCCTCCCCTCACCCTGACCATTTGCCCCCTGCTCGGGTCATGACCCAACTGTGCAGCGCCTTGGGACGTCCTCCTGACGTGAAAGGCGCTTTATAAATGGAATCTTGTTGTTGTTGTTGTTGTTGTTGTTGTTACCCTTTATCAAACTCATGTCTTTTGGAATTGTAAATTAGGAAGAATAAAACATTTTAAAAAAAAGTATGTTTTTAAAAAAAAATGTTTTACCAAAATTCTCTTTTTTGCAGAGTGGAAACTCGATTGGAACACTGGTATGTAACTGGTTTGAAACAGCAAGATGTAATTCCATCTCTCATTGCTTCTGTTGGAAGTCCCAAATCCTCCTTACTCAACGTCTGTTTTGAGATTAATCCGGAGGAAAGCAATGCAGATCAGTTATTAAATGTCCAGTCCCAGCCTGTGGAAATGATTTATGATGCTGTAAGTATGATTATATTGCATGTTGTATTTCCCTTAAGTATTTAAAATCTCTTGCTTAATATTACTTGTACAGTACAAACTGGTTGGATCCTGTATGTTGCTTATCTGACTCTGAAATTTCATTCCAATAGCTTCAACGCCATGAACTTTCAATGAATCTTTTTTTAATGTTATCAAAGAGACAATCATGTAATAAGTTGTTTAATAACACTGAACCAAACGTTAGATTTTGGTGATCAGAACGAGTGACTTCACTGCAGCTCATAGTTTTGTCGTCAACCAATACTGTTACATCTTAATCTGAGCATTTCTCTATTGGTTAAGATTATTACACAAAACTATCTACTTTCTACTTTTCAGCAAACAGTAAATAGTTTGGTAGAATTTTTCCAGACTAACAGAGGATTGGATCTTGAACGCCTGACTTCGGCGACTTTACTGAAATTAGAGGAAATCAAGGAGAGGACTGCAACAGGTAAACTTCTTTCAAAGAAAAAAATAAAATGTAGATTATGAAGATAAAATTAATACTGCCTCGTGTGACTTATTTGTTCCAGAATGGAGTTCACAATATTATTGATATCACTTAAAGTGTTTTTTAATTTGTCTCAAAAGTTAATACATTTACAACAGCTTTACTCCTTTTACTTTTCCTAGGTCTATCGCATATAATTGAAACACGAAAAGTGCTTGATGTTCGAATCAACCTTAAGCCATCTTACCTGGTGGTTCCACAGACTGGATTCTACAGTGGCAAATCAAACTTACTTATTTTGGACTTTGGTAGTTTCCAGGTAAGTTACTAGAAATTCGTTGTTACAATTTTTTCGCAAAAGAGTGTGATTTAGGTCATAATCCTTACATTTAATATAATAATAATAATCCTTGCATTTGATATGGGGTCTTATCTTGTCATCGAGACGTCTCAAAGCGCTTTACAGAAAATACTGTAAAGTGAATTGACTCTATATTTTGCGGGCGAAATGCGGCAGCTAAGTGCGCACAGCAGCGTCCCACAAACAGTCTTGGATTAAAGTAATCAATTTATTTTTTTGAAAAGAAATTATTACCCCCGGAAAAGCAATCTGCCAATCGACTAACAGCCGGGTTCCTACTTACTGCGTGTGGAGTAAGGAAACTTGCCCAACATTTCACCCTGCTGGTAATTCAATCCAAGTCTCTCGGTTGCAAGGCTTGTGCTCTAACCACTGAGCTACAGGACTCCATATGCAACCTTATTATCTTGTCAGAACGTCTCAAAGCAGTGTATGATTAAGTATTTATAGCAAACTCATTAGTTGGAATGTGCATATCAAAATCCTACAAACAGCCACGAAGTAAATGACTAATTGTATCCAATTTAATTTTACATTAGTGCTGTTTTTCCACTGAGTGAACTCAATACTGTAGCATTTTTAATCGAAGGATTGCTCTTTTTATTCAAAATGCTTTGATTTAGAGCTGTTTGACAATCTATAAGTAGCAAAGCATATATAATGAACACATTTACTTTTCTACAGTTAAACAGTATCAACCACAGTGATCAGAAAGTGACATCTCCAAGTTTTGCATCACTGGAGGAAATTTTGGATCGAGCCTATGAAAAGTTTGATGTGAAGCTCAAAAATGTTCAGTTGTTGTTCAGCAAACCAGGTGCATTTTTAAAAAAAATCTCTCCGTTTAAATAAACATATTGCTTCCTTTTACTATTTATCCACTTGAGAATCTATCTATCTCACCTTATTCATTTTGGAAAGGTGTGCAGTTTATGAATGACTTGCACTGCTTTGACTAGTGATGGTGCTCCTTCTTCTTTCAGATAATAATAATAATACTTTTAATAATATCTTTCAGGCAATAGGTTAGGTCCTAAATTAATTTACTGTCATGTTTTCCTCATCTGAGATGATATACTTCATTTCCAGGCACTTTTCCCAGAAAGGCATCTTCGTATCATCTAAAAAATTAAAATTAATTTCCTCTATTGTTTGAACCATGTGGTATAGTACGTACTCGCACAGATCCTCAAGATCCCAATCTTGATTTTTGGTGTATTTTAGGTTATTTAACTCTAGGTAGGGTAATTTGTTCAGTCATCCAAGGAGCACTAGTTTTTAATGTACTCTCTTTATTTCTTACAGGAACATATGCAGTTTAATATTTTGGGATTCTTCACTTCCAATGTGAAGCCAAATCACATCAGTGGTAGTACAACCAACGTTTCACACTTATTTAATGCCTCTCACTTAGGATAATGTCTCAAAATGTCTTAACAGAGATAGGGTGGAAACCAAGCAGTTACTTACATATAAAACTTGAATTTCAAGATCAGTCGACAATGAAACCCAAGTCTGTGACACACTTTTGTGTATCATTTTGTGTGCTAAAATCTTAATTAAAGACGTGCTTCATACAGAATCTGCCTCTTTCAGATCAAGACTGGAAGTCTGCTCGGATCCAGCATTCCTCTTCTCAACATATATTACAGCCTATGAATGTTGAAGTGGAGATTGCTAAAGCTATGGTGGAAAAAGATACCAGAATGCCTAAGTATGTTCAACATTAAGCCTGTGAGCCTTCATTTAATTTTCAATTAATTGCAATTCGAAAGGAAGAGAAATATATCCTTGTAACAAAAATAAAACTTTTTCAATTCCTGATTCATGGGAGTTGATGGAGATTATACAGTCCTATGTTCACAAGTGGATAGTTGATATGCTGATGAGCGGTATTCCACTGAACTGCTTTTCAGGAGCAACGGTGAGGGATGTAGAAGAAAAGACAAGTGGATATTGATGGGGATGGGGTAAGGGAAGGGGTCAATTTAGTTTTCCTGCTGAATTTGGGAAACTGACATCTTAGACAAATGTTCTGAGGAACTGAAAAAAAGAATATATTGGGTTAACCGTTGGTTAAAAAGCAAAGGGCGTGAAAGTATAAATATTGTCCTCTAACTATATGAACCTTTTGAGCGATTTACATATTTTATATTCCTGTTCCGATTTGTACGACTTGATATTTTGTGGTTATTGAATCTTAACAGCATTTGTTTTTCTTTCAGATTTAAAGTCTCGGGTGAACTGCCTTTGTTCCACGTCGCAATGTCAGACGAGAAGATAAAAAGTCTTTTTGAACTTGCTGATAGTATCCCCTTTCCTCAGAAGCAGTTCTCTCCTAGATTGCCTACCAAAGCAAAGGTTAGAACAACATCCGGCACTTCCAACCCATTCTGTTTCTCCGTGGCTGGAATTCTGCCACGATTAACAGACATTCCTAATAATTGTGATGATACTTTTGGAATGCATAATACATTCATTTGCATTTAGGAAAGAAAAAATAGCTTTTGTAGCGTTATTTTGAATTTCAATGCATTTTTAGAAACATGCTAATAATGCATGTAGTTGAGATTGCTTCAGTGCTCTCTGTAAAGTATGTTTTTTAAAAAAAATTTCAATACTTTTTTTNGTAATGTTTCAAGGCAAATTATTTAATTCTAGCATACTCACTTGAATGTAAAAGCATACGATTCAAGTAAATATCTCTCTTGACTGAAAGATAAAGATGAAAGGACTTGTACCTTTTTGTCCACAGGTATCTTTATCTGCAAGATCACAAAAGGCCTTTGACCCTAGTCTCGTAAATGTTGGATCCGTAGGATTGCTAGAAGCAGATGATTCAGGTAAGCATTGCACATCCAGTTATTTATAATGCAACACATTTGGGTGCTGTTATCAATTTATTTTTCTATCCTTTAGCATGTCTTTAAATCTTGTTAACTTCTGAAAAATGCAGAGCCCTGTGTAACTACAATCGGTTTGCACCCAGCAATATCCCATAAATAAGCCATGATTTGAATGACCAATTGTAGTTGGCCACTGATTAAACATTGAGTCATTGATATAAAGCGTTTTTATATGTGCAGCCATATCTTGACTCCCGGTGTAAACACATGGATCACTATCGCTCCTGTTACTTAGGTTCTCAAGAATCAGAAGAGGAATTCAGAGCTGAAGATGCTAAATTGACAAGTAAGGAAACACTGGCAGCTGGTGATGCGCCACTCTATGATGATCATAACGAGGATGCAGCAATCGAAGAGCTGACCGATTTGCAGTTGAAGTTTGAGATTAAAGAGGTATAATATTGCCAATTATGTTCATGTTTTTTTTCTCATAGATTGCGTGATTTGTGCTCTTTGAAATCCCACTTTTGTGCGTGTGCTTGTGTGTGTTTGCATAAAATATGAGGGCAATTTTTATCTGCTTTGGCTTTGAAATTGTCTTGGCTCTAAATGCGCCCTTCATGGCAACCTATTGCAGTTGTTAATTGCTCTCTAGATGAAGAAAACATTCCTGGATCTGTCCTGAAATTGCCTTTTGCAACTCTAAACCAAGCTACACTTGTTCTACTGTCTTGGTACATCTTGAAGTATTGTTCTGTTACAATCCCATTTGAAATTTTTTACGACCTCTATGAGTTGCCCTCTGAGTTGTCATCTCTCAAGCTTGAAGAGCCCTAGTTTCTCTAATCGTTGCTCATAGCTCATTCCGTTGACACTGGGAATCATTCTTGTTGCTCTTCTCTGCACTGTCTCTCAGGCCTGGGCAGACCCCTTACTTTGTTCTGAACAGAACTGCATGAGATAATCTAGTTGCAGCCTGATCAGAGCACGATAAAGCCTGAATATGACCTCCCATTAACTGTTTTAGCAATATAAACTAGCATCCTGTTTGCATTATTTATTGCTGTCTGGCACTATTTTGACACAGTGAGCGATGAGCTAACTAACGCCCCTAGATCTCTTTCCGCTTCCTTCTTGGCAAATTCTATCCCATCCATGGAGAACATACATTTCCTATTCTTACTTCCTATATATATTATCTTATGTTTATCTGTATTACACTTGATTTGCCAGTTATAAGTACCTAACCTATCAAGCTCTCTTTGTAGTAGCTTTTACTACTTCTCCTATCCTACAGTTTTTTTTACCCTCTCCCCAACTTCTGTACATTTGTAAATTTAGCTATCTAATGTTGGGTCTGCAAATCCAGGTGATTAATATACACAAGGAACAGGAGGATGAGTTGAAAGTCATTTGGCCCACCCACTCACCTTAATTATTTCATTCAATTGCATTTCTGAGTAACCCTTATGGTTTTGCTTTTCTTAACTTTCAAAAGGAGAACATTATGTGCTTTGCTCAGTTTGGATTGCTTGATGTGTAGCAAAATGACTGCTGTGTTTAGTGGACTTCACGCATGTTCTTCACGTCTTGAGCAGGTCTAAGTGCTGCTTATCGCATAATAGCCAGCTGCTCGATAACTGGAAATCCTTTATCATTATTATGCAGGTAGTTGTAGAACTCACCAGGAAAGAAAACCAGGAGAAACCGTTCCTTGTTTTCAGTGTGTCTCAGTTAGGTACTGAAGCCAAAATTAGAACATTTGATTTAACAGCTACGTCATATTTGAAGAAAATCAACTTGGATTATTGTGAAATTCAAGGTAAGCTCCAAACACACAATGAGCGTGGCCATGGTGCTATTTTTAAGTGGTGATTAATAAGTATATTAATTCATCACATTTTTAGAAGTTGTTTCTGAATCCATTCTGGGAATGGTGTCTCATCTTTCGGTCATCAACAGAATATAATAAAATCCCATGAATTTACAGGATTTCGTTTTTTAAGAATGCAGTCAATATGTCTACTGTGCGCAATGTTGATCCATCCAGTTGAAGCTCAATTAATTCCCTTTTGAAGTCTTAATATAATGAGCATGTTATGTCCTCTGTGGCAAGTTAATTCAGCTTCCTCTGTGCAAAGCTAATTCAGCAATTTTATTTGGATTTGTTGCTATAATATATAAATCCTCACATTTGATAACAGTGCCTTTCGTGTCAGGAAGACGTCTCAAGCGCTTTTTAGCGTATAGTGTAAAGTGTAGTGACTGTTTTGTAAATGATTCTTTAATATATAAAGGATTTTTAATTCTAAGTCTTTATGCTTGATTTAAACTGTATTTTGTTATGTAGTACTGCCCGTTTAAACACAATAATGAGTTACATAGGATGAAAGAATGATATGGCTTGGAAAAGGGTTATTTGGCCAAACTAGTGTTTGTCAGACAACAATTTCTGTTGTGTTGAGGGGATGTTTGAAAATGTTACAAGACTTGTAAAAGTTAGGCAAGACGTTGCCAGATGTTTCAATTGTTTGCTCATACCTGCTTTCGGTAGAGCAGAGACAGCAGAACAAGTGGGTTGCTAAGCGCAATTTTAGCGCAGACACAAGGAAGTATTTCTTTACTTAGGAGTTAATTAGTTACCGGCGCAGGTTACCAGGAAGGGCAGTTGAGATCAGGATGCTGGATTCATTTTTAAAAAATTGTTGCTTGTTGCTGTAATGGACAGATGACAGAGGGTATATTCAAGAAGGATGAGTTAAAATGGACCAAAGGGTCTTTTTTATCTGAACCTATCTTGCACTCTATGTAGGGTGTTGTACTGAATGCCAAGATCTTTCTGTTTGAGTCAAATTTTCAGAATATTTTCATTTTAACTCAATATTTTTAAATAATGTATTCATTTTGTTGAAATTGATGATTTTTTCTTTTTAAGGTGCTGATAATCAACCACTTCACCTGATAAGTTCTGCTGATACTCTGGGATCCAATCTGCTGAAAGTGGAATATGTTAAGGTTAAACTGCATAGCAATTTGTTATATTCATTTTAGTCCAAGCATAATTGGATTTCATGTCTAATATTCACTATTTGATTTCTAGATGTCTAATTTGCTTGGTATGGTGAAACTCGACTAAAATGTAATTTTTTTAAAAAGAAAAAAATAATGTGTTGCAGGCTGATAAAAATGGTCCACAATTCAAAGAAAATTATGACAACACTGAACAGATGGTTAAGGTGAGCATTTTATGCCCCAAATGTTGTTTTTGCATTGAAATCCAGGATATGAGTGATTTGTGATGAATCATTACAACATAAATAGTTTGAAAGAAAATAAGCCATTAGTTATGTAGGTTAATGAAAATACAATAATGCTAGGCTTTGAAGTATTAGGAAGGAAACCATGTATGAACTATATTAGTTTTGTAGTATAAAAATAAAGCATGATCTCATTTCTAATTATTTTAGTTTTATAACATTCAAATGTTATGAAAGATTGCCAGCGGTTGAAAGGCATTTGGCCTACTTTATAAGCCAACACTGCAAATGCACCTTTGTTAAGATCAAATGATAAATGTAGAGAATTACCTCTATTCTAATCTGTGGATGAAGAACTGAATTTATCTTGAACCAGTTTAAATAGATAATTTCATTAACAGGAACACAATACTGCATAGTACAAAAGGATATTATTCGTTCTGGTTACATGGAGATGACTGGGTGACACTACATAACATACAATTCTCTATAATAAAAAAGAAAAGAAGCTCATATGTCAACATGTGTAAAGGAAACAGTGATGGCCAGGACCTCAGCATTGATGTCCCCACTTTTTGCAACTCCCTTAACCCCTCGCTCTCACTCAAAAACCTACCTTTTTGAGCTCCTATTGTCACCTCCCATCTCACCTCCCTTGCTTGGACTCTAGTCCGATACCCATGAAGCACTATATTTAAATGGTTATATTTAAATACAAATTATTGTTGTTTCAGTTGCTAAATTTGTACTGAGTCAAAAGGTAGAACATAGCATGCTACCTCATTAACCTAAAAGGGTGTAACCATAAGTAGAACAATTTTATAGAATTATGTCTTCTTATACTGAATGCGAATCAATTAATTTTCTGGTTAATTGAATGCTGACTGAAAACTGCAGTTTAGTTCACCTTTAAAACAGATAAATTAGTGTTTCCGACGACTCTGACAAATTTACTTCTCCTGTAAGATTCTTCAGGAGAAATGGGTAATCATTTGTAGTTTCAGAACCTTTTCATACAAGATTTATACTGTAATTACAATGCATACAATGTTTTTGTTTCTCTTTGTTGTATTTTTTTTCAAAACCTATCGTGCCAAAATGGATCATGTATTTACTTCATGTTACATTTTTCAACAGGTTACCTTTTCTTCTCTTGATTTTCTTCTTCACACAAAAGCAATACTTTCAACCATAAATTTCCTGACAACTGTTACACCATCAGACCATTTTGGCTCTGTTGATAAGAATCGTGAAGCAAAGGTACTCGCAGGGAGTCAGAACAAAGAGACTACAACAAAGACAGGTAACGTGGCACCAGCCCATATCTCTAATAGATTAGCTGTATGGGAGACTTTTTTAATAAAAAAAACCTTTTAAGTTTAGAGAAAAATTGCAAATCAGCAGTGAACATTGGATGTGTTTGGGGTTCAGATTCTTGAGGATAGGCTGAGGTCAGGCCTAGTCCTGGACTACAACCATTTATATTTTATGGTGCCTCTCACATCAGGAGTTTTATTTAAAGACTTCTTAGAAAGAATTATGATTGTATTATTTTTGGACTTCAGATATATAACAACGACTTGCACTTATATAGCGCCGTTCACGAGGGGTTGTGTCCCCAAACCAAATAACGTGGAAATGTTTTTGCCGACAAGATATCCTTTGAAAAAGTTAGTTTTGGATAATGGATGTTTAATTGTTCTGTAAGGTTCATTGTTTCTAACATTTTATATATACAATGAAGATAAGAAAATATTAAATTGTTGGCTTACATTTTTGTGTATGGGCAAGATTATTATAATATTATATTGTTCCATGCATTTGACCGTATAAAATATAAATATTCACAAATATTTTAAGAACCATTGGGAGGAAAAGTAACTTTTCTGATTGTGCCTTTTTTGCAGTTTCAAAACGTTTGAAGGATACCGATCTGTTCAATTTCAAGATGTTTGCTGAACTGGATGCATTCAATGTGGCTGTATGTGACGAAACATGCAATATTGCAGATATTAAAGTACAAGGTAATGCAAGAAACTAGATTGTATTAATACAAACATGTCAGAGGTCATATACTGTAGCCATTCTCCATTATCGATAACATTTTGACTCACAAAAGCAAGTTACGATACTACTTATTGCTGTGACCATTCAATTATTTATATAACCACAGGAATGGATGCATCGGTTTTTGTGCAGGCCAAGCAGAGTGAAGTCTTTGCAAGACTCAGGGATATTATTGTTACAGATGTTGACTTGAAAACAAAGGTAAGATTTTAGATGTATTGATTGCATTGATAGGGCGGGAAACTATGTGAATGTATGTGTAAACTAATGTCCAAATGCTTATCAAATATGTAAAGGTCTGCGAGTAGCCTGGTATCGTGTAATGATAAAATACCAAGTGAATTACTGTTGATATTCCAAGAAGTCGCTTACGTAAACCATTTTGTTTGACCTCGCACATAAAGTGCAACTATATGTTGCTTCTTATCACCAGTCAATGTGGAAAAAAAATGGCTTATGCAGATATAGGCAGGTTAATTGGTATGGACTTTTAAAATAATGCCAAAGGACCAGATATTAAATGATCAAGCATCCCCAAAACATAACATTGGAAAGATTGACTTTTTCTCTTCTCCCCTCTACCCCCCCCCCACACCACCCCTCCAACCTACATATTTATGAGTAATTGAGACTCCTGGCTAAAGTAATTAAGACCGTGTTTTAAGTGAACATATTTTTGTGCATTTCTAGGCTGTTTCCATTGTTGGAAAGGAAGTCTTCAATTTCAATCTAATCTTGTATCCAAATGCTGTTGTTAGTGAGACCTACACGGATATGTCGAAAGTGGATGGTAAAATCACATTACAAGTGGGATGTATTCAGATTGTCTATCTGCAAAAATTCATTATGTCATTGCTGGTAAGTTCATTGAAACTTAATTCAATTTCCAGTTTATTATTCCTCTAACAATGATGTAACCATTTTTCTCCAGCACCCCCCTCCTATTCAGAGCGCTGAAATAAAAACAGAAGTCACTGGGAACACTCAACAGGTCAGGCAGCATCTATGGAGAGAGGAAAGTGAGTTAACATTTCAGGTCAATAACCTTTCATCGAAAGACGAATTGACACAAGGTCATCGACCAGAAACGCTAACTCACTTTCCTCTCTCCATAGATGCTGCCTGACCTGGTGAGTGTTCCCAGGAACTTCTGTTTTTATTTCAGATTTCCAGCATCTGCAGTATTTTGCCTTTTGTTTCAGCACTCTTGTTTGACTTGAGAATCTCTATTCCATTCTTTGGCAGACAACTAGCTAAGGATCCAGCCTAGAATGAGGTGTGAATCAGGAGGCCAGAAGATTATTTGATTGGAAGTGTGAAACTTGAATGACATAGTGATACTAATCGATTTATTTTTCCTTATTGTGGGATACTTGGACTAAGTGCATGGAATTTTATTCATAAGCGGTTGGATAAATGTTTTAAAAATCTGACAGTCAAAGAATAGCAATTAACAAGATCCCAACACTTCACAATTAGATCACAGATGCTTGTTTTTCGAATTAATACAAAGTTTATTTCTACATTTTACTTGGGTTACAGGTAATACATTTCTCTAACACTAATGATATTGTTAATTGTATTCACTATAGAACTTTTTTGACAACTTTCAAACTGCAAAGGAAGCGATAAGCGCAGCCACAGCTCAGGCTGCAGAAAAAGCAGCCTCCAGCGTGAAAGATTTTGCGCAGAAAAGTTTCCGGCTGTCGATGGACATTCATTTGAAAGCTCCAGTTATCATTGTCCCCGAGTCCTCCACCTCCACGAATGCTGTGGTTGCAGATTTGGGTTTGATAACTGTCCGTAATGAGTTTACTTTAAATCCTGCTGAAGGATTCTCAATGCCAGTTGTGATAGACGTCATGGATATTCGGCTGACTCAGTTGAAGCTATCCAGGTAAATTTTAACTTCATGTCTTATGACAAAATGGATTCTGAGCATTCATTTTAGTACCATGCATCCCACCTATACATGGAAATTCCAGAGATATTTGTTGGAATGGAATGCGTGCTCTTTCCCTGAAGGGTTGCATTTTACTTAACTAATTCTGGAAAATATTAGGCGCAGGTTGGCAAGAGCCCAGGCCTGGGACCCGAGGTGTGGGTTGGGGTATTGCTGGATTCTAACCAGCAAAATGCAAAGCTTCTCACTGCCTGGCAAACTGTCTCACTTTTTGTCCAGTTTGGACCAACCTACCCATTAAGGTTTTGATTTGCAGGGTTAAAGGGAGCTGAGTGTGAAGGGTCCCTGCCCCCAATGACCAGTCTGCCCCTCCAACTCCTTTCGATTACCACAAATGGCGGGCTTGATCCTGCATTCTGTTCCCAAACATGTCACCTTGGAAAATAGATTAAAGCAATGAAAGAAAGTGTCTTCAAATTGAAATAATTACGAATGGAGCTTTCTGTTCGATTCAGTAATTAATGTATTTGTTCATCAGGACTATTCTGCAGAGCACCTCTCCTCAGCCTGATATTCAGATGCTGCGACCCATTGACCTACAATTGTGTGTGAAAAGAAATTTGGCAGCAGCCTGGTATCACAGAATCCCAGCTGTTGAAATCAAAGGGGATTTGAAAACCATGAATGTAGGTAACAATGCATCATGATGTAATTGTAATGATTATGATTATTATGATGCTGAATAATTTCCTTTGCCTTTATCTGATTGTGGGTCTCACGACATTGAGACTTCAGACTGATTGTTCCCTTCCGTCAATTTTGTTCCCATCTCATCTTTTATTGAGGACTCACGCCGTGCTTTGGTTTCCTGGTTGTTAACAGTCCTGTGGTGCCGTGTCTAAATATAAGCTGAGACATTTGTCCTCTTTTTCTATTAAAGCTTTAAAAAACATAACCTATATTTTTTTTAAAAATTGGAACTTGTGGATCAAATATGATTCCATGCAACTGCTATTGCTGACTTGATCTCTAATGTTAAACATATAAGATGCCATGGCGTAATTGCACATAAAATATAATTATTTTGCAGAAACTAATTTTATATTGGTGTATTAATACAAAGCTCTTGAAAGTAGAGATTTGTCGTTTTTGTTCTGGACTAAGCTTTGAATACTTGAGGTGCCACTTCATTTGGCACTCATTTACCACATCTTCTTACTCTGGTTATATTTCAGATTGTTCTCAGTCAGGAAGATCTCACTGTTCTCATGAAAGTTCTTGAGGAGAACTTTGGTGAAGGTGCCAAAGAATCAAGTACATCAAAACCACTCAAGGATGAAGCAACACGTAAAGCCCATTCAGAGTTTTAATCAATCCATTCTAAATACTTTAAGCTGCTTTCTCTATATTCCAGAAATAACAGAAATGTAAATACTCAAATCAAAGGATTGAAATTTGTGGCTCACACTTTTCATTCAATTTTCCCTGATTGTATAATCTGCTAAACTGAATAATTGTAAATTTTCTTCTTACCCAATTTGGGGGAAGACTAATTATAGTCATGGTAATGGAGGTTAAAACCAACAGCTGAATAGAGAAATCAGTTTTTCAAAACCGTCCTCTGAAATGCAGGGAAAATATTGTTGCAAAATGAATGTTGGGTTCCAGAAAATCACAACCTGTCTATAAAATCACAACTTCTGAAATGTTGTAATGAGGTTTCCTTGTACATAATCATTGCAAGGAAATCGTGTAACCATGTGGTACATTATCAATATTTAATGCCAGTGTGATGATAACCTTTGTTTTTGTTTTGAAAATGATAACAATTTGAATCTTTATGAATGAGCAGGAACCCTGAAAGATCTCAAAGAGACATCTAAATCTGAATCAATTGTCATAAGCCAGCTACTGGAAACCACGAAAGAAGAATTAAGCGACATTGTAAATGTTCAGCTGAATTTTGAAATCAAAGAGGTGAATTATTTTCATTATGAGTTTAAATAAACGTCAGTGGAATTCTTGAGGAAAGCCTAATTATTATTTTGACTAGCATTACCAGCAGTTTTGCTTTTACCTGGTGGGGAAGAATGTAATTAGACTCCCTCCACAAGGAGCAACCAATTAAAGCACTCCGAGACGCTACCCCATGTAAATGACCCCATATCAATGCAAGGTTGTTGTAATATAAAAATCTATTCCAATTAGGTGGCTTAACGCTGAAGACAGACGAATGTAGCATCCTTGTATAATCTTGCAGCATTTTGAATCCTTTAATATATGAGAAATTACCCGTTCAATATGATAACATCATATCATGCTTGATATAATACTGTTGATTGTAAAGTCGTGGTTTTATTGAATCGACTGAACAATAATGCTAAATTATATCCCTTTGTTATTCATTTATTGAATAGTCTTACCTGAATGGAAATCATTCCAAAGGCAGTTGCTAAATTACACGGCTTGATAACTGAGAGGCTAAAGATTAATAAATAAGATGCACAAAAGAGAATAAGGGAAAGGTTTTGCAGATAGGAAGGAAATTCTGTCATTTGGTGCGAGTGTGCTACATTTTATGTGTGTATAATATATTTTGTGTACAACCGGATGAATGTATGATTTATATACAGAGAAGTATTAATACAAAGCTCTTGAAAGTTCCATCATGGACCTTCAATGCAGCAATACTGCCACCACATGGCTCATTCACTTGCCATCTGATCAAAGAGATTTGATAGTATTTGGCAAATCCACAGCTCTGATCTTGATTCTGAGGAGGATATCAAATTGACCTATAATTAGGAACTTGGAGTAGGTGGGGGAGGAAAGAAATAATGGTTAAAATGTATACCCCATTTAAAGGTAAAAATTTATATAAGTGCAACTGCAGGCAGAATAGGTACCATTATTAAGGCTTGTGTTGAAGGTTAGAATTATGATTGAAAAGCTGTTAAAATGTTTCTGTTGAAGCTAGAAAAATTCTGTTTTTTTTTGTTGTAATTTCAGGTGGTTGTCGAACTGAGAAAGCAAGTGAAGCAGCAGAAGAATCCCTTTCTTGAATTTCACGTTATGCAATTGGGAACTGAAACCAAAGTAAGAGAGTATGACCTGAGTGCAACTGCATACTTAAAGAGTATCAGTCTGAACTGTCATGAATTTACAGGTAACTGAAACTTGTTCCTTCTATTTATTTCAACATCTTCACATTTGAACAGTTCTATTTGTCTCATATTTCTTTAAGTGAAGATTTTCTTGATCGTGATGTTATTTCCCCATAGTTGCATATGATTTTGGTTTCAAATTTTAGCTATATTTTGACAGCCAAGAGTCCAAAGGTTGTTTGAAACTTTACTAATTTCAAACCTTTTATTGCATTTTTTTTTAAAAGCAGTTCATCCTTGTTACTGGGCATGACTTGTGTGATTTTCATAGACGGGCTGACTGACTTTTCTCAGTGGTGATGTTTTGTTCTATTTAAAAATAGGTTCCTTTTTTGCTGCTCATAGTAAATTGTTGATTACTCTTATTTTTGCTCTAGATTCTAATCACAAACCACTTGGTTTGATCAATTCATCAGAAACAAAAGGTGCAGATCTTCTGAAAGTGGAATATATCAAGGTTAGACATTAAGCTACTCAGCTCTTAAAAGAGCAGTTAATCACGGGCATTGTGGAGTCCTGTAGCTCAGTGGTTAGAGCACTCGCCTCGCAAGCGAGAGACCTGAGTTTGATTCCTGGCAGGGTGAAATGTTGGACAAGTTTCCTTATTCCACACGCCTCTATTTGCCTAGCAGTAAGTAGGAATCCAGTTGTTAGTCAATTAGTGGATTGCTTTTCCGGGGGTAATAATTCCTGCAAAAAAATAATAATAATAAGTTGGTCACTCAATCCACGACTGATTGTGGGACACTGCTGTGCGCAATTGGCTGCCATGTTTCACCCACAAAATATACAGTCAATTCACTTTACAGTATATTCTGTGAAGCGCTTTGAGACGTCTCAAAGACGTGATAAGGCACTATATCAAATGCAAGGATTATTATTATTATTAGTTTCACATCCAACTCCAGTTTACCTCAATATAACCATTCTTATAAGTTACAACTTGTTCTGAATAAATCACAATTCATTTTGTGTTGTAACATGCTTGAATTGAAATTTATATGGTGTTGAAGCATTTTTACCTTATATCATCCCAGATATTGTGTAACATAGCTAGAGCTTGTAACTTCCATTGGTAGAAATAGCTGAATAAAGTTTCTGTAATTCTGTTCCTCAAGGAAGGCATCATTTATTGACTGCAACAGCTAGGCCAGTGTTATCACAAGCTCATAAGTGAGGTTCAGATGATGAATGCTCTTTGGCCCATTTCATCATATTCTTCCAGGATACCCACTCTAACAACTCTTTACAGCTTCATGCTGTTTTTTAAACAAGTCCAGTGTCCTGGCCTCAACCAATTTTCTTAGTAATTTGTTGTTGCAGTTATTATTTACCCTTTTGGGTACGTAAATGCTTCCTGATGTCAGTCCTGAAATTGCCCTTTGCATCTCTGAACCTCGGTCCTCTTGTTCTGCTGTCTCGGTGCATTAAAACAATATTGTTCTGAGATTACATTGTCAGTTTAAAATCTTATATACCTCTAATTTCCCTCGGAGATATATGATCCGCAGGTTGCACCTGTTTTAAGATAAATATAATATCTTTTCCCTTTTAATTACAGGCAAATAGAAATGGACCACATTTCAAAACTACATTTGACAACACTGAACAAATGATGAGAGTAAGTCATTTGCAATATGTTAATGATTTAGCAGTAGCTAATAATCTTAGCTTGCTACTTTTTCCTCTTCCACTCTGTCAGGCTCCATACAAATCTGCATGTAGTGCTTTAGCCATGTACATTTTAGTTTCAACTTTGGACTGGAGCTCTTTGATTGAGATAATAATAATAATAATCGTTGCATTTGATATAGCGCTTTTCACGTCGGGAGGACGTCCCAAAGCGCTTCACAGAACACACTGTAAAGTGAATTGACTGTATATTTGTGGGCGAACGCGGCAGCCAATTGCGCACAGCAATGTCCCACAAACAGTCGTAGATTGAAAATGACCAATTTTATTATTGTTTTTGGTTTTTGGAGGGATTATTATTAGGCTCTGTGTGGAGTAAGGAAACTTGCCCAAGATTTCGCCCTGACCTGCCTGGAATTGAACTCAGGTCTCTCACTTGCAAAGCGAGTGCTCTAACCACTGAGCTACAGGACTCCACGAGATATCTGGAGTTATATCCCTTTTGATAATATAATGCACACCATGGACTAAGATATGGTCCTGAGACAAAAATAATTTTGGACCGCATTCAGCACCCTGGATAAATATTTTCCAAAAAGATCAAGGCTTAAATTGGATAATTTTAATGATTTAGTACCAAAGAAGTGAGTGCATTATTTTCATCTTAATAAAAATGCAACAGATAATAACAAAGTTGAGATTTTTGTTTGTTTAACTTGTTTTGGGAAGCTTTTTGATTTGCGGCATTTTTAATGGGCACCTTCGATTTTACCGAGACATGAGCAGCATCCTGTTTACTGTACCTGCATACCTCATTGACAGTTAGGCACTATAGCTACGTAAACCACCTCTTCATCAATTGATTTTTCTTTGCAGTTTAATCAAACCTTGCAGAACCCACTCTACCAATATTTACATTTATTTGCTCGTGTTTCACCTGTTGCAATATGCTACTTTATCTTCACTCCTTCCCCCTCATCCAAATAAGCTGATCAATAATTTATAATACCTTTGAATCATAGTTAAAAAGCTTATTGTATTTGTGTATGCTTAATGGCTTGCTCAACTTGGCGGCTACTGGCATGATTGTAATTTTCTGTGGACCTGTACAGATAATTTTAATGAAGGGTTTGTTTTAAAAAGCGCAGATACTCTATGTAAACTATACTCTTGAATTTTTGAAGTTTAAAATGAATTTCACTATCTGGAATCTAATGCTTTCTGTATCCTGTATATTGCATCCTGCATTATGTCTTTTAAGTGCTTCTTACTTGTCACAAGGCCAATGATGTGGGGAATTTAGATTATGATGACGTTCATTTAACTGTTTTTAAACACTCATTGCTTGCCTTGGTAATTTTATAATTCCATAATTTTCTTTCCACCTTGAGAAATTTTTAGAACACGTTATTAATTTTAATTTAATAATTTTGTTTTATCTAAAGTTCACACTTTGTTGAAAGTAATTAAACAGCACAATATTGATTTGCTGTACAATGGTGCAAGTGTTTTTGCAAAAGTTGTGTCTCTGCTTCTCATGATCTTTTTCATTGTTTTAATGATTTCCTCAACTTTCTCTAAAGCTTTTTGTTGGGAGAACAATTTGTAAGTGTTCACAATTTGTTTTGATTCTTTTCATGCTGATGTTGCCTTTAGTATTTGTGGCTTAGCAAACACATACATAGAAGTTAGACAATTTAATTTTTTTTAATTATCAATCCATTTCACTGCTCATCCTGCACAAGAAAAGAACATTTTAGGTTTCATATGAAAGGTCCTATGATATTGCAAATTCATTCCTCTTTATTAAATATTGCAATAAGGTTAGCCATTTTATACATCCCACACTGGAAATTATTTTAGTTTCTTCTCATGCTTTTTATTCTTTATTTGCATAGTGTCTGTACTCCATTAAAACTAGGTATAAAGTGGAATAATTTAAGTAACTAATGATGAGATCTTCTTGCATTTATTTCAGGTTGCCTTCTCTTCTCTTGACCTGATTTTGCATACACAAGCCTTACTTTCAGTCATGAATTTTATGGCAGAAGCATTTCCGTCCAGTAGTATCAAAGATCATGAGACAAAAACATATACAGAAGGATATGAAAAAAAGGCTCTGGTAAAAGCAGGTATGTTTAAATAAGATCTTCTCAATAGGATCTTCAAGTGAAGGTGCCGATATTTGCTTTCTTCCCCAAGTCATTTAATTTGAATTGTGTTTTCATCTTTACACATTCACAAACGTGTATCTTTCGAAAACATTTCTAGTAGTTGTCGCAAAATGAAGCAAAAAATAATATTTATTTAATGACACACAAGATATAGCATTCCATGACCTAAAAGTCAAAGAAAACAACTTGAGTTGTTGTATACTCACTTACTTCAATTTATCAATACCACAAATCTAGATTCCATTCCAATCTGCTTTTCTCTCTAATGTGCTGGGGAGGGGCAGTTTTATTTTGAAAACCTGCAGTAATATTGAGCTTTATTAAACTGTAGTTTTGTCTTAACTGTGACCATACAATTCCTATTATTGATATCTCTGTTTCCTTGACTTCTTTGCATCACGCTTCTGTGAACAAATTACTTGGAAATCTCAAGTATCTGACAATAGTTTTCTTTGAACAACTGCTAGGAGATGCACAAGAGAATTTTATGACTTATTTTGTTTCCTTTGAGTGGGAAGCCAATCAACTCTTTCCCACAGTGACCTGGGTCAGACAGCAATGAGAGATCATTGCCTGGGACTCAGATGCCACACAATGTTATTCCAGTGCACTGCATTCCTCTGATGCAATATTTTTATTGCATGATGTGAAAGTAAAGCACATCCTGCATGACTATTCTGTAAATTAAAGTAAATTATCAAAAATTGGCAATTAATGCCATCACTGTTATTTAACATATACATACAGAAATTTTGATTGCCACTTATGGTTCTTGATCTTCAGTCACATTTGGAAATTCTGGAGTCTTTTACTAAACTAATCTTTTTCGTCTAGTATCCAGAGATTCTGAGGTTGAAGTTTTGGGACTCAAGCTTTCTGCTGTGCTTGATGCATTGAACATTTTTGTTTGTGATGAAAAATTCAGCATCGCTGACATCAAAATACGAGGTAAATACTGTAATGTCAATCTTGCTGGCAGATTATAGGATAATTTTAAAGATTCATGGGATTTTCCAAGGTATTTCAAGGTATCCAGTTAATAATGTGTCATTGACACATTCTTGATTAGCGTATTAATGCATTGAATAATTTCTATGAATGGGTGTATATTCTGTTTAGATTAAATTGCAGCTACCTAAAAGCAAGCTTTTTCTTTTTGTGAAGTGCACAATTACTTTTTTTTCATGACACTTCTCTGAAATAATCCTTTAAATGCCATTTGATATCTATCAGCAGTTTCTCAATATCTGTAGATTTCTGAGTAAATGCTGTACACTGTCCAGCGCCTTGGGACGTCGTTCCGACATGAAAGGCGCTATACAAATGTAATGTTGTTGTTATTGTTGTACATTCCACTTCTGAATATCATGCCTGCCAGTTATGATGCACATCACTTTATATCATCCATATTCAGTGGTTTGAAATGATTAATTTTTCACTGCCAGACATAACACCTTGGAAACCCATCTATGCCCAAACCCACACTTTACCCCCGCCCCCCCCCCCCGGATAGTCGTGCTTTGAAGCTGATATCTTGATGAATTTGGGCAATGTTTTTGTTTTATTAGAACTGTTCTTATTTGATATGACATGATTGCTTTTCATTCAATAGGATAATAGCATTAATAGCATTATGAATATTTTAGAACCATCTAAATTAGATGCATGATTATTTTCCCCTTACCCATAAAATTCTCCAGGTATGGATGCATCTGTTTCTGTGCAGTCAAAACAGACAGGAGTTTTTGCCAGGCTCAGGGATATCATTGTTATGGATGTTGACTCAAAGACTCTCCATAAAAAGGTAAGCTGAGTGGCACAAATTACCGTTTAAAATACATAAAACATTCCACAGAAGCAAATTAATTCAATACATTCCACCGGGACTAAAATGCAACAAGTTGCACGTTTTTTTTTACAGAACACTGAACTGAAATAAAAACCTTTGTGAACTCCCTTATTACTCTGTTGAAATTCACATTTCAATTAGTTTTGTAGGAGTGGAAGAGTAATTGTCATTGCACTCAATGTTTATATGACCTTGTTTCTTGTAGGAAAAGAAGTTAAATGTTTCATTTGCTTTTTACTTTTGCTTGTGTACATGCATGTTCACTCTTAATCACTCTATGTTTTTAGTGGAAGTAGTGCTTATTGAAATAAATCCATTCATGTGGAAAAGAGGTCTTATGTTCCATTATTGCACATTTTTTCAAGGCTGTCTCCATCATTGGTGATGAAGTCTTCAGCTTCAAAATGTTTTTGTATCCTGATGCCACTGAGGGCAAGGCCTACACTGACATGTCAAAAGTAGATGGGAAAGTAGTGTTGCAAGTGGGCTGCATTCAGATCGTTTATCTGCACAAGTTCCTTAAGTCACTGCTGGTATGTATACTGCTAACACTTTTATGATAAGAATGTTGATATGGGAAATACTACTTGCATGTTAGGGTCATTATTTGTGACACACTTAAGGATAATACAGCCCTACCTGTTTATGTCAACGTCGCGGGGAGTGAGCAGATTTGGTTGACAAAAGGTAAGTCTCAGCATAAATGAATGAACCAAGTGTTGTCGGTTACTGGCAGCCCAGGTGCACTTTGAGAGTTATAATCCCATTGGGCGCACATTGAGCACCGAGCCGTGTACCTCAGGGGGAACTACACATGCCCCCACACCCCAGAGCTCAAGTGGAGCATTTCAGCACTTGGGCACATCAGAGAGCCAGGCACAGCGCGGGGAAGTAATGGTTAAAACAACCTGCCTTTTGACGTGTGCAGTAAGAACACAATGTTGTTAGGGATGTAAGCATCTGGATAAATCTTTTAAACAAAGTCGACATCTGACATTCAAAGGATAATATAAAGTTTATTTCTACATTTTACTTGGGTTACAGGTAATACATTTCTCTAACACTAATGATATTGTTAATTATATTCACTATAGAACTTTTTTGACAACTTCCAAACTGCAAAGGAAGCGTTAAGCGCAGCCACAGCTCAGGCTGCAGAAAAAGCAGCCTCCAGCGTGAAAGATTTTGCGCAGAAAAGTTTCCGGCTGTCGATGGACATTAATTTAAAAGCTCCAGTTATCATTGTCCCCGAGTCCTCCACCTCCACGAATGCTGTGGTTGCAGATTTAGGTTTAATAACTGTCCGTAATGAGTTTAATTTGCACCCTGCTGAAGGATTCACAATGCCAGTTGTGATAGACGTCATGGATATTCAACTAACTCAGCTGAAACTTTCAAGGTAAAATTGAATTTAAGATGGCTAATTCAGCAGTTATAAAAAATAGATATGTATTTTGTGCTACTCCAAATTTATTCCATTTTTTTCACATTGGGTCGCGGACCATTTGCTCTCATGTTAATCTGTATATTTGATAAAAATAAGATTTATTCAGAAGTTCTTGTAGATGCATGTTAAGTCTCTAGATTAATGTTAAAACGAAACCCAATTGCGTCCCCTTGTCTTGAAATGTGGTTGAGGTTCAAACAACAGAATATCAAAGATAAAATGCAATATATTTCAGTTTTGTTTTCCATGAATGGGTTGGTTTGAAAGAATTACAACAAGCCACAATGTGTTTTATTTACTACTGCACAAACTAACTTATTTTGTGTTTTTCAAATTCCAACCCCTTTTAATTCAAAATTATATGGATGTGCTTTTGATCATTTCCTGTAATGCTTTACTAAGCATTCGGACGCTACCCCACATGAAAAGCGCTATGTAAATACAATTTACTGTTGCTTATTTAATATTTTCAACTTCTCTTTTATTGTTCTTGAGAGAATTTTGTATGTCTCATTTATATTTTTACATTTAAAAAATAAAATAAAATTCCCTTTCAGAACCTTTCGAAACAATGACTCGGTACAGCCTGACATTCAAATTTTGCAACCTGTGAACTTGCTGTTGAAAGTAAAGCGAAATTTAGCTGCAGCTTGGTACCACAAAATCTCTGGGATAGAAATAAATGGTGATCTAAAGGCAATGAATGTAAGTATATTACTTGGAGAGCTTCATGAAATGTATTTTACAGAATCATTTCAACTGCATGCAGTTTATAAGATGTTCCGATTGATTTGAAAACTCAGTTTTACTTCAGTTTTTAGTTGAAGGTCAGTTTTACAATTTGAGGACATGCATGAATGTTGATCAAGTTTTGCTGTGCAGTAGCTCTTATGTGAATCAGTAGTGTAACTCCCTTATTGCAAGATCTTACTTTGACAAAATAGGGGCTGGCTGATTGTCCAGTCAACTTAATAATATTGTTAAATTTAAAAAAAAACAGTTCATGTGTATGGTATGAATTGGATATGGAACTCTTACAATGTATCCGAACAGTTGAATTAAATTATTACTGGAACATTCCTCATAATTCTTGAGGTGTTATGGACAAGTAGCAAATTGTGTATTATATTTTGCTCACAAAATACACTTTATAGTGTATCCTGTGAAGTGCTTTGAGACTTCTCAACAGCGTGATAAGGTGCTATATCAAATGCAAGGATCATTAGCACCTTACTATTGCCGATTCTTGTGAATGAGACGGTGGAAGATGTTTGTTTTCACTGAAAACAAATTTAATATCTGCCATCTGCTAGTATGGATAGTAATGGAGGAATCCTTTTTCCTATTCCTTTCAATAGTAATTGCACTGATGTCATGTCACTCCATCAATCAGTTTGCAAAGGTAAAATATTGCTTATCATTTGTGGGAAAATGATGTAATCGAACCACCTGCAATCTGATATTGTTGGATATGTTTTGCCATAAATTAGCCAGAAAACCTAAAGGTTGCTTCAGAGGATTATTTTTATCTGGTGCACAATACACCAAGAAACAAAATCTACAGCTGCTCTATCACTATCGCAAGTTTGCAGGCTTCTTATAATAATAATAATAATAATCCTTGCATTTGATATAGCGCTTTTCACATCGGGAGGACGTCCCAAAGCGCTTCACAGAACACACTGTAAAGTGAATTGACTGTATATTGTGGCGAACTCGGCAGCCAATTGCGCACAGCAATGTCCACAAACAGTCGTAGATGAAAATGACCAATTTAATTATTGTTTTTTTTTGAGGATTATTATTAGGCGTGTGGAGTAAGGAAACTTGCCCAAGGTTTCGCCCTCTGCCTAGAATTAAACTTAGGTCTCTCACTTGCAAAGCGAGTGCTCTAACCACTGAGCTACAGGACTCCAATTTCTTCAACCTCGAGTAAACGGTGAACACAATGTCAGGAAAGATGAAGAGCAGCACCAAATTCATAGACTTCAAAGGAGCAATCTCCAATATAGCTGCTCAAAAATGCAGCCTATCACTAGTTCATATTAATAAGCGTCATCATAGCCCTGACTTGGGCAACAGCAATCTGCACTATCCAGAGATTTGATATCCCTTCTAACTAGTCAAACATCCTTGACAAATAATGCTGTATTTGTTTATATATGAGCGCATAGCCTGAACTGATGTATGCAAATCAATCCTTCCTTGTTGCCTGCTTATGACGGTGAACAGAATCGTAGAAATGAGTCCCAAATGTTCCCCTGACTTGAAAAGTAATCAGCACCTATAAAGTGCACACTTATGATTTATACATATTCGATATACATAATATAGAGAGCCTAATCATTTAATTAAAATCCTGGTTAGAATTTGCTAATATAAAATCTACACTATGTGAGTTATTGTAGACGAGGTATTTGAACTAAAAGATTTTTTGAGTAACATCTTACAAATACACACATGGTATACAAGGCTTTGTTGCATTAGAGCTGAATAGTTGTATATTGTGCACTCTGTCATTTCAGTCTGAATGTCACAAGTTCCCGAAGTGCCTCTTGAATTAACGTAAGATGGTGCCAAATGTTTACACTTGGGTTTTTAAACTGAGTGCTGCAGAGCAACAAACGCCACATGCTTCTGTTGTCATAACATAACATGTAGGAGCAGGAGTAGGCCATTCGGCCCCTCGAGCCTGCCCCGACGTTCAATCATGGCTGATCTTCTAATCTAACTCCAGCTAATAACCTAACCCTGCCTTATCTCCATATCCCTAATCCCTTTTTCAATAAGAAATCTATCTAACTTAGTCTTGAATATAATAATAATAATAAGGACTGAGCGTCAACAGCCCTTTGGAGTAGTGAATTCCATACATTCACCACCCTTTGAGTCAAGAAGTTCTTCCTCAACTCAGTCAAAAGGGCTGGCCTCTGATTTTAAGGTTGTGACCCCTGGTTTTAGTTTCTCCAACCAGGGGAAACAATCTCCCACTATCTACTCTATCATGCCCTTTGATGATCTTATAGGTTTCTATAAGATCCCCTCTAATTCTCCTATATTCTAGAGAATATAGGCTCAAATTTGTCAGCCTATCCTCGTAATTCATCTCCTTCATCCCTGGTACTAACCTAGTAAATCTACGCTGCACCCCCTCCAAGGCAAGTACATCCTTCCTTAAATAAGGAGACGAAAACTGCGCACAGTAGTCCAGGTGTGGTCTCACCAGGGCCCTATACAGTTGCAGCAAGACTTCCCTACTCTTATACTCTAATCCTTTCATAATGAATGCTATCATACTGTTCGCTTTCCTAATTGCTTGCTGCACCTGCAGACTAACTTTCTGTGATTGGTGTACAAGGACACTCAAATCCCTCTGGATGCTAACACATTCCAATCTCTACCCTTCTAAAAAATAACCCTCTCTACTGTTTTTGCTACCTAGGTGGATGACTTTGCACTTCCCTACATTATACTTCATCTGCCACCTACTTGCCCAATCACCTGACCTTTCTATGTCTCGCTGCATTAATGTCATCCTCTGTGTTGACACTTCCTCCTAGTTTTGTGTCATCCGCGAATTTAGATATATTAACTTCGATGTCCTCATCTAGATCGTTGATGTAGATGGTAAATAGCTGAGGCCCAAGAACTGATCCTTGTGGCCCTCCACTAGTCACATCCCGCCAATCTGAGAAGGACCCATTTATCCCTATTCTTTGTTTCCTACCTGTTAACCATTTCCCAATCCACGTTAATATGCTCCCCCAATTCCATGGGCCCTTAACTTTTTGACTAACCTTTTATGCGGCACCTTATCGAATGCCTTCTGGAAGTCCAAGTAGACCACATCCATTGATTTACCCTTATCTAGTTTACTCGAAATATACTCAAAAACTCTGAGATTTGTCAAACATGACTTCCCTTTTGTAAAGCCATGTTGACTTGGCCTAATTATATTGTGCTCCCCTAAATACCGCACTACCACATCCTTAATCAATGATTCTAAAATGTTTCCTTTCACTGATGTGAGACTAACTGGCCTATAGTTCCCCATCTTTTCCTTTCCACCTTTTTTAAATAGTGGTGTGACATTTGCAATGTTCCAATCCATGGGGACTGTTCCAGAATCCAAGGAATTTTGGAAGATCAGACGCAAGGCCTCCACTATCTCATAAGCTACCTCTTTTTAACCCTGGGATGCAAGCCATCCGGACCATGGGATTTGTGACTTTTTAGTGCTAACAGTTTCCCTAGCACCAATTCTCTACTAATGAAAATTTCCCTAAGTTGCTCCCTGTCCTTATCCCCTTGGTGCATCTCTATTGTTGGCGGACTTGTTGTGTCTTCTAGGGTGAAAGACTCTTCCTGGCTTGTTCCTTCCTGTTTGGAGGAAACCGCACAGTAGTAACAAGCTTCAGCAAACAAAGTGACGGTTCTAGATTTTTGTCTCTCGTTGTTTGCAGGTTACCGTTAGTCAGGAAGATTTGACTGTTCTTATGAAAATCCTGATGGAAAACCTTGGCGAGGTGACAAAGGAACAGGACAGCGCACCTCAGCCGAGAGAAGAAGAACTGAATAGATCAAAAGATAATTGTCCTACCCATGAAACCACCGTATCTGCAGGTCTGTGGCGATTCTTTACATGAAAGTTATTTATCAGTTACTCGTCTTGCGTTAGCTGTACATTCTATGTAATAATGTAGAGATTTCAATTTAAACAAAATTATTTGTCAGCTGTTTGAGAGATTACTTGTAAGTTTTATTTGAAATAACGTATTTTCCTGGCCCAGTTGTTAGAGTGAAATGACTGCATTTCATTTTTGCAGTCTGTCCCAAAGCAAAAATAGAAAGTGTGCCCTTTCTGGAAACCGAGTTGGTTGAGACTCTGAACTTTGACTTTAAGTTTGAATCATTGTCAGTGATCCTCTACACCAAAGACCTTAAACAGGTATGTGCAAACTTTCTTATAAGTTGGAGGTCAAATGGTTTTGTGTCCCTATTCTGCTTGTTTGAAATGTAGTTCTAGAAAAATGAGAAACCTGTTGAGATTAAAAGGTGTCAATGAAAGATTTGTAATTCCATTCACTCATTTGTTTTTCCCGAACCTGGTAGCATCTCCTAACTGTCAACACTTGGAAAAGAAGTAAAAAATTTAAAAAAATGGTGATTACTGTACTTACGTGACTTTCAAACTTGTGAATAAACTTTTGTTTGTACCAGTCATAAATCATTCCCATTACCAATGCATTTGAGCAATATTACAACAATCTGTTGACCTGAAAATGACAGTAGTGACTGAGCATTTGTTATAGTGCTTTGAGAATATTGCTACCGATGCTGTACCACCTTGCAACTGAAAGGACAATATTTTACCTTCCAGCCCCAAATGTCCTGTCAGTATTTTTTGTTTTATTATACCCTCAGACTTGCAATTATTTGAAAATCATAGCAGAGGATGAGGCTCAAGAGAATGTAGATTCTGTACATCATGATCCTTCAGCATCAGGCAATAGTGAAACAATTCCAGCATTCTGTTTGGCAGCATAGTACCCGCCTCACACTCAGTGAGTGGTGAAACTCCACATTAAATGGCCTGGGGGTAACCTCTTTCAATGGATTTGCTCATGCTATTTCTTGTGTATTATTATTTTGAGCCATTTTGTACTGCCATTGAAAAGAAAAGGTGAACATGATCTGTCATTCGCAATGGCACAAGATAGTATTTCAGTATAAAACTACAACATATAAAAATTATGCTTCCTTCAGAGTCTAATGTGTTGTTTGGTCACCTTATTTGTGGAATAAATCTGTTGTCTATTACATGATTGTGAAGCTGTCATTTGTGTTTCTGGATGTCCTATGCCATTTGTAATGCTGTATTTTACACATAGTAAATTTAGCGATTAAAACACTTAAATGTCTTTTCACTATATCGGTTTCAACAGTCAAGTTTAAGAAGCAAATGTATGTTTTGGTGTTTTTATTGAGAATAATGTTCTAAACGTAATGGCAGATGATTTTGTAATATCTGCATTTTTCATGTTGTAGCCCACTGAGCTCCTGCAGCGACTTGACAGTTTACGCCTGGGGGAATTCAGGCTGCATCTCATTACAGCTTCAGGGAAGATGTTTACAGATGGGTCACTCGAAGTTGAAACGAAACTCACCATGTGCACACTTGATGACCTAAGAGAAGGCATTGAAAAAGTTACCTCGAGGTCAGAATCAAATGGTCTTCATGTATTGTTTAAAATTCTCATTGTCTGCTCATCACAATAATAACATTATAATATTCCTTTGCTTATTTTCATTTCTGTGTCCTCAAAATGTTGTCCTGAATGAATACACGGTGGAAGCCAACCAACTCGAACAATAACTGTTAAATTGTTAGCCATTATGAACGGTTGTATAAAATTGCCCAAATCTGCGATTTTCTTTACCGCAAACTAGCAAATTTACAGATAATCCGTACATTATTCTCTGTTTCCTATAGAATGATTGAGAAGAAACAAGGAACTCAAGAAAATGTAATGATTGAGCTCCAGTACAGACAGAAGCCAGATGAGACGTTGCTGACTGCCGTACTTGACCATCTGTATGTTTGTGCTAGTGTGGAGTTCTTACTTGCAGTTGCAGATTTTTTCATCAAAGCTGTACCAGAGAGCTCAGCTCTGCCAGGTGACAAATCTGCCCAGTTGCTTCTGAAACAAACTGGAAAGGCCCCCCTGGACACTGGTTTGTATGATTTTCTTATTACTAAATATTTTATTACTGTTCATCATGCTTCAAAAGGTATTTTAACCTGAATTAAGTATCTTAATCTTAATGTGGAGTCATGTAGCTCAGTGGTTGGAGCACATGACTCATAAGCGAGAGACCTGGGTTCGATTCCCTGCAGGGTGAAACCTTGGGCAAGTTTCCTTACTCTACACGCCTGATAATAAGCCCTCAAGAAAAGAAAAACTATAATAAATTGGTCATTTCAATCCATGACTGTTTGTGGGACACTGCTGTGCACAATTGGCTGCCGCATTTTGCCCACAAATATTCAGTCAGTTCACTTTACAGTATATTCTGTGAAGCGCTTTGAGACATCTAGAAGACGTGAAAAGCGCTATATCAAATGCAAGGATTATTATTTTTATCTACTTCCTGCACAGCTCAGCGGTTTGCATTTATGCAGTTTTAGAGGAAATTAACTTTGAAACAATCCTGCAGTATAACTTTGGAGGAAGTTCATAGGATGGTAACATAATCAGACATGCATAGTACCAGATTGTACTAAGTAACTACCAATGAATATTAAAAAAAATCACCAAAGTATTCAGGATACAGTTTTCCGTGGGTACATTATTTGCAATGAACATTAACTTTTATAAATATCTCATGTTTTGAAAAGCAAGATTCTTACACAAATATATCACTTGAAGCTTATATCTTACAAAGTAAGAGTTTAATCAACAAAGAAATACGATAGGATTCAGATATTTGTGTTCACTATTCAATAATATTTGCAACTAGTTCTTGTTGTAATTTTTTCCAGCCATTGACACTCCAAGACCAAAGATGACTGTGAAAGCACTGATAATGAATCCTGAAGTTGTATTTGTGGCCAATTTATCAAAAGCTGATGCTCCTGCATTAGTAGCATCTTTCCAGTGTGACTTCTCGATAATAAGTGACAAAGAGTCTCAAAAAATGATTGCTTTAGTTAGTGATCTAAAGGTTCTGGCATGCCCGTTCCTTAAAGAGAAGTCTGGGACAAATATAACAACGGTAAGCCTGTGCCTCCTGGAATTTAAATGTCTGTCTACTTGACATCTGTCTACACAGTCATGTCTGCCTTGTTCTGTTTTTAGTACTTCAGACAGCATCAGTTTTGCATTATGAAACAATAGTGTGGGGCAGAAACATTCTTAGTTTTAGCATGTACAGTCTCTTAATTTTACAACTATATTGTGACCTATGTACATACTATAAAATAACTTCTGGACTTAGATCATTGTTACTGTAGTTGATGCTGATCAGTTTTAAATTATATTTCCAGGTGTTGCAGCCCTGCAGATTATTTCTTGACTCAAACCAACCCTTATCAGGACCACAAAATATTGTTTTGAAGGTAGAGGAAGTAGTTGTGAAGGTAAGGTTTCTTACTTTCTTGCATAAAAGTGTTAATCGTAAAACAAGTAAATATGTGGAATGGAGTTACAAGACAGCAACCCGTTTAAGGGATTCAAATATTGCTGTGCAATATCAATGTCAAGCTTAGGCATGTTAGCATTTTCACTTTAAGATTGGGTTATTTTCTAATTCCCTTCAAGTTTTGGATGGTAATCATGATATACTTTCAAGGGATAATTAATTTCAAGGCTGACCAGAAAAAGTAAAGTGGACATTTCTTCTATGGCTACTACACATTGATTTAGGGAAGGGGCATTGAAAATATATTGAATAACGTAAATTAAAAGTTACCTCAGCTTTTCATTGTGTAGATACTGGAAGTTATGGCAACCTATAAATGTAATATCATTTTTTGGGGGGAGGGGAAGGTGATAAGTAGGCTGTGAAGGGATCTTCAATTTGTACTGCAGTATATTTTAAAAAGCTTTGATTCTGTTGTTATGTAAGCAAGTTATGCTTTTGTGAACAAACAAACTTGTAACAGATGTTTGTGATTGTTATCCTTTATGCCACCTTAAAGATTTTGTGTTGTAATGTTCAAAAAAGGTTTCTCCGATTATTCTAAATACTGTGATGACAATTATGGCAGCAATGACTCCCAAATCAAAGGAAGTGGAAGTACAACAAAAAGCAGATGACACATCTAACCTCTGGGCAATAAAGAATGCCCTTCATTGCAATTACTGGTTCCTGGGAGTTGATGTGGCCTGCGAAGCAACAGAAATCACAGATAAAAAGTCTGAAACAACTGGGGAGTCCTTCAAAGTAGATATTGAATTCATTCAAGTAACACTTGAATGTGGTCTTGGGCATCGCACAATCCCTTTACTTCTGGCAGAGTCGACATTTTCTGGAAAAATGCAAAATTGGACGTCATTAATCAGCGTTGATTCGAACATGACCCTTGAGGTAATGTTAGATATATAAACTGTTTTTCTCTATAGAAGGGATAAGTTGCATAGATTGTGAGGGAGAAAAAAATCACGTGTTTGTGTACATATTGATCTGGAACTATTATCTTTTGTTAGTTTCCAAATTATGAGCAATTGTTTGATCTGATTCCAGAAAAAAATGAGGAGTGTCAATAGCTAAATTTTAAATGTTTTAACCATTTAGTTTTGACTTTTTTTGTTTTAAATGTTTCAATCTTAGTCCTGTAACACTGTTGCCTTCGGCTCAACACTTTGCCTCTTAATAATAAAAAAATTGAACATTTACCCTCTATACTGAAGTGCATTAGTCACTCTACATTAGTGCTATTCCAGTGTATCTTTGATTTGGTTTGTTCATGATAGCATGATCTTGAAGGATTTAACAGAAAAGACAGTAAAAAATATGAGTAATTATGAATATGAACTTGAAGCAACAAACTTTATAAAAATAATTACGGCAAGTCCTCATTGTATTCTCTCTACAAATCATTAGATAATTCCAGAAAATAGAGGCATGTGTTTTGTGAGTAACTTTAAAAACTTCATGGTGGCAATTTGTATGATTTTAGGTTCTTTACTACAATGAAATGGCTGCAATATGGGAGCCTCTGCTGGAGCAAGTTAATGGTGGACAAAGAAGGTGGAGTTTGAAATTTAAGGTAACAAGACATTGGGAGGGTTCATTGATGCGTGTCAGACAAATTTAAGGTTCATATGCATAACCTTGTCTTGTAATTGACTTTCCTATCCTTGAAGCTCATGTCCAGTATGCAGTGTCAAATCTAGAGATTTATGTATATTATACAGCGCCTTGGAATGTCCTCCCGCTATACAAAAAATGCAATTTTGTATTTGAATTTGTTCTGGCGTACCATAATAAGGCCCAGCAAAAATTGGTTCTGTAATTCAGTTGTGATTCTGTGATTCACAGCACAATTAGAATGAGCAAATATTCTAATGTTTGTAAATCTTGCTTATAAATTCTTTCAAGTAAATATTTCTGACAATAGGTATGTTCTAAAATATGTGAGATATTGATGTACACTTTCTTTTTAACCCATTTAGATGAAGAAAAACGAGGTACAGGATAAATGTCTCATTCCAGGAGATGACTTCCTCCAAATTCCTGACCCACAGACTGCCATTTCCATTTCTTCAAAGGACACCATGAACATCACCGTGTCCAAATGCTGCCTAAACGTTCTGAATGTTCTTGCCAAGGTAACCATGTTCATAACTTCATGTAGTAATATTGTGTGTGTGTGTGTATATATATATATATATATATATTTTGAGCTCCTTGAATTCCTAAATGCTACTCTGACACTTATCACTTGATGTGCGCAATTGGCTGCTGCGTTTCGCCCACAAAATATACAGTCGATTCACTTTACATCATATTCTGTGAAGCGCTTTGAGACGTCTTGAAGATGTGATAAGGCACTGCATCAAATGCAAGGATTATTATTATTATTGTTGTTACCATTGGGAGATGCGGAGACTGGTCCATAAGTGACTTGCCTTCGATATTGTGACCTCCCTATTGAGGATATCAAGCTTTTATACAAAAGGAACCCGTAAATGTGTGGCTGAATGCCACTGTGGTCAGAGAGATGGAACATGGGTGCAAATCTGTATCCCACCACTGCGTGGCACAGTCTTGCTGGATCACCCTGCTGCTTTCAATACATTTATTATTTAAAACTTTCTTTTAGAATGTCACTAAACTTAGTGACTTTCTTTCAGAATGTTTTTGTGAAAAATGATAATCGAAGACACAATGCCGTTGTTAACAGCTCCCACTACATCTGCTTGCAATCCGTGTGAATCTCATTTATTGTAATTTTAAGAATATTAAATACGACTTCTGAACCGGCAAAACCTTTTAGCGAGTCAATAACTATCAGCACAACAAGTTCACAATAATATACAATTCTTTACTCATTATTAGATATAGTGTTGTTCTACTTTCCAGAAAGAGAGCAAATATTTAGATGATGACGTGTCCATTTTATTTTCCGCAGGCATTTTCTGAAGGAGCTGCCTCAACATTTGATTATTCCCTGAAGGACAAAGCTCCATACACTTTAAAAAATGCATTGGGTATCCCAATGATTATGCAGCATTCTTCCAATCTGTGCTGCATTGGTTTCGATCCAGACGAAACGATAGATGTAGGGCAGACAGTAGAACTTGATTATTCAGCTGTAAAACCCAGAGACCAAGGAAAGCTTTCTGTGTTACAAAGACAAGAAAGTAATCTTTTCACCTTAACTATAGGTACGTTTAAGTGTGACTGAAGTCTTATGTCTTGGAGCAGGAAGGTTTATTTTAAACATTTTTAATAGTAGGTTAGTTAAGCCATTTGTCTTTCACAAGTGTATTTACATATACAGAAATGGTTTGAAAATGAATTTCAGTGGCTTTCCATTTCATTAAGATTTTTTTAAAAAATAGGCTGAGTGATTTTTGGGATGACTTAGTTAATATTACTCTTTTCTGGATCAGCTGGGTGTGGATTGGAGACAGTGGATTGTAGTCTGCACTTGAATCATTATTTAGGCAGACAATCCAGTTCCGTTTTGAGGGATTAATGCCTTCTAACAGATGAGATGTTATTTTTTGAGATGTTAAAACCAATTGAATAGGTATTTTCGGTACTATCGTTCTATTTTCTAAAAAAGCACACTTGAAGTTGGAATGTAAATTCGCTCTTTTTACAAAAAAGTCAAATGTATTGAATAACTAAAGTACAGTATATCATGTTACAATATGTCAAAATAAAATTAAAAGAAATAATGTAATCTAATTGTGCACAAGCTTTAATTCCCGTTTTGACATGAACTGGGTAATAAATTAGAGTGTTTTCTTGAAATTTTCCATGTTTCCTTGTAAATTACTTTAAAATATTTTTTTTTCATCAGTGCCATTTGATTATACAGAAGTAGCAAATATTCCTGTTACTAAGCCTGGCCGACGCTTGTACAATGTCCGTAACCCTTTCAGTGACTATTCAGTATCGCTGTTAGCCCAGATAGATGTGGTAGAAGGCAATAAAAGAATCATCATCAGGTCCCCTCTCCAGGTAATGCAGTGCCTCTTCAATTTACTTCATGTTGCATGGGTTCAGCAGAAATGAAAATGAACATCTTCTTGATTCAGCACATCTCAGTTTTTAATGCAAAAAAAATTGAAGGGCATTTCTTTTAAAAGGCATAAATCAAATTGTAGTTGGCGTTTCTGTTAAAAATGTGACACAAGTAACCAAAAATCATAAATTGAAGTAAATGAGAGAATGTGTAGAAATTGTAACAGTAACATTTTTTTCTTTTATTCACAGATCAAAAACCACTTCTCTATCTCCTTTATGGTCTACAAATTTGTCCCAGAAGGTGGTTTCCTGGAGCCCATTGGAGTAGCTAATCCTGAGCAGGAGTTCCATGTACCTCTGGATTCATATCGGTCAGAAGTTGACTCAAATCATTTTTTGTTTTACTTTGGAAGAGGGAGGAAATCAAACTATTAACTATTCAAAAGCGAATGCAATCCAATTGAATCGAAGGGTTGTTATGGGGAAAGTTCTATTTGCTATGATGTAGGATATCATCTCTCTCACACATGTGCGTGCATGAAAGTAATACACAAGCAAGTGTGATACATTTTGGGGCCACTTGCTAATCTATTGTAGCCAAATGCAAATTTGAATCGTAACGTAACGTGAAGTATAAGATGTCATAACACTGTATGCACTATTATTGCTTTTTGTAAGGTGCTAAATTATTGCGTTTTTTTTTTAAAAAAGAGGTCAATTGTTCCTCAAACCAGTAGGAGAGCTGGAGAACAAGTTCAAAGAATCGACCACATACATTACATGGAAAGAGGAGCTTCACAGGAGCTCAGAAGTCCGGTGCACACTGCGGTGCCCTTCAACTGAGCTAAACTTCCTACCGTTCATTGTAAACACCATTGCTATTCCAGATGAACTGACTTTTATCAGTAGTCGCGGTGAAGATGAATGGGATCCAGCCTATATCATTCATCTCCACCCCACAGTTACAATCAGAAATCTTCTGCCGTATAGTCTGCATTACATACTGGAGGTGAGCTCATTGAAATGAGAGTAGCCTTACTGTCTTGTTTTGCAGTTTCTTTTTACTGAAGCGAATAATATCCTTGCTGATTTTTTTNGTGTGTGTGCAGAATGATCTAAGGCAGCTTGCAGTGAAAATCTTTAGTTGTATTTTTTGACCCACTAAACTTTATGACAGCTTTACATTGCTCGTATTCATAGATGACTTAAAATATAAATTCAGAAAATGAAAGATTTCTCTTTTCCAAGAATTCTCTTTTCTGTGATTGTGTTTCAGTCCAGATGAAGTTTTTCTTTTAAAGTCAACCGTGTTTGCTAGGTTGTGATTTGCTGACCTTCAACAAATGATGTTTCTTTAATTCAGGGAACTGCAGAGTTTCAAGAGCTGGCAGAAGGGTGTTCAGCGGATGTCTTCCATTCAAGAATTAAAGGGGAAATAATGGAATTAGCCCTCATCAAATATCAAGGCAGGAACTGGGTTGGACATCTTAAAATCCAGGATGGACTTTCTGAATTTTTTCCAATGTGTTTCACTGCTGATTCAAAGGATCGCATGAGCATTGATTTGATGGTTCATGTTAGGAAAATCAGCAGGCGTCTGGTTCTGTCTATTCACAGCCCATACTGGATCATTAACAAAACCTCGAGAGTCTTGCAGTATCGTGCAGAAGACGTACACGTGAAACATCCAAGTGATTTCCGGGATGTTGTCCTTTTTTCCTTCAGACGGAAAAATATTTTCAGCAAAAATAAGGTATGTATAATTTCTCTTTGACATTTTTAAATCCTGGAAATAACTAGGAATTTTTAACTTATTGGTGGCAACTATGGTTTAAAAACCTAGTTCGCCCATGTATAAAACTGATGGGTTTGACAGACATTAATATTAATTTGTATTAATAAGACTCCCTCTATTTTAAGGCATTTATACACCTTCTTGTCTAGTTGTATTGCCATTTTATTCACAATCAAAATAAGTCCAGTGATATGTGTCCTTATATAATCTACATTTTAACCACTGTTTGAATCTCGACAGAAAGATTGAAATTTGTTTTTGCAACATGAGGCGAAAATCCGAGTTCTGAAATCTGTTTTTTGCACAGTGCATTGAAATGTATTAGTTGTATGCTGTGAAACGAAGAAATGTTTTAGTGATAAAATGTGTTTTATATTTCCTCTGCTGTGAATGTCACTTGGATACATCGTATTTTTGTAATGAGGAGGCACATTTTTATACTGTGACATCAGATTCACCAAAAGCTAAATTGAGGCTGCCTAAATTTATTGTTGCTTGTGATCCTTATAGTCTGTAGAGAGAGGGATTTCGGGTCTATCTTTCTTGACTTCCTTTGACCGAGGTCCCACAGGTAAAAGGATAGTGTATATCCATTATAGTCCTGTTTGTTTTCCCAATGTTACTATTGATTTTCATTGATTACTTTGAGCCCACATCCTCAAATATTGCACTGTAAAATATCTTACTTTGATTCTGCAATTTATCTTCCAGATCCAGCTGTGTGTGTCTACCAGCAACTGGTCATCTAGTTTCTCGCTGGACACTGTCGGAAGTTATGGATGTGTGAAGTGTCCTGCCAAAAATATGGAATATTTGGTGAGTCTATTTTTCTTGACAGTGCAACTTATGCAGGATGTAAGTTACATCCATCCTTCGGATGATCCGTTAAACTGAGGCCCTGCCTGCCTGTTCAGAAGGACGGTAAAGATCCCATGGCACTACTCAAAAAGAGAAGTGTTTCTCCTAGTGTCCTCGCCAACAAATTTGATCACTGACTCCACAGCTGTTATGGGACATTGCTGTGTGTAAACTGACTGCTGTGTTTTGCCCACAAAATACAGTCACCCTACAATATATCCTGTGAAGCGCTTTGAGACGTCTTGATGACGTGATAAGGAGCTATCATTAAATTAGAAATATTATTAGAAATGGGGAAGAATTGTGTGGGCATCTTCTGAACTTAATGATGTGACTTAACATTAAAAATCTGTTATTTTGGGCATCGGTATTTTTGATTCCTGAATGTTTATATGTTTCTTTTGTTGGTACTGTATTGTTGCAAATGCAAGGTGAAGCTTTATGGCCAAATTGCGAGATACTGGAAAAAAANGTTTAGTTGCATGTGTGACAGTTGAGGGCATTTGCGCAAAATTACAAATATACTATTTCTCCACATTGTGTGCATCAATCATGGACCTAGGAACTACACAATTAATTTACTTGGAATTGGGCAATTCTTGAATTTATTAGCATATTTTATTTTATCACAGATTGGAGTAACCATTAAGATGAGCAGTTTCAATGTAACCAAAGTAGTTACATTAACTCCTTTCTACACCCTGGTGAACAAGTCTTCATATGAACTTGAGGTTGGAGAAGTTTTGCCCAGCGGCCCAATGGAATGTGGGAAATGGCTGTACATTTCAACAGCAGAGGTACCATCTAAAACTGCAGCGTTATAGAGATCAATATTTAGAGACACCATGTTCATTTCTGTCTCTGGATTATGCTTTTACATTCATCGTTTCAGCATTCACATGCACCACAAGCATCCTTTTAGAACACAGAACCAACCACAGCAACATTGTACATCAAGAAATCTTTCATAATGATTTTCAAATACAATTTACACGATAGCACCTTAAAATTAATTGATTGCTGTTATCTTCACTGCACTACCAACAACACAATACAGGATGCAGTAGTCTCTAGCGAATGCTAGCAATTTGACATATTTATTATTGGGGCTAAAGCTAAGGAGCTCTTTATGGTTATAGTTAATACTTACTAAGGTAATATGCAGAGTTGTATCTTATTTGTGGCATCTTTTGGGAACTAGAAAAATAAATTTTGTGTTGCATGTTGAACATAGAGAAATGATGGCAAATTATATTGACGCGCACATGTTATTTACATTATATATTTCTTTTTTCTTAAATCTCAGTGTCTTCCTTTGTGGCCTGAAACAACATCAAACAAACTTTGTGTCAGAGTGGTTGGCTCTGAGCAGTCATCTAAATCATTCCATCTTAACAAACGAGACAATGGCACATTATTAAGTCTTGAACCGTTGGTAAGTTGAAATGCGCTTTTAGTCTCTTAATAATAGCACACTTTGATTTAGAATCTCTTGAGTAACTCGTACTGGTAATACAGTTTGGTGAGCTCTATTTTGCTGTCTGCTAAATTTGCACAATTGTAAATCCTTGTTACCTATTATTCTCTTGGTTTGGGGGGGAATCTGCAAAACCAGGAGAAAATGATTTTTCAGGTGAAGAGGATCATTTTTCATTGCCATCTTTTTAATTGTAGAGGGTTGTATTCAATTTGGGTTCGAACAAAGAAACTGATGTAGGCTGTAACAAATTATTTTGCAAATATATTCTTTAAATTTTAATAGACCAATGTCATGTTTACTGACATCTAATGTCCTTGATTTGTTTTGATTTCAGTGTGATGGGGTTATTGTGGACATAAATGTGGCTGATCACTCCACAGTGGTCAGTTTTACAGACTACTATGATGGTGCTGCACCTGCCTTGATCATTAATCACACCTCTGCAGTGAAGTTTAGGTTCAAACAAAGGTATCAGAAATCCATAAAACACCCTCTCTGTTGCAATTATGAGTTGTGTAATCTTGGACTCTGAATGAAACCTTTATTTTGCTTTATTTTGATACACAATTTATTTTCAGTGCTCTACTTACTGAGAACATTTCATGACCACAGTTTTAGCAACCTGTTGCGTTTGCATTGAATATTTTTTTGGAAAGGCCTAACTCCAATTCAAATGATAGAAAGAGTGCTGCACAAATGTTGAGACTTCATTAAATTTGGAGGACAGCACACCTAACCTGGAATCCTAACCTCTATTTTTACCCTGCAGTGGTGTTCAGGAAGAAGTCATCCTTGATCCGGGAAAGGCTCGATTGTTTACATGGGCTGACCCTGCTGGCAACAGGAAACTTAATTGGGGATGTGCATGGAAAACGGGGGAACTTGATCTGTTCAAGGTGGGTGAGGTTTTTTTTTATGAAAAATATATAGATTTTCCCTGTTGAACTATAGTGCGAGGCACTACCCTGAAACTCCAAAAGTTTTTTTTTTACTTAAAGTGGAACAATAAATAAGTCTTAAAATAAAGTTTCAAAAGATATATTCCACAGTTGAAACAGGGATCAAAATGTTGGCATTGCTCAACACATTTCATCCCTTCATTTTCACTGGAGAAAAATATTTCTTGATTCACTCGTGTGATTGGGAAATATTTAATCAACGTGAACCTAACAGTTAATTTAAGAATAAAATCTGATTGTTTTACTGATGGCGCTGTCTGTGTATTGCTGTGTTTTGCAGGATCAGTTTGGCCAGTTCCTTGGTGACCAGAATACTCAGATTCACTGGGTGTCTTTCCTTGATGGACGACAACGGGTGTTACTCTTCACTGAAGATGTTGCTGTTGTTTCGAAAGCACGACAGGCTGAGGATTTGAAACAATTTGAAAAAGAGATCACTGTTTCACTTCACAGCCTAGGACTGTCCCTTGTTAACAATGAGAGCAAACAGGAAATTGCTTACATTGGAATTACCAGGTACTTGTCTGATGATTTTAATTTTCATGTTGCATGATAATATTTCCACCACTCGACTTAAATTGTTGTTGATTAAAAAAAATATTCAGAGAGGAGCAGCCTGTCTAAATTGTATTAAAGGTGCTGAAATGCCTTGTTTCTATCAGCAGTGTGAAAGAATTAATGCACAATTTGGTTCATTTTCGGCACTGTGTATAGAAGCCAATGTAAAGAGAAACCGCTACACGTGGTAGTGATCAGAAATATGGTGGATACCAGTCCAATTAACTCAATCTCCCTATCTCCTCCTCAAGTTGTATTACTGTTGGCCAATGTTCATTAACACAATAACTAGAAAATAACATGTCTACCTTGTGTTTCTGCTCTCAAGCTTCTTTCTTCTTTAAAATGTAATTACATTGCTTCCTGTGAGAGTAACCTCCAACCCATCCCTCTCATCCTTCGAAAGCAACACCTTTTGAACTTGGGACTCTTGAAGAGTATGATGAAAATACCTTGAGTCAATTATTTTCAAACTTTGAATTGTGTACATATAAGCAAAGGGGAGGAGAGCTCTCTAAGCTTACCTTCATATCTGATTTTTCAATCCCTTTTGTTTTGTTTGATGTTGTGAGATGTTTTGATAACATTGTTCTGTTTGTTGAAAATAATTATACTGTCACATGCTGTATATAGGCAATACCTTTGAAGTGTAGTACCTGCTTATTAAGTTTCAGCTCGATGAACTTGGTTAACATACTGGAGAGATGGCCCACAAGCAGGTTAGCAACAGTACTTGCATGTAGGAATCAGCCCACAACACATATGGAAGGGGTGATTCAAAGTTAAACGTAGCATTGGTATATATTGGTCCCGTATACTAGCGGTTAAACGAGGGGTACTGTAATCTGCATTATGTACACTAATATTTTCAGAGGGAAAGAGTCATGGGTACACCCATTTTCTTTCAGTAAGCAAATTGTATTGGTTCATTGTAGCCCTCTTGCCTTTGTCCAATGTGTTGTCTTGTATGTCTGTGCATGTGTCAAACTGGGTAATGAGAGAAGCCTGCCTGTACAAATAATCATTTTTGGTAAACTTATGAGATTCCATATCAAAACATAGTTATATGTACGCTCTCAGTTTAATGCATGCTTCCTATTTGGATTAATATGCATGTAGTTAACTTTTGCATTCATATTATCCAAGAGGTCGATTTCAAAGTCTCAACTTAGGCATGTTTACACCATTACTCTTCGAGGGGTATTCCAGCTTTTCTTATTCTGTACCAATATTAATAAAAGAATTAATGATTTAATTGAAATGTCATTACAGAGGGCCATAAGTACAGACTAACAAAATGGCTAAGCTTACCAAACAAAGCATAATTGTATCTAATTTTTAATCTACATGTGGTCTGTCAACTATGTTTTTTGTCACGTCTTCGATTTTTGTTTTTCCCTTATGTTTCTCCTCTCTGTCAAAGAAACGTTTCCATAATTGGATCATCAAGAGTAGCAATATTTATTGCCTCTACCGCTATTCAGGCTCCAGAGTAAAAAAATACCCCAGGGCCTTTAACTTTACACCTTTTCTGTTAAATAATGGACATTGTTGCTGTTCCTATTAACTGAGCAGTTGTTATCAGAAAAGTGTTGGAACAGCGCTTGTGGTCGCCAACAATTCTGATTGTTTTAAAGAATGATTTACATTAGAATAGGTCATGTTCAGATGGTCCTCTTGACGTTAAAGGCTCTGTACAAATATAATTATTTGTTGTTGTTTAAACCAAAATTGGTGGATGTTCGTCCGACTAAGTGGCAGTTGAATGTAAATATGCATCCAAACATTCAGTTATTTGCAATGAGCATTTCATTCTGACTCTAGTTCTGGCGTTGTGTGGGAAATGAAACCGAAGCAGCGCTGGAAGCCATTTAGTCAAAAACACATCAACCTTTTGGAATCCACCTATCAGAAGCACTTCAATGCAAGGTCCTTTGAATCCTGGATTAAGTTGGAGTCTAATTTTGAGGTAGTGTATTAACCATAAATGTCGTAATTAGAAAATCTTTCCTATTCCTGCAATGAAAATTTCATTACAACTCTAGTAGTGGTGTTTGGGAACTTTTCAAGATCAAGTTGTTAACTCTCCAGGTAGTCAACAGAAATGAAATTTCTCTTTCCAGTAGCAAAGTATTCATTTTAATAATACTTATACTCTGTGTAATCTTGTGATTTAGTCAGGTTTAATGGTGTGTTTGTATCACTTATTTTTGTAGGTTAATTTCAACACAATGCAAATGCGCTTACCTGCCCAGCACAGGATCAGACGAAACTTCTTGTCAGGAATTCATATTGAATATAAACAATCACCTCATCACAGGAGTTTACGGGCACAGTTAAACTGGTTGCAGGTAATTTATTTTCTGGTGAATCATTTATTGAAGAGTTTAGCTTTTTTTTAAAATTCAGCACCTCAGGAAATGACTATTGCGAATTGCAGTGGGCAGAAAGCTGTTTCCAAAACAGATTCTAAAAGAGAACGATTTATCTATTTCGCAAACATCTGCATTTTATCATTCTGTTTTGCAGGTTGACAACCAGCTACCTGGTGCAATATTTCCAATTGCGTTTCATCCTGTTCCTCCTCCCAAGTCCATTGCATTGGATTCAGGTACATCTTAACTGGCTTATTTTATTATCATCATGTAAATAAGCACTCCGGGACCCTACCCCGTGTGAAGGATTGTTGTAAATATGGAAGTTCAATTCTTATCATAGTTTTATGCTTGTTCTTGTAGAACCAAAGCCATTTGTTGACATAAGCATCATCACAAGATTTAATGAGCACAGTCAAGTTATGCAGTTCAAGTGAGTAACGGAATGTTCAACGGGAATGAGCAGTTAACATAATGGTGATACTAATATAACTATTCTTAGTGAACAATCACATTAACAATACATTAACAAATTAAGGAAAACAATGTGCAGACAAAGCACAGAGCTCAGAGATGTTATCCTGTGTGAAAGGTGTTACAGTAAAACTTGCATGAGTCTTATTTTTATAATCGTATAATTACCAAACGTCGTACATGCACCTGAGTCCCATTCAGTTTCCTCCCAAAAAGCGCTTTGATTTCTTTCTACTTGTCATATTTTATAAATCGGAAAAGCAGCTAAATCGCGACTGTTTCTTGGACCCTAAATCCAATGCAAATCATCTCCAAACACTTACAGGCTGCATTGAAGTACGCATCTGCAGTGTTGATCATTGATTAAGTCGTATACGATATGACTGAAGTACAATAGAATAAAGAGGGAAATCAAAGAGTTTTGCAATACTATTTTGTTTAATGTTTATTTCTAGATATTTCATGGTTCTCATCCAGGAGATGGCAGTGAAACTTGACCAGGGATTTCTCAGTGCTATTATTGCACTGTTCACAGCAGCATTAGATCCTCTAGCATCAACTCAAAAGGTATCTTTTATCCTAAACCTGCATATATTTTTTTTACCTTCAGGCTTCTGGTTTTGGGGATGGGTTTGTATGTGTGTGTCCTGATATCAGGTAGACTTGTTTAGCCTTGATTTGGCGACGGCTCAATTCAAATGTGAATAAAACACATTAATTTGTCAATAGGATATTATATGCACAATTGAAAACTTTGTTTACAAGTTGAAGTCTTGACTTGAGTGTTGTGGGCTACAGAACCAAAAAATATACATATGTAACACTTCAACAAACCATGGAGACATGTCATCATAGTCCTATAAAATTTTTCAGAAATATCTTATTTACCTATTTTCTCTCATCTTAATAGAGTTGGTCCACATATGGTGCTGTGAGGTTTAAGTACTTTTATCTTTTCCAGACAAATCTGATACACCATGATGTAGAAGCATTAAAGGCAGAGTTGATGGAAACCTCAATGACAGATGTTTCAAGTTTAAGTTTCTTTGAATACTTGCATATTTCTCCACTGAAGGTAAACAATATAGCTTGAATAAGTCTTATGGAAAGGAATGATGGACTAAAATGACTGGCTGTTAATGCATGAGTGTATTAAATGTTTGCTTCACAGTAACTACATCTAAATCCTTGGTTGACTCCTCCATTCCTGTTGATTTCTATTTAATTATTTAAATTAAACATTATGATCTTCATTTGTGAGGTTTCATTTCATTTCTCAAACTGGAATCTTGTTCGTCTCTTGATGAATAGTTCAATATTAATATTTTATGTGAAAGGAATGTAACTTTTTGATGTTCTTAAGAAATAATCACAGATTAACAGCAAAACTATAATTAGTAATTTCAGTCTTTCATAGTCATTTTAACTAATGAGCATTAATTATAGCATGCCAATAAAATGCAACTTTACTCCCTACCAGGAGTTGAGCCCAGCTCAATGCTTCTATGCTCACCTTGCTTTAGGAACTTAAGTGTGCTGGTGTTTTTAAAAATCTTCCATTTTCTATAAACATTCAGAATCACATTGTATCATTTTGCTGCTGTCACTGTTAATCCATGTAGAGTCTATGCACCTTGGAAGTTACTGCAGTCATCCTTAATTAGACATTTTTTTCTTAAAAGGTACATTTGAGCATGTCATTGGACTCAGGAGGAGAGGAATCCAGTAAAGATAGGCAGGAAGCAGCACCACTCCAGTCCATTAATATTTTGCTGAAAAGCATTGGAGCTACTTTAACAGATGTGGATGATCTCATCTTCAAGTAAGCAGACCAGACTATTTTTCTTTGCATACGACTAGCTGAATTTGTTGATGAGGGTTGCATAATAAGACTTTACTTCAGGCCTCAAAGGTATGATTAATGGCTGTGTTTTGCATAAGTTAAACTAGGATATTTTAGAGATCTAAATCACAGTATTAAAGAGACATTTCTATAACTGAACTTGTTTTCATTGGCAAATAAGATTAATAGGATATATAATCAAGAGTTTTCATATGCAGACACAGACCTCCTGGAGTTTCATTTCTTTTCATGTTTTTTCAGAAGACAAAGGGACACAATTATTAAATTAAGAAGTAATTAAGAATATTTAGCTTGGGAGGATTGTTCCCCAAGCAATAGCAAACCAATAGTAGGAGACTAAATCCAATCCTTCATTGACTAAAGTCTATAAAAATAACTTAAAAAATGTGTATTTAGGCATTTTCTATATTTATTTGGTGGGGAGGGAGGAAGAAACTTGCAGAATCTTTTCACAAAATCTCTTTTCAGAAAATCGTGAATTATATATATAATATATAAAGATGGTCTATTTAAAAAAATGAACTTAATGTGCTAAATGGCTTCTTTACGTTTCAGATTTTCTTATATGGTTTTAACTCGTGTGTGTGTGTGTGTGCACGTGTTATTGAGTGAATATATTGGCTGGTTCTTATGTTTCAGACTTGCATTTTTCGAAACTAAATGCCAGTTCTATAAGAGAGATCAACTGATGTGGACTGTCATTTCCCATTATTCTGAACAAGTGAGCATAAAAAAAGTTGTCAGTTTAAACATTTTTTCCCACCTGCCTTGATAATACTGTGTTAACCAAAACCGCTTGCTTTTCTCTCAGTTTCTGAAGCAGATGTACGTTCTTGTTTTGGGGCTTGATGTCCTTGGAAACCCGGTCGGACTCATCCGAGGCCTCTCGGAAGGTGTAGAAGCATTCTTCTATGAACCTTTCCAGGTAAGTAGAAATACGATGGAAGTTATTTTGTATTCTTTATGACAGCTGACTTTCTTTGGCGGTTTTTACATAAGAGTAACCTCTTGAATTTTCATAGGGTGCTGTTCAGGGACCAGAAGAATTTGCAGAGGGCTTTGTGATTGGAGTGAGGAGCCTCCTTGGACACACAGTAGGTAAGAATTACTAGCAGTTTTAGTATATGGGTTATATAGGGTTGTCTGTAGAATTGAACTGCTACAAAGGGCTTGTTTCTCGGGGTAAACCATAATCTGCTGGACCAAATAATTCTAAATGAATCCTTCTTTGGTTCCCTTGCATCAGCAAGTTTGTGCTCATAGCTAATACTGATGTCAGCAGATAAATCTGAACATTACTTCTTGGTATTGCATACAGGTGGCGCAGCTGGTGTGGTGTCTAGGATCACGGGAACTGTTGGAAAAGGCTTGGCTGCAATTACTATGGATAAAGAATATCAACAGAAACGCAGAGAGGAAATGAACCGTCAACCCAAAGACTTTGGGGACAGTTTGGCTAGAGGAGGAAAGGGCCTCTTGCGGGTAAGGAGATAAAACCTAGTCCCGTGCTGTATATTTTGATTGGGGAAATGGAGAACCCATGCATCATTGCTTTAAGAGGAAGGCAGACATTAGGCAGTTAACATACCTCTGCCAGGCATCAAGAGAACAATTAAAGACAATTTGGCCCATTAGGTCTGCTTTTTACATAGTGCATGCAAATCCTGTCCGACCTTCTTCACTCCACAGACTACATCAGCTCTTAGTTCCCAGGCAGTTATCAGTTTCAAAGGAATTCATATATCATCAACTGGTATTCTTTAAAGTCTGTTCCATACCTCCACTCTTTTGTGAAAAGATATTCTTCTCATTTCCAATCCCACTTGAAGATTTTTCAGTTTAAATGCATAGTATACCTTCTTACGTCGGTTTGATCGGTGAATCAAACAGTGTTGTGCCTCTCAACAATTTAATGATCTGGATCATGTCCGCTTCAATTTTTTTNCTCTAATAACTCACCTCTATGAGCCTTTGTGACTTAAAGCTCTAAGTCCTGGCATATTCTTGCTCTTCTCTGAACTCAATATCCTTTTGAAGATAGGTAGCTGAAAATGTACAAAATACACCAGCTGTGGCTTCACCAATAAAATCCACTTGGGTTAGAATAAAGTTTTTCCATTTCTAAACAAAAATGCTCCCAAGGTGCAACAATATTTGATCAGTAACTTTGCATTCAGTGGAAACCTTCAGTGAGTAGTCAATAATTACACCCATGTCTTTTTCCATTTCCACTAATGGACACTCTTTCATTGTTTACATGTGTTTACTGTTTCTTGTTCCAATATGCATTACTATATTAATCCATCCATTATTTCATTAGACCATCTGCTTAAGTCATCCACATCTCCTTGAATATTCTTTATCCTCGTATTATTCACCTGTCTGCGTAGCTTAGTAATCTATCAAGAATTTTTTAAAAAAATTACAAGACTCTGAGTCATTCATGAATAATATGAACAGCAGCAGATTAAAAAAGGTCACAAGTCACTTCCCTGTGACAGAGATTTTCCATCATCGCCTCCCTGCTTCCAATTGCTGAGTCAACATTCTATGTAGGTAAACTTGACATTTATTCTGTGAACTTTACGCTTTAATAGTTTTGTGTAGACACTTGAATCTCACTTATAGAATGTTGGAATCCTCATCTACAACTTTAGTTCCTTCAAAAGAATTCCAGTAGATTAGTGAGCGATAACCAGTTGCGCCAAATCAGTGTTGTTTTCCTTATAGCATCTATACTTTTTAAAACTGGCATTGATAGCCCCATAAAATGTTGTGACTGATGTGTTTTAAGTAGTTTTTTTAAAATTTTCTCTTCATGTATAAAGAACTTGAGTTGTAGAGTGTGGACTGATCATGTGTTTAGTGTTAGTTGGAAAATAATTACTTTCTAGTACAATAAAGACTAAAGATGTTAGACTGGAAATAAAGGTAATTTTCTTAACATTCTCCAACATTATATTATATTAATCTTTCCATTATCAAAAATCTCTTAAGTATAGTACAGTTTTGTCCGTGAGCTTATTTAATATCTCCACCTACTGGAGATTTTATTAATTCCATCATGCAGAAACATTAGTCACAGAATGAAAATCACCTGGCTTAACTGCTTTGAAACACACCACTGAGTTTCTTCAGAAACTTAAACGGATTTCCAGTAGGTATGTTAGGAAATGCAGCTTCGCTGTCATTTAATTTCAAAATCTCAATCCAATTTATTAGTATGTGGTTGTAGAAAGTAGTCTCAGTTAGTAGAACTTGCAGAAAACTCAAAAATAATCAATCATTGCGTGTTTTTGAGTTTTTATTCTGTACATTTGAACAGTTTTGAAATTTTGTTCCAAGTTGCTGTCTCTGTTCAGTGTGGACAGATGACATGAGCCAAGCAGCTGGAAGATGTATGAACATAGCCTGTAATGATGAGACTCCACAGCCTCCAGTTTGCATCTCCACACAGGGACGTACATCGTGAAGATTGGGAATTCAGCAGCTATATATTAGTTCACCAGCAAAGCTGGACCACAGGACTGCATCCGGAGAAATTATCAGACCAATAAAATTTTTGAGATGGATTTTGTTCAACAAAAAAAGCAAGCCAAACTATTCAAATTGAGGACATGAAGAAATCTGCCCTAAATCTTCTTCTTTCACAGATACAATATTGATATCTACTGTGAAACAAATACAATGTAGAAATATTTACAATTTATTTTTGAATTTCTTTCAGGGTGTGGTGGGAGGATTTACAGGAATCGTCACAAAACCTGTTGAAGGTATGTTACTCAAACTTGGACGAGCAATGCACCAAACGTCAATGCTTTGGGACAAGATTATAATGAATAGAAGACATTATATTCTTCTATTGAATGTGTTTTTATTAAACTAATCCTTGCCTTTGAATTAGCTTTTTTTTGATGTCAGAGGGAATGTCTGTGTTATTTTGTAGGTGAAATTAATAGTTCCACCTATGTTTGCACTCACACATGGAAATTTCGCTGCGTATAGAATGCTCACTCTTCTTGCAAGATAGGTACACCCTATTTTCCTATTTCCAGAGAATTAGATGCAGATTGACATGAGCCAAGGCTTCTAGACCCCAGAGAATATGTTGGTCAATTCCATATTAAAATGCCTTATTGAGTGTTCTATATAACTGTAGCGGATGGCTGGCCATAAGGGAGCTGTGGAATGTATCTCAAATTGTACTGTGTGAGACCTTATGGCCACTTTTATCAACAGCTTTTCTGTATTATAATCTATTAATAGAAAATATAATAGGTTATGGTTTCAAAACGTTTGGTTATGATTGGATGACATTGACTTTCAAAGATATATAATGACTTGTGAACTACATATTTCTCATTCCTTTGTGACCAATTTTTCATGCTAAATGAGAAGATAATGTGACTTGATCTGTATTTGTGGCTGCCACAATTCGCCCACAAAATACACAGTCACTCCACTTTACAGTATATTTTGCGAAGCACTTTGAGACATCTCAACGACATGATAAGGCGTTCTATCAAATGCAAGGATTATTATTATTATTACTTGTTTATTTGATGAATGGATAACCTGACTGAGTAGTGCTAAGGTTCCGTTTGAGTTCATTCTCATTTTACGACTTAACACTTCGTGCCACAGGTGCAAAGAAGGAAGGTACAGCCGGTTTCTTCAAAGGAATCGGCAAAGGTCTGGTTGGAGTTGTTGCACGACCGACGGGTGGCATCATTGATATGGCGAGCAGCACTTTCCAAGGAATTAAAAAGTAAGTTATTGAACCAAAATAACCCATGTTAAAAGCGAAACTGCACTCCAGTGAGGCACTCAACAATGGGATTAACATGTATTCTATTGTATTCTACGGTTTCTATTTCCACTGTTTGTTTTTGAATAAGGCACAACAACTTGCAATTATATTGTGCACTTAACAACAGGATAGTCACAGAACCCTGTATAGTGGTGAGGTTGGTTGCCGAGAAAGAGAAGGGAGGTGACCATAGGTGTGGTTGAAGAGATAATGTAGGTCTTGAGGTGGAATTTAAAGGTAGATAAAGAGGGGATGATATGATACCCAGTGCAATATCACTTCCCTTGTCTGCGATAAGGTATCCAAAGTTAACATATGGAGTTCCAGAGTTTAAACTTGCAGTGGTTGATGGTATGGAATGCAAAATAAATTTGAGAAGAATTTCAGATTTATAAATTTGAGTTAAACTATCCAGGCTTTCCAAACTTAATAATCATTTTTCAAGTGATTTCAAATGCTGTCTTCGGGCATAATTTTAATTTAGACTGCTCCTGTAAACAAATTCCTTCTTTGCTTTTCACCAGGGATAATGTGATTAATTAAAACTGAAAAACAGTTTGAAAATGATTCTTTTCCACTGGAGCCTAGTCGATATTTAAGGGACTTTATTATTTTTAATGGTTAGCTAATTCTGTATTATTTTAGGAAATGATACATTAAAACAATTACTGACTTTCATTGCCTAACTCTTAGGGTAGCTGAGTCGACTGAAGATGTAAATAAACTGCGTCCTCCTCGCTGCATCCATGAAGATGGGATCATCAGAACTTACAACAGATCTGAATCTGAGGGATGTGAATTGCTTGAGGTAAATATGTCTATTTTTCTTAAATGGGGAAATAGACATTATTCAAATCCCCTTTAAATTTATTTAAGCAATATGAAATATTCAATGGATTTGATTTAATCACAGTATGTTAACACATTCCTGTGTACAATGCTCAATCTTGCTCAATCTTGTTTGAGTGGCTGCCTTGCCACAGCTCTTCAGGTGTGTAACTTGTACTGTGGTTAACATATTTCACCTATAAACACACCTTTTTCTAGAGTAGTTCAAGGGCATGTACATCACCAAGTGATAACTGCACTCAGTGATTTGGTATCCAGTGCAATATCGCTTCCCTTATCTGAAAAAGGTATCCAAAGTTAACATAGCATGACATATCTTATAACCCTGATGATATGGTACCAACATGAACTTTACAACAAATGTACACTTATTTTTTAAATAGTGTCAGGCATGGCATTACAGTTATTATTGAAATGAACTATGTACAGTTTTCAGATACTGTCAGTAACCATTGAAAAATTTGCTAATTTGCACTTCATAAATTTGCACCATCGTGGAAAGACCTGTAATGTGCACTAATTATGCCCAACCTTTCTAATATATTGTTGATTATTTATCCAACTAAAACATATAGGAGCGCTTTTTATGTTGCAATATCACTGTTCGCAGCCGTTGTGTGTACTTTTTTTTCTACGTTCCTTTTACAGACTTCTGCACACAATGAGCACTAAAGATTAGTTATATAAGTTATACAACTAGAACTCTGATCAATCAAAGATTAAAAACTTTCCACTCTATGCATGCATGGCTTCCTTTTAAGCAAAAGTTCTAACTTTCCTTTTTTCATTTTTCCTTCTATACATGCAGCAAGAAATGGAATGAAAGTAGAATATCTTGCATCTTTCTACCTTTGCTACGTGCTTCTTACTGAAACATTCTGCTGATTTAGCTTACAACATTGTATAAATGTATTTAAAGCTTTCATCAATACAGTATGTACTATTCTCACAATTAAGACCATGCACATCATGGCGAATAAATTACGTTCAACTGATTAATTGATTAATTTAATACATAACTACGTCTTGCTAATAAATGTTAATGTTAGCTATGGTGACAGTCTTTATGCCAAATATTTGAAGGAAATAATTTAAAAAATAACTTGAACTTGAGACTGTTTGTCATCTTGTTGCATATTGTCTTCACAGTTTTGACTATTTGCTCCCTTTTTTGTCCAATTGGACTTTAAAATGTAATTCTGTGTTCAGTGCGTATAACTGTATAATTTCTTGTGTGTTTATACAAACCTTATTGCCTGACTCCTCGCCTGAACTCCACCCATTCCAATCCTCCCTCCCTTCAGTTTCAATATTAATTGTGAAAGATTTGGCACATATATCAGTGAGACTATTGTTCATGCAATGTTATGAACGGTTTGAGCTGGAGCACAATTTTAGATTGTTGCAATTTGGGACCAAAATGTTAGATTGCTGTCAAAATTTAAAAAGTGTAACTTTTGCTGATTCAATTTATTTGTGGCGAATAAGACACATTAGGCTGTACAGCTTTAGTGTATATATGTTACTTACATACAGTAGAAATCTGTTAATCAGCATGACAAGTCATCCATATTGGGCTCAAAATGTATCCAAGAGAGAGAGAAAAGTTAGAAAGAGTTAGAGAAAAGGAAGAGAGAAGAACTGACATAGTTAATGCTATAATATAATTCCTGATAGATGTTTTGGGGGGTCATGAATAGCCAATTTGTATAATCATGATGAATTATCTGGATTGATTACTCATCCACAATGGGGCTGGTCCCAATTAGTGTGAATAATTGTCTCACTTCTGTTTCTCTTGTTACTTGTAATTCTGGTGTTTCATTTGTATGCCAAAGCCTTTATGATTAAAATGTACATATCTGATAGTTTTCTGCTTCTTCCTCATCATCTTTGCTTCCTTAAAAGCTGAGAGAATAGTGGGTTGTATTTCTACAACACATTGTTTTCACATGAAATCCAACGACCCAAAAGTGCTTTACAAACTATAATTGATTAGAAATGAAGTAAGTGAATGTTGTTAAATAGGCCAATACAGTCGCTAATCTGTACCAGTGATGGTCCACAAATGAAATGATCAGCCAATTAATTTGAAATTTTAGGGGTAGTTTAATAATAGTAATAATCCTTGCATTTGATCGCTGAGACGTCTCAAAGCGTTTCACAGAATATACTTTAAAGTGAATTGATTCTAATTTTGTGGGCGAAATGTCCACAAAAGATAGGTTGTAGATAAATTGTCTAACTGGAATAATTGGAATAAAATCATTTGTTCGCTGAAACCTGTTTTGCAGCTTTCATATACATTTTAATCTGTGAAATACCTACAAATTGATGGTAGAATGATTGATGATAATCTGTGAAATATAATTGAACCATCAAAAGTGAATTTTTTTATTAACCTTGTATAAATGAGACACTGAGTTTAAGAAAAAACAATTGTGGTGCAGAAATGATTGGAAAGTGGAAATATTCTCATTTAATTTAAGGTTAAAAATGGATCCTAATTGTGATTAGCCAAATTGTGATCTTAATTGTAACTGGTTTCTTTATCTTCGGTATTTAGATCTTTTGAATGACTAACAATATCACAACGCACAAATCTTTATAAATATCATCTGAAGCTCAAGATTAAAATTGCTGCTTTGAGCTCCTTTTACATATAAAGTACAGTCATTGTTGGCAAGCAAGTCTGTCCAAATAATTTTACCAGTAATCGCTTTCTCCCTGAGTCGTGCATCAACTGTGGCTAAAGAGACCTGTTGCCAAGCTTTGCTAATGCTGTGTTGTATCAATTGGCATGAGCAACTGGATAATTCTCCCATCAATACTTTATTGCCCCTCACTGTGGCATTGCTAGTATCAGGAACTGAACAGAGTGGAAATTAAGCCAGTGACAGTGAGTTTGTGCTGTAGATCCTTACATTATGTAACGTGTTTTCGAGACTTGAGGTAAAAGATGATACGCAAGTATAATGGGGACTCCCATCAGTCTCCAACACCACCAAGGGTGATGTATGTAATGTTGAATGGAGGCTTGACCCCCCCCCCCCCCCCCCATATGCTTTGGTTAAGTATCGCTATCTATTTAAAAGTAACTGTTGTAATTTAATGTTATTGCAGAAACTGGAGATTCAGAAGTTTGAAGGAGAGATGTATCGTAGTCACTATTCTATATATGGGAACAAAAATGCAAATCTGCTCATCACCAACAGGTAAGATTTAAGCATCTCCCAATCAATGAGATGAAGTATTTGCAGTTAATCCTCAACTGTAAAAATATAATTTGAAGATTAAAGGAATAGATAGAATTAAAAAAAGTATTGTCTGCTTTAATCCTGTGGTGGCAATTGCCCTGTTTAATTGGTCATTCATCTCATGGCTGTTTATGGATCCTTGTGGATGAAATTGGGTGCAACTTTTGTCTACAGTAGTTGCTGTGCTTAATAATAATAATAATTTCATTTGATATGTTTCACATTAGCAGGATTCACTGTTAAGTGTAGTGACTGTATTTCAAAGCAATAATCTATTAAAATGTAGCTTCTTTCTGTAGTCTTAGGAAACAGTGCAAGGAGCAGCCGTCAACATTTGTGGTGCTTTGCAGACGTAAATAATAAACTTTAAGGTTTATTTTAAGTTGAACTCTTTGCTATCTCACTTTTCATGAATTATGTGGTAATTTCAGGAGAGTCCTGTGTGTGTCTGATGAAATTCTAGGCCATCTTGGAAGTGACTGGAATTACACGTTCGATGAGTTTACACAGCCACCAATTGTGAAAGGAAATGTGTTGAGTGTGTTTGTCAAGGTATGTTTTCTTTATTACACTGTAGACATCAAAATGTTACTGCTCCGGTCAGGAATACCATGAATAGTTGTTTCTGCTGTAAGTTGAAGGTGTGCATTACTATTCTGTTGTAAAAAATGGATATGTTCATGCATTCCTAGACTACAATCACTGCAAATACACATTTTTAATCACAACTTAATTAAAAAAATGCTTTTTTGGATTGTTACGATTTTACAATAAATATAAAGGAGATGTATTGTTAAGTCCTTTGCCACCTCTGATAAACATCAGCTAGATATTTTCAGCCCAGTAACACACAGGAGGATTTATTCCTGTGTCATGCAGGAAATGTGATACGTTGGTGGTAATATTTATAAATTCATATTCAAGCCATCATGAATCTAAAGCAATGTGCAAATTTAATTTTCCAGTTTGACACAGCTTTTCAATGAGAGGTTCATTGTTTGGCAATGTTGTTTGAGGATAAAGTAGTTCACGGCATAGAGCTGCACATTATGACGACAATGTTCAATCATAGATCAAGCTAAATTGAACACAATTTTTGTCAGTAAGTAACACTGAATGTAACAGGAAAAAAAAGGATTTTTGAAAGCTGTATATTGAGGTATTGAAAACTACACTCCCCAGATTTTCCGGTGGGAATCGGACAATGACAACTTGCATTATTAATTGGAGGATGTGGGAATGACTGAAATTGTGTGGGAAGCAGGAAGTCCAGGTGCTTTCCTGTGGGGAGGGAGAAGATTCCGTTTCCTCCAAACCTTTCTATACATCTGCTAGATTTGGTTTCAGAGCAGTGGGTAGCTCTGCCACCTTCTCAGTAGACAAAATGCTTACCCAGCTGATGAAGATAAGGGGATTGGGGATAACTGCAACAATAAATTGCACCTTTCATTTGGGAGGATGTCCCTCAGGTTCTGGGCACTGAGGGATTTAACTCCATATTTAAGTAATGTGAAGAAGTATCTTACTGTACAAATAACCTATGTGCAAGTGGATTATGTTTTTGTCTGGGTGACCTGGGAATGTTATACAATTTCCATTTGGCTGCATATAGTCTGTTTATGTCATGAAAAATGGTAGAAAATTGAAACCCACATCTGCACAGTGTGTAGTTAAGTTGCTTCTTAAAAGGTACTTCTCTACCCGGTCCCAATCTGTATATAGACCTTTATTTTCTTTGCTCTGTGACACTACACGCAGGAAGGGTGCTATATAAATGCAAATTGTTGTCAAAGCACATTTTGTTTCCGAAGCGTTCTAATTAATAATGAGCATCCTTCCATTTGATATAGTGCCTTATCATGTCTTTGAGATCTCAAAGTGCTTCACAGAATGTACTGTAATAATTAATGTATAATTGAATAGATCATATCATTTAGTTCATAGGGTCATTTTCATGCATGAATGCTGGATAATTACTCTTAAATGTTCTCGTTGACCTAACTAAAATGAAGGTAAAAAGATAATGATTTCACCTGTTTACTCTCTGCTCAAGCTTCAAGGAAATTTACCAGAAGTTTATTTACCTCTTTTTAGTGAGTAATATTTGAAAAGTTTGAAGAAATATAAATGATGAAGCTTTTTGATGAACGTTACCCCAAATAAAAGCCTCAAAGTTGTGACATTTCGTATTTTTTTTACAGGATCATTCATTAATAGGATTTTCCATTCCAAATCAGGACTCAGTGAAAACAATTAAACTCCAGGATGGGGACAAGGCAATGGTAAGTACAGAGACTTTGAGTAGAGTTTGTTTCCAAAGATGAGTGGATACAGTCATCAAGAAAGATTGGACATGGCCAAGTTATTCAATTTTATTTATAAATTTGTTTTGCAAAATGATATTACATTTAGAGATAGGTTTTCCAAGCATCACTTATCACCGACTACATTTTAAGCATGTATACCTAATATATTAGGTGTACCAACCAACCTTCATTAAACTTGAGTTCCTTAAATTGTGTAAACAAAATTATTCAATCATCCTGAATTTACTCAGCCTGAATAACTTGAATTCATAAAATTTGCCTTAACAAGACATGAATCAGAACTCATATCTGAAATAATTGCTGATGCTTTGTTGCAGAGGGTTGCCAATGCCATTGAAGAAGCTTGGTCCACAAGAAAGCAACAGCAGCTGGTGAAAAGAAAATCACAAAGATTTTCGAAACATTAAGGTCTCGGTTGCTGCCCTATTGCACAAAATCTCTATCCTAATTTTGACTCTTCTATAAAACTATCATTTGCACTAGACTGTATATTTTCCTAATGATTGATTTTAAAAGTATGAAATCTTTGGTGTTGAGGTGAGCTAATTGGTTAGAGACACTGAGCTCAGGAATGAAGGCCAGTATTTCAATGTAATGTGTGACTGGTGTCAGAATGTAGACAACTATTGTCAATACTCAGAATGTTCATTTTGAACTCTGAAAAAGAATGTATTTGCATGTTAAGAAAAAAATAAACTCAATTGTACTCAACTGTCAAAGAAATAAAATTACCTGGAATGACTAGATTGCTTCTTTATTTTGGTCCTAACACTTTAAAAGCAGTAATCTGCTGAAGTGAGTAAATATTTCACTGTTGCTCTATGTAAATCTGATCAATCCATGGGGGCATTTGGCAATGAGAGCTGATGATCTAATAAAGACTTCTCTCATATTTCATAGATAGGAATAAGTATTTGTATTCTTCACATGAGCAGTTTTTGAATAGTGTTTGTACAGTTACATTAGGCTCTATTTGAAATGTTTTCTGTTGAATGTATTTTTTTCAAAAGAATGCAAATTAAGTTCAGTATAGATACATTTGAGGTAGCAAATTTGGGGAATAAAATAATTGAATGCAAATGGCCCACATTGATAAAAATCTGCAAAAGGAGAATAGGAACAGAGTGAATCCAAAGGTTCAGATACAGATCTCTAAATAATAATAATCCTTGCGTTTAATATAGCTCCTTATTATGTCTTAGAGACATCTCAAAGAGCTTCACAGAATATACTGTAAAGTGTATTGACTGTATATTTTGTGGGTGAAACACTGTGGGATTCAAATAAGACTTGGATTACTTCAATTTTTTTGTATAGAATGGGTCTTTTATTCATTATCAATGGTGATGACGGTGGTACCAATATTAAAAAAANTTACAAATTGATAAGTTAATCAATTTATCTTTTTCTTTCCTCAAATCTCTTCTAAATGTGTAATTCATCACAATGGAGTGGTTGGAGCAGTACAAAGCTTCCTTCAACAGGATCTTTGGTTTTGCTTGATTAGCTTTGGTCTGCAAAACCTACATTTAGTACTGATTCAAAGTGACACAGTGTCTAGGATGGGATGGCTTCTGCCACTTAAAATTGCGCCAGCATTTCTTTCCTTACTCTACAGTTTTTGTTGAGAATAATCCATGCATATAATTAGTTAAAATGGAATAGGGGCTGTCAGAAGGATTTGGCTGAAGGGGTGTGGGAAAACAACATACTGTCTCCACTAATGAGCAACATTTTAGCTGATGAATGAACACGGATACAAACAAGGTTTCGTGCATATAGTTGTTCATTTTACTTCATGCACAGCAGAACAGAGTCACAACGATTTTAACATCTGTATCATGTAACCCTTTTAAGGATTCGAATGAATAAAAACAGATTTAATTATTTTATGTTGGGTCAGAAATGTAAGACCTTTATTCATCTGTAACCTGTTTCAAAATGACAAAAAGCATTCGGAACAATATAAGACTTTGCAATTTTCAAATGTGTGCTTCTATGTGCAAAGTCTGCAAAGTGAAAATACCATCCTTTATTTTTAAGTCGTACTGTCGTATAAAAGGTACCATTGGAAAGAGGTTACCATTGTGAACCTAAATGAAGAAAATTTTGTTCAGCTCTCTCCAGATAGAATTTTGATCCAGGAACTAAACCTTGTAAGACCCTCTCAACTTGATCAATAATATATCTCTGTATTGTCTGTGACTTCAGTTCTGAAATGAACTATTCTTTGCAGTAACAGTTTTACAATTACAGTTGAAGCATTTTAGATTGACTGTTGAATCTGAAAATTAAAACATACCAATTGCCAAAGGCGAAATACTGCTGATTTGCAACCTGAATAATTTAAGAGCCAGAATTATTTATAGTGATGTGTAGAAGATTTCTAAGAGTATAAATATATTTTTAGGAGAAGGATTATTTGAAAGTGAAGAATGTTTTTTGTTTGCAGTTTGATTTAATTACATGTGCAGCCCTCTCACATTTGTCTATGTTTTACGTTGATAATTTAAATTTTAGAAACAGACTACCTTTTAATACAATATGGTACCTGCGATTTGCACATTATACTACTTACTGTAAGTACTGGCTTCACGAGTAACAATGATTAAATTAATGGTGCATGTTAATTTTTGTCACATTACTTACACTAAAGCACAATTATATCTGGATTCCGGATTGTGCTGTGGTGCAAATTGTTTTGAGTGCCATCTGCACTGCTGCCTCCAGCAGTTTGGAAGTCACTGTCCCTTTTTTGTTCTCACTGCCGAATAACTGGACGAATGCATCCTCGAAGGGGGCGAGGTGCTTCGGGGTAGCACATCCTCCTCCCGATGCTACCCTTGCCCGTTAATTAAAGCAGATCTTCCACAGTAGGAGAACAACACGCATTTGTATAAAGGTTAGTGAACTTTATTCCAGTCTGTGCAGAGTGTAGTTAGCTGTTCATTAATTAAAAGCATTTATTGTCTGCACAATTGATGTGTGGAAACAATTTCTGTTGGGAACTTTTGCAAACTTATTTCATACAGGCTTCCTATGTTTTTTTGACATGAAAAGTAATATTCCAAATGAAAAGATTATTATTATTATGTAACAATGCCCAGGTAACAGCCAACCGATAAACAGTTATGAATCATGCCAAATATGTTTTAGATCAAACAACTGCTGCAAACCAAAACTATTCTCGATATGCAAACACATATCCTTTTCAATCCAAAATTACCTGTTATCTTTTACAATAGGGACGGTGACCACATCTCAACTGGTGATCAATATTCCATCACTTCACAGCAATGAGTATTTCACTAAGCAGCCTTCAACATGCTTGTCAAGGTGAGGGTGGTATTGCCGCAATTAAAATACTCCCATTTTTAGAAAATGAATCAAATGCTCAATTACTGAGTTTTTGTGAGTCAGGCACCAAATTTTAATTACGTTGACAAAAGAGGCAAAATTAGCTTCTTATAAGTTTTTTTTCTAAAAAAGTTAAAATTGGTTAAAAAAGTAAGTTAAAATAACAAGAACCTGGATTGAGAATATATGATGATTGAATTGAACAAATTCAGTGGTTCTGTGCTGTTGGAATGAACTGAAGGCAGTACTTGCGCACAGATTAGGTGAAATAGCTGCAATGCTATCAGTGAATTTTGTGTGATCTTTGAATGGAGTGGGCTTGATGGGCCATATTCCTTTTTGTCATTCTATGTCTTTTGCCATGATGCTTTTTTTTTGACAAATTAAGTTGAACAGGCATAAATGGTGAGTGAAATGTACAGTGGAAATTAAGAAATACACAGAAAAATAGAAGTACAGTTTCCTCCCACACAACCGTACTGCAGAAACATTTGACTGATGGCAGTTGCGCTTTTCTGAAGCTTTTATCTTTATCAGCACAAGGTGGCAGTGCTAGTCATAATAATTGTACTGAATTTCTGTCCTTTTAGTTTTTCAACTGTCTTTGCTGGATCAACTGTGGTTATGTCAAAAAGCTTTTGAGGGAGAGTTGACTAATTATCATATGAATCACTTAATTAAAGCTTCATGCAGCGTGTATTCTGTACAATCACAGCAGTGTGTATGAGGTCAAAATTCTGATATAACGATTGCTTGCATTTCTTTTCGCTCATCACAGTATCTCAAAGCGTGTCAGAGATTTTGTGCAGAGTGTAGTGCCTGTGTATTTGAGATGAAGACACTTTTTTTTCTCTAGTGGATTGCTGGCTGGACACTGACTGAAATCCCTTTTTAATTCCAAGCCACTTAATGTGGTCTTTTAATTTCAAATGTTTACTTTTAAAATTATTTGTAGGCTTGTGTCTCAGAAAGAAGCACAACGCCCACACATTCTGCGGTCGATTAGATACTTTTACCAATTCCTTGTTATTGAGAACGTTCTTAACTGGGCCACTGAGCACCTAATATGGTTTACAAACCTCCACATTATCAGTTGAAATTGTCACCTCAATCTTGCTTTGAAGCCAAAGATTGAATAGATGTGGCGGTTTCCTGAATAAGAAGAAATAATCATGAGGATCTGTTTATCTCGTGTGCAGGTCCGACCTAGGGTTTTAATCAGTCATCCACGTAGGTACTGGATATTTTGGACAAACTCATCATGCACATGTTATTCGTGAATTCCTCACCAGGACCATAGATTGCTTCTTTTGAAAGTTAGACAATAACATCTGGAATTGAAAGCGGGTGGAATAATGTGCAAATAATAGTTCTCAGCAAATAGTGAGACATTTTTCTGTGGCCAGAACTGTCAAATAGTCGCTGATGAATTTTTGTGATCATCCATTTGGTGGCGCAACTCCCCCTCCCCCCATTTCACCCTCAACCCCCTCAACCCCCCCACCATCGGCCTTGAGCGAGCGCCTTCCGCAGGCTGCAAACTGATCTGAAAACGATTGAAACTCATTCAGGCAAAATGGATTCTGGGGTTGAAACATTTGACTTTTTGGAGACTGAACCTTCCACTGCACATGCCTGCGATCTCTATAAGGCACAGTTATTTATTTTCTGAAATCAAAGGAATATTGACATTATTTCACCCACAAAAATATAGTCAATACACTTTACAGTATATTCTGTGAAGCGCTTTGAGACGTCTCGAACATGTGATAAGGGGCAATATCAAATGCAAGGATTATTATTTCAGTTTACTTTGATTTATAAAGCCTTTGTCAAGCGTCAATCATCTCTTCAATACCCTCTCCCCCGTAAAGAGCTATCCATTCAGTCCCTTTATACATGTCTGGTTTTCTTGTGAAAGCTAATATGGATCCTGCCTCGACCACTGCTCTTGGCAGGACAGTCCACATTCTAATAACTCACCATGTAAAACAAAATTCTTACAAATTTTCCCCCTTTGCTTCTTTGTCAATTATTTAAAATTGATACTCTCTTGTCACTGATTCACTGACGAGTGAAAATAATATCTCCTCATGATTTCAAAGATCTCTATTACGTCTCCCCCAAACCTTCCGTGTTTCAGTGAAAATTGGTCGGGTTGCTCCATAGTCTGCTCAAAGGTCAAACTACATATATCTGATATCAGCCTAGAAAATCTCCTCTGCACCCCTTCCAGGGCATTAGCATCCTTCCTAAAGTTGGGTGTGAAAAACTGAACATAATACTCTAACTGTGGTTTACCTAATGATTTATACAAGTTTAGCATCACCTCTTTAGACTTATATTATGTGGCCCTATTTATAAAAACCCATTAGCTTTCTTCAC